GGGTGCATGTCATGCGCGATGAGTGAAACAGTGAATGGCGAGACAATGCTCGTTTAAAAAATATTCATCATTTACACGGAAATCGAGTGCATTAAGCGCACATGTGCATATGCAGAACATGTCGGGCGATACAAAAAAACAAGCTAGTAGCATTTTACAATGAAGGAAAGATATAAGCGATCGTCAATATATCAAAATAACCAAATTAGATTGAAATGTATCAAATAATTGTGGGTCCGTGTTGACTCACTAAAGTGTTAACAGTGTGAATGCAGTCCACGCCAAATGGTTTTGATAATAAGCATGGCAAACGTATTTGAACGGAGTGTGGAATGGGTAAAAATGTATGCGTATTCAATAGTTCGTGCCGAATGAGTGATTATTTGAATATTGATTTGTTGGGGCTTCGTTGGTGTCATTAAAACATTCCATTCGTTTGTAATCGAAAGTTTTCCTTCCGATTCACAAATAATTTGGCTGAGTGTCAAAATGAGAAGAATTTTCTTGAAGCATTGAAGATATCATTTTGGTTGTTGATTGGAATGTCGTATTAGATAAAACTTAAAGCTCGAAAATAAAAAACGACCAAAAACTGGAGTTGATAACATTTGTTCAAAAAAAGTACTACAACATTCGTTTATAAACAGAAAAGGCGACCCAGAAGTGAACCTTTTTTCTCCATTTGTACACATTCGAATCGTCGCGTCTCTGATCTACGCGAATTCACTATTCTAATTGAGTTAAAACAAAAAAAAAAACAACAATAATTCGTTCTTGAAATATTTTTATCTCGATAAAGTCTTTCACTCGCCTCGCATCGCAATATGCATGAGTGTTAGTGTGTAAACAGTACGGATCGAAAACAGTTATTTTGTCGTTGTTGTTGGTCGAAATGATATGAGATCGTGAGGATGATCGTGCGACGTGAGTGGCAAATGAAAGAGTGAGAAGTTGCGACCGGTAACACTGCATATTAAAAGAAGCCAATCCAATTTTGATCTATTTTTAAAAAAAACTTATCGAGCTCATTTTTGTTCTTCCTCTTGTGTGATTTTGATTTGACGCAATTGCGTGCCAAGCCCCATCTTCTAAAAATACACAAACCTAAAAACGCACAACACTGACGACGGCGATGACAACAACAGCAACAACAACACCGACACTCCAATCACACGATCCCAACGATTCTTTGATATTAGATTCCGACGAAATGTTGGGATAAATTTTCCCAAGATTTGTGACCATCGCTGTTGCACATGAACATCACGGAAATTATATATTTTGTCTTTGGCTTGACAGACATTTATTGCACGTGTCTGGCACATGATTCAGCAGGAACTAGAGCAACATCTGAAATTATTTGTGCAGTACATGACATTACTGGTATTACCCGCTCAATGATAATATCGCCGACATATTTTTTTCTGACGTATCATTTTTAGCATCACATCTCCAATCTGAAAAATCATTTGCACCAATTTATTGACCGCGTAGGAAACAAGAATTGAAAATTGTTTGGCGGGTGTAGTAAAGTTGGGCAAATCTATTTGGGCGATGCATTCGGGAATCCTGCATTCTTCCCATTCACATTCCATTTGGCAATACATTTCAATTCCACCCAAAAATCGCTTTTGCCTTGATATCTGATTAGAAGCAATGTGTATTTTTTAAAAAATTCTTTCGTTGTAACCAATTCAAAATCCTTATCACACAGAGGTCAATATTTGCATTTATACAAGCGCCATTCTTATAAGCAGAGATGGTTCATGGTTTACCACAAGTGTATGGAAATGTGTATCGGTATATATTAAAAAGTATACCTTTGCGTTGAGAGTACGCATCAGCACGCGTTAGCTAATACTTTAGTGACAGTGAACGCGTTATTTAACGCAAAGGTATATCAATGTATATATGCTGGTCTGTACGCAGTATAGACAATACAATACATTTACTCCATCTCTGCTTATAAGTCATTTCAATCCGAATGGAGCATATTGCCGTCATAATCAATTCTAAAATTAAAACTAAGCCATAAAAAAATCGCTTAATGAAACGGTTGCGGGCAAAGTGTAAGGCCCTTTTTTTGTCGAATTTTGTTTGATTCTTGATTGTATCTAATTCCACTTATGTGCTTGATTTTATTGAGCTCACTCAATGTGGTCAGTGTTTGAGATACTACCCGCGCACATTTTTGACTTTGGCTTTGTTTGAATATATCTGGATTTACCTGAGTTTGTTTTATTTGTTTGCCGGTTTTCGCCTGTGTTCGTCTGTTTTCGCTTGTTTTCGCCTGTTTTCGCCTGATTTTGCTTGTTTTCTCTTGTTTTTACCTTACCTCAAAACTTTTCTTATGGCTACATGTACGTTTCTCGTTCGATATCAATCATCAAAATTCCATGGGATGTGTTCAAAATCAAGTATTTGTTAATGTACAGAAAAAAAAATCTCGACCATAAGAAACAGAACAATGCAGTTCGAGCTTAAGTGTACCTATTAAATGCCAAAAAAAATGTTGTGCACGTTATTGATCGTTGTTCCATTGATCCATGATAGTTGTCAAAATGATCACGTGTGATGGGAATGTTAATGTATCGACATATTCAAGTTTCGATATCAATTATTCGAAGCGTACACTTAAAAAATTCTTGCTCAGCAAAAAAACAAAATCAAAACAACAACAAGAGCAACAACAACAAAATGTTATCCATTGTTATTGAAAGTATGAATGGGCTCAATTATTTTGGTAATCGCAAACTCGTTAAAATTCATTCATTCCATTTCTCTCTCTCACACTGGCAGTACATCCAATCAGTTGACGAGGTTATTACTCTTTGCCCGCACACACACATTATCTTCTTTTTATATTGTCGTTGTTCCTTGGCGCATGCGTGCTTTACGTGATGAGAGAGAAAGAGAAATATAGAGAACTTGTGTAGAAGAATAAGCGCCGGGCGCCATTCATATTCTTTATACACTATACAGTGAAAATACACAATGAATTATAATATATATAATATATATATATATATATATATACAGTAACATATTTAATACGCGACTCAATTACAAGTCTCTCATCAATTCTTTTAGCATATTTTTGTTTTACAATGCATTTCACAAATCGATTTAAGCGATTCAAATGATTTCCATTTTAATCGATTTACGACTTTGAATTTCGGACATTTTATTTGTCCGCAATTTTGTGAAAGAAAAAAAATCACCGACTTGATGATAACTCAATTGATTTGTGCCGAACGGAGACATGAACTTTGTTTAATAACATTACCTCATAGCTCAAGTGTAATCATAATATTTACATCAAGAAATTTGCAAATTTTGGATTGAATGGAAGAAAACATCAAATTTCACTGACAGGAAAAAATTTCATAAAGATCTTGCGCCCACGCGCGATAATATGGTATCTCGGACAAGGTGGAAGAAGTGATGAAAAAAAGAAATGTTTTTGACGAATTCCAAACGTCTCACCCTGAATTCTGTTGAACCATAAAATTCAAAATTAAGGTCACTATTGCATAATTTTAAATACAACCGAAATATTGCCAAATTCACAAAAAAAAAATACCATTGTGGTCATGAAAACGTGTATAATAACACTCCGTAGGCTAGTCAATCGTTAAAACTGTTGCGGTTAAAAATTCAGTGTGAACGATGATTCACACCGCATCACAAAACCAGAATAATAACAAATATTTATCGTAAAAGTTCAAAATACTGGAATAAAAACCGGAGAAAAGAAGAATGAAACTTACAAAATGAGTTCAGTCTAACGATACCTGTATAACTACAGAGCTTAAATTGAAAATGTTGTGGTTTTTCGTCTGTTTTTTTTTTCTCAGTTTTTTTACTGGAAACTTCTATTTTTTGTCACATGGGCAACGTCCGCATTTGTGGCTCTCATTTTGAATGATAAAAACTTGGACCGGTGAAATTATTTCAATCTTTAATTGGCTGAAATAATTATAAAATTTTCATTAACAAACATAACAATCGCTGTAGCGAATCAAATCAATTTGATCGATGCGTAATTTGATCTCTGTGTGTTTTTCTTTCGATTAATCATCTTTCATAAAGAATTTGATATTTTATCGCCACCCACTTTCATCAATGAACTGTCTGTACGTTCGATACTCATTGATCGCACGAAATGTGCGTACAACATGATACGCGTTATTATTGCATGGTCCGGAAAATCGGTGAGTCATGCTATCTCATTCCGATTTACGATATGCCAGACATTCGGTCAACGCAACCAATTGGTGCCTAATAATTAGCGGGAGACACAGATTGACTTTGAAAACGAAGATCTGGTTAGTATACAGCGATTACGCCACATTGCCGATTCTCAGAAAACGTGCCTTAATTTGTTGTTTGAGAGGCTCAATGTTACAAAGTAGCATCGAAATATAGAGAGAAGAGAAACACTCTAGCTCTGCTGCTGAATTTACATGAAAAAAACAACAACTGATAACTTATTCTCGCTCCAGCTCAGCTCGAGAGTTCAAAAATATTCTGCGTTTAAAACAAAAGGAATAAAATTTAAATTAATTCAATTAGAAGCGAACCATTTGGGTGAACCGTATAATGAAAATAGGTAATGCGTATATGGCAAGATAGTGCTCGTTTAATGGCTGTGAAGCGTGCGTGTTACACACATAACGTAATAATAGCTAGTTGTGTTACATTACTCACGTTGAGTACTCACTATGAATTATTACATTTTAGTGAATGATGCTAAAACCGTTAATCGACAAAAAAAAACTGACTCATCGAGCACGTGTTTGGGGCTCGAGACATTCATTGAGTTTTTGCGGAAATTGCTTTCATCTGGTTTTGGTGGGGCATTTGATTAACTAACTCGTTCATAATGAATTTGAACGCCTTTACAAAAATGAATTGTAATTATCAACCAAAAATCAATGTCCATTAACACATTCAATTGCTAAAATGAGCCTGAGCAAGTATTCGATTCTTATTGTTAGAATTCTTATTTCAAAGAAATACTATGATAGTTTAAAACAATCAAATTGGTCTCTCTTCTATTTTTTTATGATCGAACCGAATTGTTGTTGTTTGATTGGTTCGTTTCCTGACTTTTCATTTCTGTGCAATGAGGTGCCACAAAGCATCCAACGTAAATCTCGTTTATTAGCACATTTTGCAAAAGTTGTACAAAAAAGAATACACATGAGAAAGAGTGACTATCACAAATGATCGAAACACAGCAGCAGCAGAAAAGAAAAAAAGAACGACCGAAGGACCAAACATCGAAATGTTTACCACATGGGTTCGGTTACATTGTTTTTCTCAGAATTGGATTTGTGTGAATAAAAATGTGAAATTGCATTATTATTGTTGTTGTTGTTGTTGTTTTCGGGCATTGAGACGACACATGAAAAAGGTTGAGCCGCATTCCCCGAGCCATGAAAGATCATTTCGTTGATGCACATTTAAAAGCCCACATGTGCACTCCTGCTCGAGCAGGCGCTGTGAAGTATTGTATGTGTATGTGTTTGTGTATGTGTGTTGGGTGCATTGCATTGAATTGTGTAATATACAATGCGTATGGATTCAGATTTTGGTGTGTTGCTATTGTGTATGGAATCTGGGCGTTTCAGCCCGTTGCACTTATTTTACACTATCTTCTATTTTCAACAACACGTTTCATGAATGAACTGAGTGTCACGTAGACACTATACAAAATCTCTTTCACATTCTTTCCTTTCGAGTTGTTCCTTAAGAAATGCTTTCGCTTCCATGTGGATTTTTTGGCACATTTTTTTTCTATCTAGAGCGGGCAAAACACTTTGAGTATGTCCTTCGCAGAGATTATTTATGAGTTCAACAAACATTTCGGCAGAAGGCACGTGCGCAAAATTCGAATGTTTTATTACTGGTTTTCAATTGTAATCACCATATTTGATTATTCATTGATACCAGCCCTTTTTTATTTCAATGTCGTATTTTATTTCTTTTTATACTCTGAACGGTATAACGTAATGGAAAAACTGCAACCATTCGAAAGAGAAGAACGCAAAGTAAACCACAATGTATCAAAGCAAAAAAAGCGAAATCATATACGTAAAAGTTTGACTACGCAAAAAAGGCTTGATAAACAAACATGCTATTCATACCACATATACGCTCTCTATCAATTTAAAATGCGATGTTATAAACTTAACCTTTTTCGAATTGTCGTTCGTCGTCATTTGCTCTGCTCAATGAACGATTATAAACATTTTTACACACAGCATAAACACATATTCCGTCATAAAACGATTGGCCGTGTATGTGTGAATTGTGCGCATTTTTAGTGTGAAATTCATTACGCATCATTAATATTTTTTTGCTACATTTTTGTTGTTGCTGAGTGTTGAAGATCATTCATCATTGGATCTATGATTAAATCGAAATTAAATTTTACATCGGCTTCGCAACACGAATACACCACTAAATCATCGGCCACTAAACACCTCAAAGACTGAATAAATAACACCAGAGAGTCAGTGTAATTTCTCTATTTCTTAAGAAGGAGAGAAAAAAAATCAAGCCAATTATCCGATCTCACAACGTTGAATGATCAAACGTAGACGGAATAAATGAATCATATTGATTAGTTCCAAGTTCATGGCAATTGTAGAACGGTTTCTTTGTACAACAAACGCAATTTTGAAATGAATTTCGAGAAATTCTGACCATTTTGAGATACTATATTTATGTAGACATAATATTGATTCATGTGATTATATCGAAAATGATATAATTTCTTTGGAATTCTCTGCAGAATTGGCGCAGATTTTAATGTAAAATGCCACTACAAGATCAAACTGTGGAGAATCATCCGAATGGATCTCTTGGAGTATCCGAAAAACTGCTGAAGATTCCCTCACAACAAATAAATGGGAAATTCACCCAAAAGAAAGTTGAAGAGGAAGAAGATGAGGAAGTGACCCCAACAGCTGATGTAGTCGTGCCGTTAGACGGCGGCTATGGATGGGTAATTTTTAGTAATAACTTTTAAGTGTACCAATTTTCATTGTAAATTTTAATCATTTCTTCTTTTCAATACAGGTCATAGTTGCAGCTTCATTCATTTGCTGCCTTATCGTTGATGGGATTGCAATGAATGCGTCCATTTTTAATGAGGAACTAAAGCAAGAATTTGGCCTAACAGATGACACAAAGGTAATGTCGCTTTTATTTTTGACACACGTTAACTTTGACATTTTTTGAAAATAGAATGCAAAAAAAGTCTTTACTTTTTATGAACTTTGAGCTCAACTTTGGTTGGTATTGAACATTGCAATTGGAAATGTATATAAAAAAAAATTCTCTTTGATTGAATTGATCAGTTAAAAATTAAAAATTATGTTCGTTTTGTTGCAGGTTGCATTTGTGGCTTCACTTCTTCAGGGATTCTATTTGATAGCTGGTCCGTTTGTCAGTGCCATGGCGAACCGTTGGGGATTCAGACCGATTACGATAGCTGGTGCATTTGTTGCATCGGCTGCTTTTGCTGTATCATCACAAGCAGATGGTTTACCATTTTTATATATTACGTTTGGTTTGATCGGTGGCATCGGATTCAGTATGATCTACATTCCAGGTTGGTTTCACCTTGAGCTTAAAATTTTTTTAAAAATTTATTCGTGAAATCGATGCAATTTCCAAACTAATTTATCATCATCTTAATCACTCAGCTGTCATAATAGTTGGATACTACTTTGAGCGCTGGCGTGCTTTGGCAACTGGTATTGCGATGTGCGGTTCCGGTGCTGGTACATTTGCGATCGCTCCATTGGCCACATTTTTGATCGACAATTGTGGATGGCGACATGCGTTGTTATGGTTGGCAATGATCATTTTGGTGACTGTTTTGTGTGGTGCTTTGTTCAGACCACTTGAGTCGGTACAAATTACACTTGAAGAAGGTGATCAGCCGGCTGAGATAAAAGACGTTGAAAAACCAAGCTTACCAGTTGTATTTACAAAGCCATTAGCCGAAGGAAGATACGCATTTTCCGTGCCAAATAGTTCGCATAACACGTGGATTGGAGCTAGCAGCAATACACGATATCCAACTGCTGCGGAAGTGTTCCGTGGCAGTGGTGCCAATTTGGATCGTCGTACGTCGATCACACCATCAGCCACACCAACAGTAACATCAGCAACAACTCAATTAAATGCCGGTAACATTCATCACACAACAAAAAAACTGGAACAATTGTCGAAAGCCCAACAGAAACGAAGCGGAAATGCAACGCCAACGGATGAAACTGCACCAGCAGCGCCACAATTTAATTTACACAAAGAATTGAACACGGTCGGTGAAGATGATGAGAATGAAAGCGAAGCATTGATCGAGGATGGAGCCAAGCCACAATTAACAGCACGAAGACACACAGTGTCTGGCCGACGACCAAACATTCTAGCAAACGGAACGGCAAAGAAAGAACGACGCAGTGCACATCAACACCTTGGCAGCAGCAACCGTCCATTGTATCGTGATGATATCTTCTTCAGCGGATCATTGGTTCGCATCCCAGGCTATCAGTCACAAACTTCACTACAATATCACATGACCGTCACTCGTATGCCAACACAAAATGATGTCGAAGAAGTGAGTTTTTTTTTATTCTCGAATGAAATTGAAGCAATGATGATATGAATGTGCTAATTTATTTCAATAATTTAGGAAGAAAATGCAACATGTAAAATATGCCCAGAAGCAGTCCGTCGTACACTCGCTACTATGTTGGATATGAGCTTATTGAAGTCACCATCATTCATGCTATTAGCTGTCAGCGGTTTTCTATGCATGATGGGATTTTTTGTGCCTTTTGCGTACGTGTATAAGCGTGGAGTTGCAGCCGAACTTGATGACGGTGTTGCTAAGTCCCTTGTGCCAGCCATCGGTATTGCCAACACAGTCGCTCGTGTCGTTTGCGGTTTCTTAAGTTCGTTGCCAAACGTTGATGCTAATCTTCTCAGCAACATTGCCATTACTTCAGGCGGTGTTGCGACCATCATAAGCGGTATTTCTATTACTGCAGGCTTTCAATTCACATATACTATCATTTTTGGATTGGCCATTGGTGAGTTTTGTCGGCCAAAAAACCGGTTAAAATCAATCCATTGTGATCCATTGCCCACATTTCAATAACCCTGCGTTTAGAACTGATCAAAAATCAACTATTTTGGGTTCGAAGCTCTTGAAAAGTGACACTTTGATTTGATTTAAAGCCGCAAATATAATCTGGATTTAACCATGAAAGAAATTTCCATTAATTTTGACAAAAAAAAAATGTTCTCCCCCTTTAGCTTGTTTCTCCGCCCTCCGTTCGATCATTGCCGTCGACTTGATGGGAATTGAAAAGTTAACGAATGCATTTGGAATTTTGATGTTGTTCCAAGGATTGGCTGCTATAATTGGTGGTCCAATTGCAGGTGCATTGTACACTGCAACAAAAAATTATGATTATGCCTTCTACTTTTCCGGTGCTCTAATCACATTATCGGCCATCCTTTGCTATCCCATCAAAGCAGTCAACCGATGGGAGAAGAAGAGTGCCCAAGAAACATCAAAAGTCAGTCCAGCCGTGTAGATTTGTTTTGTCAACGATATCTCTATTCAATTATTTTTTGAAAAGAGAGAGAAGAAGACGAAAAAAATTATATACGTTCTTAAATGTTGAAATGTTTTGATGTCTCGAAACGTTTTTTCTTTGCGTTTTAGCATACTAGAAGAGAATTTCTTTTCCTTTTGTTGATTGGTAAAAATTACATATTCTTACCGTAATGTGACAAATGGAAAAAATTAACACATATATAGATAGAAAGTAAAATGAACCTGTGAGCATAAAAACGACTTATTCAACAATCGCTGAACAAAACGATACAAGAAAAAACTACCGAACAAAACGTACCACAGCGGTAATGTGTAGCACAGCGGAGTTTCGTTTTGAATGGTATCGTCCTGCTGTGTTACGTTTTTAACGTGTGTTTTGTTTGGTAGTTTTTTCTTGTATCGTTTTGTTCGGCGATTGTTTAATAAGTCGTTTTTATGCTCCCCGTGAGCAAATGGTCTTTAGAAAAAATGTTTAAAACATAAAACATATCGTTGAACGGTTGTGCAGCGAGAGCATTGATTGAAAAAAATCAACAAAATATGACTACAGTAATTCGAAGTTAAATATTAGTAGAAATTATCTAGTGCTAAGAAGATACCTTCAGGAGTATCATTGAAGAGAAAAGACACACATCAAATCAGACTTCCTTTTTTTATTGTAAATAAAAGAAAATTGTTAACAATTAAGTTAGGCTTAATTCCGATGATAAGATTGACATTTATTTTATTTTAATGAGTATGTTTTTTAATAACTGTCCAAAATTTCGAAACTTTTTCATGATGTTCACTGACGAAAAAGAAAAGTTTCTTTTCAAATACTTTGTATACGATGTTTAATGGAACGTATGATCCAACATTCAATAAAATATCAACAGCGTTTGTTATTTGGATCAATATGCGAGCATTTACTTTTGATAGAAAATTCGACTTGATCATATTTTAATGTGAATGTCACATTACACGATATGAACAACACAAGCAAAAGTATTTCGAGTACTTACATTTTTTTTTAAAAAGAAATTTTACATACATATTCAAACTGTGTAATAATTGAAGAGAAAAAAAATAAAAATTTCGACTTATTGACAAATTATGTGGTTTTATTCCAAAATAAGTCACACGGAGAATGTGACACAATGCGAAAATAAATTGAAACAGAAGAAAATAAAATGTCTTACATACGTAAGGTGAACTTTTCTACACGATTCATTTCAGATCTACACTTTCAAGCGTAGCAATTTTTTTCCAATGTTCACTTTTCTATACATTCCAACAAAACAAATGTTTTGCATACAGCTTACAGCGTACAGTGTAACACGCACATACCATAAAATAACTCGAGATTTCGCGATTTTCGGCGTTCAAAAATCGAAAAGAACTGATTTTTTGTGGGTCAAAAAATCTGGGGCGATCCCAATACTTTTCTTACACGACATGGTCGTGTGAAAAAGTAAAAATGAGTAATATAAAATACGTAGCCCAAGTGGCACGGTACATCTTTCTTTTGAATCAATGGCCGTTTTTACATCGTATTCACATCTTCAATAAACATCGCACGAAAGGTATGAGAGTAGCGCTCGCACAAATATAGCAACTCACACCTACGTCATTCCGTCATTCTCACATCTTCTGCGTAGTATGCCGCGAAAGATGTGAATATAACGTTAGAGCTAAAACATTTATTGCTCTAGCCAACACGAGCGCTATCTGTTTGGTGCCAACATGTAAACAAACAATGTGATTTTTGTGATTCTTACACTCCAGCCGTCAACCAAGATATATATATATATATACGCAGGCCGCGCTAGCGTCCTATCTAAATACATTATAATGAATAAGTACAAACTAATACATATGCATTTCTACTATGAATACGTTTCATGTTATGTGTTTTAATTTCATTTAATTTTGGAAATTGAAAAAAAAATATTTCTCGACAAAATATATTTTAAAACATCATTGAAATAAAAAAACTTCCAAGTAAGAATGAATATATTGATATTGAGTAAGAAAATTCGGTGAAATCAGTGAAATACTTTAATCAAATATAAACGTTTGAAAAACGTACGACGCGCGCCAAAGCATAAGTGATGTCAAAGTCTGTACAAAGAGTGAAGCAGTAGTGCGTTTAATGCTATGTGCTATAGTGTCTCTGTTGATGTTGATCGCTGACGTTTATAGTGGTAGTATATACGATACTTCAAAACCGCATCGAACAGATGATGCTTCCGCTAGGGATCGCAATAAATGCCTTAGTACTAACTGCATGACATTTTTCGTATGGTACGAAAAATTGTTCAAAATGTTAAAACGATCGTTGTATCAAAGGAATATGCGCATCCACCTGGGAAGTAAATAGGTAAAATAAAACAAACGAAAATTGAATAAATCAACAAAAAATATTTGCATTTTCATTGTATTTATAAACAAAAAAAGCAAAACAGAGAAAAACTCCATGTATTTCGTTGACGATTAAAACGATTAAAGCAAAGTATATCAATAGCGCCGCCTAACATGATGCGACGTTGGATGCGACATTTTCATATGGCGGCACGAATCAACATCGCTGTGTACAGCGCACACATAGACTCTTTGCATTCACACGAACGTACACACAAAGAATTGACTTTCACACGTACGTATAGTTACAGAAATTTATGTTTGGCGTCGCTCCCAACAAATTTTCCACAGCAGTTCTAAACGTCAAACATTGCTATAGCATATGAACTAGGTACTATTGAAAAAAAAGGAATTGCAAAAAATACATATAACAGCAATAATACTAAAAAACCTGGTCTTGAATTACGTGGAATTTCTGTTTTCATACACAAATCTCAAAAAAAATATGGCAAGAAATTTGAGCTAAAATTTTGCTGAAACAATGATACTGTGTTATGCGGCCTTTGAATTGCTCAAACCAAGTTGAAATGTCAATCAAATCGAATTGGATTTCGATGAAGATCAAATGAAAGATGTACGTTAATTGGCAATTGTTCATATTTTTAAACAAAATGAAAAATGAAAACAAACAGAAAAAATGCATTCCTTTGCCATATTAAAAATATGTGAAATTCCTTTACATAGCCGAGTTATAATATTTACCGAACTTTGTTTGAAAAAATCACTTGAATATTGCAATGGGATCTTATAGTCAATGTCAATGCATTGCTTTCAGCGTATGAAAAACAAAACCTATGCATAACGCATTAGAATGAAACATGGCGAAGTGATAGTTAAAAGCGATTCACCGATGAACGGAAAATTGCTTGAAATAATCGGTTCTAAAACACGAACAGTGTGAGCACTGCCGAAAGTGATGATCGCATTAGAATCTATTGTGAAATGGAAAATCAAAAGTCGACAAACAAAGGGAAAAACGAAAACAACAATCCGAACCGTTTTCGACGTAATCCGATTTGGATAAGTTAAAACATTAAATCAAAAGTGCCCGTTTGTTCCATGTATTTTTTTACGCTCCTCTTTATTTCGCTTGTTTTTCGTCTATTTTTTGTTATTTTCTTCTCTTCTCTCTGTATAACTCTGAACGTTGTTATGATTCGAATATTTATCGTCAATGCGCATGCATATTGAGTTGAAGTGACTAACCAAAAAAAGAAAAAAATGAAAAGAAAACAGTTCCGAAACGGGGAAGGTATGGCAAGTGTGAGGAAAGCAAACGATAAAGAGAATGAGAGAGTAAGCGATGGAGCAAGAGGGAGAGAGAGAGAGAGAGAGAGAGAAATGAGTGAAAGACCTGCGCGGACATCAATCCATTTCACGCACACTCCACCCGCATTACGTCGTCTACACGAGTTTTTCTCAATGAGCCATGGAATTCGATTTTGATTCACATTTTCGTGCAGTATATCAGAAAAGTCGGTTCGGTTTTTTCGCGGGTTTGTTTTAAAGTACAAATTTTACTGCATTTTCTTTTCTATCTCAATTTTACATCTTTTTCGTTATGGAGTCGATCGTTTTCAAACCTTCAATTTATTAGAGAGAAAAAAGCGTCGTATTTTTTTCTTTTGTTCGGTTTACTTTGTAAGGAAAACCCAATTTGTGTGTCGTTGAAAGTATCAAGTTTCTGATTTTTTTCCCCGTGGATTTGCAGTTTGCGTCAATTTGTGAAGGCAATTTCATTCAGGAGAAAGAGAAGTGTGCATTTTAAAATTAAGAATTCAAAATCTAATGTAAGAATTTTTACTCTTCAATCCAATTATTCCGCAACCTGATTAATTACAACGACTTTTCACAAACCAAATCTTCTTTTTTCGTTTGATGAAAATGAGCCAATTTTCGGTTCCCTCAATTTTTTCAATTTCGTTCTAGCAAGTTAAGATTCATTCAGCAGTTAATTTTTTTTAGAAAACCGTTGTGTTGTGTTCTGTTCGGCGGCTATTGTATGCACGCAAAATAGCTCACAGCATATGACCAATAAAGTTTCCCGAATATATATATATGTATGATATACATAGACGCTATAAATAATCGAAAAGTGACACATAAACTAAAATAGATTTTTATAACAGATAAAGATGTTGAAACGATAGAATAAAAAAAGCGTCAGAAAGTCAAAAACTGGCTAAACAAGCGGTTTCTCCTTTATATATTCTACTCTCGTAATTGTGCTGCTTCCATCGTTTTCTCGTTCTGACTCCCGATTCTTGTGATATGCCCGAATTTTCCGTGTCGGTTGTGTTTTTATTGTTTTTGTTGGCAGTGACGGTGGCTCATCTCTCACACAGTTCGTTGAGATGCTCTATCTCTCTCACTCAAAATGTAAACGATCGAAAGAGAAAGGTAGAACGCGAGCGTGCAATGGAAATTCCAAAATTAATTCGCTTTACATACCAGTAAAAAATGTTGACAGTCACTTGGAAAATTGCCAACTAATTTGACTCGGCTTGTGCTCAATTTCGAATTGTACCGTCATGTCTCTCTCTCTCTCTCTCTCTCTCTCTCTCTCTCTCTCAAATAAGCATTCAACAAAAAAGGCTTTTTTTTTACTACAGTATGAAATAGAAACAAGTGTTCATCATCGAGGGTAGATTCGCAGCGGAGAGGGGCTTTAACGTGTTAATTTGTTGTTGTTGCTTTAACAAATAATGTCATGATCACAAATCAGGTGAAATAGGAGGTTGAGCTTTGATTTCTTCTTGATCCGTATTACGAACACAAACACTAGATAGATAGATAGCATAAACCATCAGAAATGGAACGAGATGTTTGTATTAATCTATTTCAAATATGATCTATTGATTTGTCTTTTTCTGCTTACTGCCGGCTATAATTGAGATTATCGACAGCAAACTGAAAAAGGCTCATCGTTGTTCATGCAAACATCGTTCAATGGAGAAACAAAAAATAAACCAACAAATACACATCTCGGTATCTCTTCTCATGCTGTGTGAATGCTAAAAAAGATTACAGAAAAAACGTCAAATTGACGAAGAAAACACATTTTTAATATTCCTTTCGTTCGGATTTTAATCATCAGTTATATGCAAAAAAAAACCATTTTTTCTTCATCCGATCAATTAAAATACAGGCAATTTAGTTTTCTTTTTATACGTTACATTAATTACGATTTCAATAATAAATAGGAATTTATATCGGGGATGGGGCAATGTGGGCGAAATGTAACCGCACCAAAATCAATGATGATAATTTTGATTTTTCGTCCCATCTGGCCCAAATTCCATGCATAAGTGGATTTTCCATTGCCATCAAACATGTTGTTTTTAGTTAGGTATATTTTGTCTGTATGATGAACTGGGGCAATACGGTTGCCAAAATGTGATGAAATTATATGAAATGATTACAAGTGCCTCAAAAGTAAAGTGCGTTGTTATTATTTTTCTTGCTTTTCTCAATTGTTTGTCTATGTTCCCTTTTTCCCTCTTACCACACCTCAAGAGAAAAACTGAAACGATAAGGGAACAGATTGATACCATTTTTTAAACAAAACAAAAGTTTGAATTGTCCATTTTTTTTACAGTTTATTAGTGTCGATGTTCGATGGTATCTTTTTCGTTCATTAGTTGCCGCGCAATAGGATGTACTCGTGACTAGCAGTAGTGGCATTAATGTCTTCCCTAAGTATCCGGGCCAATTGTCGAGAATAAGAGATGAAAAATTGAAAGATTATTTATTAAAAACCACTTGAATTATTTTCTTTTTCTGGGCGAAAATACGTACAAATGCTTGCGTTGGACGTAGTATTCGACTTTTGGCAGCGGAAAACCGTTGAAGGGACTTGCAACTGGAATGGTATGAAATGTTTCAAATTAATGTCGTATCCATGTGATTTGTAGCAAATTACACTGGAGATGGTTTCAGGTAGGGAAGTTTTTCAAGAACAAAAAAAAAGAATCATCCATTACTTACTTGGAATTGTATACGCGCCCATATTTTCGAATATGATGAAATCGTCGATGTTTAATTGAGGCAATGAAACATTTTCACAGACCTAGAAGTAAAATGAGAAAAAAAAATCAACGAAAGAAAAATGAGAAGGAGAAAAACGATACACATAAATTCAACTACGTTTATTATATGCAGCCTGTACGGGAACAACTAAACGATTAAATATGGTAGATTTTCTAAAAATTTCGATGCGAGCAAAACACTTGAACATTACATTGAATGAGAAGAAGAAGAGGCGAAAAATATAAAGAGAAGGAAGAAGGGAAATGATGAAGCAAAAAAACAGCGTTTAAAACAATCTAAAAATATCGATTGATTTCGGTATGTTTACGCAAGAAGATCCGTTTCTGCGATTGAGCTACCAAACGATATTGAGAAAAATGTAAACCAAACGCTCATTTATTGGGCCTCATATTTAGATCGTGTTATATGTGTATGTATATGTACATAAACTCGTTAAGTGAGAGAGAGAGAAAGTGAACGAGCGAGCGGGTGAGCAAGCAAACGGGACTACGACTGAATTGTTCATGATTTGTTTATATCCTGAGATAGCAAAGCGCTACACCGGCTCGAGAGAGGAGATGAAAAAAAAGAGTTGTTAGTAATTCTAAATCAACAATAAAATGATTTAGTTTATTAGCTCTCGCATGCCATATTTACTGAATGCGTGGAACACGAGCATATTGTGTACACCGGAAAACTACGTTTCCCTGAAGTTGAAATGCGTTCAGAATATCGGAACGAAACGGAACAGAATAGAATACGCACCAGTCAACTGCCAGTTGCATTTCTCTATTAATAACCTCCGTTTTTCAGCACGATCTCTGGCTCTTTGTTTATAAACATTTTTCGCGCACCTCCCTTGACTTCACGTTAGTATTTTTCATTTTTCCGCCTTTTTTTGGTGTGTTCGACGGGTGAGAGCAACAGAGAGAATGAATAAATATTCGAATGGAAAAAGAAAACAGACAAAGAGAAAAGAAGAATTGAAGAAAAGAACATAAAAAAATCTTATATTCCTAACCAGCAGAGGCTGATTGCAATCATCTGAAACTAATTTTCGATGTAATTCATGGTAGGTCAAGCAATCACTTCGAATCGGTGATGAAAATTCCATTGGGTAAACACTTCAATCGAGTTTTTTTTAATTCTCGAGCCGTTTGATCGCCGCGCGATTTTCCAATACAGTGTGTGAAGTGTTCTGCAGCATAGCAGGCAGAATATGAGAAAGGAGAAGAACGAAATGGAGGGAAAATCGGTATGGAAACTGCTTATTTTCATCGATCGTGTGATGTTGCCCACAAACATAAGTGACCGCATACTTTCAAACGTAAGTCAATATCTTAAAAAAAAACACACAAACATAATATGTGCGTGTTCCTGGAATGTTATGGTATTCACGAAATAAACCAATTCGAAATGGTATCCATATCGTGCAGATGCGCATGATATTACCAATCGCCTAGTTTGATATATTTATGGCAATGCGAGAGCATGTTGTGAATCGTGTCAAGGGAAGAGTGATGATCCAACCGACGTAGTTTGTAGTGTTAACTACTCAGAGTTTTGTTGGTTTTCTTCTCTCTATTTTTTCTACTTCAAAAAAAGATGAAAAATGGACGAACATAAACATGGATTGTAATAATAATTTTCAGTGATGAAAAGAACCAATACAATCTGAACTCGCATCAAAATCATCGAAATTTTAACGTTTTTTCACAGTACATACCTGATCTAGAGCATCACAAGTTGGACCCCAAATTGTACTGGCGAATTAAAAAAAAATATAATAAAACATCAGCATCGACACCAGCTAACAAGCAGAAAAATGACAAAGAAAAAGTTGAACCTCGACTTACCTTTTGAATAGCTCTTCGTCGGTCGCTTTCAATGTGATGGGATACACAATTTTGTGATCGTACAAATTACAATTGAATGATCCATATACTCCATCGTTGATGTAGTAGTAAACGGATTTGAATTTGCCGTTTTGGTGGATTTCACGTTTTGAATGGACCCGACAAGCAAGTGTATATGCTGATGATACATAGAATCGACCTGAATCAGCGATAAATGAAACAAAATCGTTAAAAAAACTTATTAGATCGATCGAGTCAGAAACCAAGTGATACATGATTCGGAAGTAAAGCCAAATTTTCAATTTTATTCCAGTGAACACAATCAACGTAAAGAGTTGTAGAAATTTAAATGTTTTGAACATTTAATCTTTATCAAATGTACTTTTATCAATCACATTTTCATTGCATGAAATTAAATTGTACATACCTGGCTCAGCAATGATTGTTACATCATCTGACGATGGGAAATGCAAGTCGATACTGCGATTCACAATTGACGCGATCTGTGTAAATAAAACTGGTTGATTAGAAACTATTATTTAAAAAAAATAAACGTAGAATGAAGAGAAAGCCAAGGACAGAAAACACTTGAGACAAATGAAGACATGCACAATCATACCTCATTGATGTCAGTGTCTTTATCGCCTGGAAAACCACCGCCGATATCCAACAATGTGAAGTGGTAACCAACACTCGCAGCAAAATCAAACAATTTACGCGCCGCTTGAATTGCCTTCGCATAAACAGGTGGATCCATGCAACCCGATCCAACATGAAAACTGATTCCAATCACCTGGAAGTAGAGATGAATTTCAAACAATTTTGATTTGAACAACCCAAGAGATATCAATCAATCACATGCTCAGCTGGCGCTAAGCTTAAGCCAAATGATTTATTCTACTCTGTTTGTACGTCCATCAAGAAAAAAATGTTGCTCAAAATTTATCGTCATAAAGCTCAAACTTAAGTTTAATATTATTTATTATAATTTAAAGGCTTCAATTAAAAAAAAAATTTACAATACAGTCAAAAAGAAATTGGAAATCAGTCAACGTTGCAATGTTCGCAATTCGAAACCAAAATTTTAAATAGCATTTTTCTAGGAACCACAAATGTGCTATTATTTAAACAGAACGGAACAAAAACGGAAAAAGTTGAACGAAAACCATATCTTGGCATCAGGCATTAACTCAAAAATAGTAATAAAATATTTTTTTAAAAATTGAATCACTCAATTCAATTCAATTCAAAGTGCAAATTTAACAAGTTTGATTGATTACATGGGTTCCAAAAAAAATGTTATTGATTTTGAATTTATTTTCTAAAACTGAAAATCATGTGAAACCCACCTTCAATCCCAATGACATGGCTAAGTCAATGAGTTCAGGTGCTTCGGTGTCTGGATTGCATCCGTATTTTTCCCCAAGCGGACATTGCGAAACTTTTGCATCACAACGAATGCGTAGAATCAACCTAAAATCGAAACAAACAAAAAATGTATCAATAATAATTGAATAAAACATCATCGAAATTCAAAACTGCTTACTTTGCATCGGGATAGTGTTTTTTTATTTTGAGCAGTTCAAACTCACTGTCAACGGTCATAACGCTGACATTCATTTCAGCTGCAAATTTGAGATGCGAAATTGGTTTGGTTGGATTGGCATAGATAATCGACTGGGGAGCAACACCATAGTTCATAACCATTGCAATTTCTCCCTTGGATGCGCAGTCGAAACCGGTTCCCAGTGTGGCCAAAGTCTGAAGCACGATAGGGCTATCATTGCATTTAACAGCTGTATGGAAAAAGGGTAAAAAGCATTTAAACGCGCAAATCAATGTACGATGTAAAAATTATCACGTCGATAAGTTTTATTTTGTGGAAAACGTCCTATTTTATTTACAACATTCTCGGCACATTATCATCATCTGATCGTATTTAATGTAATGGTATCAGCTGTTTGTGACTCATACGGAATATCATGTGATTGTACATTTCATCAAACAATGTTGCAACAATTTTGAAGTACCCGGGTAGTAGTAGATTTTGTAGTATCGGGTAGTAGAGTTACGAAGTAAATTTTCCAGATTAATCTGAATTTGTTTTAGATTCTCAATGGCAAAGATTTCCATTGTGCCGATAGATTGATTCGATAGAGCCACAAACAAATTGCAGTTTTAAATCGACAAATAACATTTCAAGTAACTAGGATTTTAGGATGAAAACGGAATTAGTCTTACCATAAAATGGGAGGACTCGTGGCATGCTACGTTTCCAAATTGCATGTTTGTTGATGATATCAGAAATATCGCACAAATACAATGGTTCTTCGTCCACATTACCGGAGACGGATCGTTGGCGAATCACATCTATAGCATCGAGTGGTTCGTCGATGACATGAAAATTGTTGCTTGGTTCGATGAGCTTCATGATTTCCGCTTTTTTTTCGAAAATAAACTAAATATCACCAACCTAGATTTCAAGAGACCAATCACGAATTACAACAATTTATTTTTCGATAGGAATTCTTGTGTTTTTTTGTATTGGGTGTACACTGTACATTGTACTACTTAAAATGTCGTTTTCTTTGTATGAAAACAAGCATTTGATTTTCAATTAAAGATGCAAATACAAACTAGCGAAAGTATTTTCGATCGAAGTCAATTTTAATTTTAACTAAATCGAAGTCAATTTCGTTTTTGAAAAAACATTTTTTCTGGCCATTGTTCTGCCTTCGGTTCTACTCGCAGTTCGATAAGATTTCGCCACTTCACAATCCACTATAACTCTTCCCAAACCTCACGAAAAAGAAAGATCATTCATTTTCGGGAGAGTGATTGCTGCGCCCCATATGCTAGCAAACAAGTCACGATCAAAATATGGCTTGTTATGCTTGATTTGTATGTTCCCGCCAAAGTCGTTTTATAGCCCGTAGATCTTCCATTGAAGGATGCAAAAATTTAATTATAACAGTCTTCGGAAAAATAGCACATATTGAAAATGATTTTTGACAATAGTTTGACATGAGAGTAGCAACAATATTGCCCAATGCGATATAGTACAGTTACACCATAAATTAAAAAGCGATATTGTTAAGTTGTACACCCAACAGAACGCAGGTAATTATTAATCGATCGAGTGTGAGATAGTTCGAAATACTAGGAATGTAAAACATGATTCATTCTAGACAGTCTCAATGATAACAATAGCGACAGTGGCAATTTCCAATCGATACGAAGTCAAAACTTGAGGCGCATGTATCCACTTGAACTTGGGTGGTCTGATGAGAACGTAAATTTAATTTGGAAATCAACAAAAAAAAAATGTATCAAAACACTTACTTCAAATAAAAGATGAAATTCACTTCAAACTATATAAATTGGGAACAGCAGAAACACACGACGTATCAATTTATAATGAGCGATTTGCAAACAAAACTTTTACTTGAATAACCAAAAAACTTATCACCGCAGAACAACACCACACCAGCTGTCGAGTCTTGACTTGAGTCCGTTGAAAACGACAATATGCTACTGATCGCTTTGTTGTTTGCCATTTTAATCGGTGCTGAACTATTCAATGAATTTTTTTTTCTGCTTATCAGACGTGTCTGATAATCGCTTGTGTTCAGACAAAGGGCCGGATCATGCACACACGAACAAACTAATACTTAAAATGGTTTTTATGACCAAAACAAAGCATGCGATTGTGCCATAACCATTTCGATTTGCGAAATAAGTATTACAATTTTCGATGCATTTTCTTAGGAATATGCAAGTAATAAGTAGACACATCAACAAATATTTACTTGGAGAATGTAAATGTTAAAAAATTGAAATAATTTCGATTGAAAATAGTAACCTGCAATGCTAAGGAACTAACATTTCTCTGTAATGAACAGTGCTAAAAAATTATCATTTCCTGGAAAATGCTAAATATTGCTCATTCAATTATCTAAGAAAAAAAGTTTTGATCAGCATAATATTGAGTAAATTGAGTGATTATTCATTCAATTTCGAACTATTTCATGTTATTTGTATATGAACAAAAAAGCCGTGGACACGAGCAGTTATCGTTATTTTTTGTTGACGATGGAGTCATTGTATATATTTTTGGAAATCTAAAATAAAAAATTCGTTTGAACGCACGCGACACAGTTATTTTATGTTTTGCTTGCTTAATGAATCATATGAATAAAAAAAAACATTATTTGAATAAATTCCATGAACTTTTCAAACAAACTCACAATTATCCAATGATAGGAAACTTTCTTAGTTCTTAAAACATACCAAAGAGGGCGCCAACAGCTGTACATAGAAAGTTCCATAAGAAAGCGCCTTCTTTGTCAAATATCTTGTTGTTGGTCAAGAAAAAGTATGTATAGTTTCCTGTTGTTGCAATTATCGCTTGTATTTGGTGTGGGGTGAACACGGGTAAAATCTGCAAGAAAAATAAAATAAAATAAATCAAGTTACATTACTGTGATTGATACAAGTTTTTGTGTTAATTCATAAATTATTTCAATGTTTACTATACATACATTCACAAACAGCTTTGAATTTTACTTTCATTCCAAACGAACAAATAAATAATTACAATGTTAATTTAGATAAATATTCAAAGATATTTGCTTTTTCATTGTTCTGGTGTTTTTGCATAACTGAGGAAGTAATTTCCTCATATATTCAAGTTCTTTTGGAATTAAAATCTAAATTCAAATTCCATTTTTGAAACATCATGTTAAACGTGATAACCCACAACATTTTTAAAATATGGTTTATTTATAGTGTTTGACTACTTTATGTTCTTTTTTCGATTATAAAGAGGAAAACATAGTTTTCAGTTCCAAAATCCAATCCATTAAAATAAGAAAGCATCCAAATGAGTTGCATTTTGTTTCGACATATGAAAAAAAAAACTGCCGATGGATATATTAATTTGTACTGACAGATTCAAGTTTTGTTAAATGTCACGTACGTGACGTGTCGATTGGCCGCAATTTAGAGGTTATGTGTATTCCGTAAATAAACACAATTGTTTGGTCTGAATCGTAACTTATTTGCTGTAGAATTGAAAGTTTAGTGCGGAAAATATACGGGGGAAAATGGCCAGTTTAATTCAATATGTGATTGTAAATAAAGAGATAATAACGAAACTGGGCTGGCCATTGGGAGCAGTAATTGCTCAGTGTTGTCATGCAACAACTGCGGTTGGTCACCAATTCAAAGACGATGCTGATGTGAAGACGTACTTTGGTGACATTGACAATATGCACAAAGTTGTTTTGGAGGTGAATATTCTTTGATAGTCTTTCAAAGATCTTCTTTGAATTATAGCAAAGACTATGTATGCTACCGGTTTGGACTACATGTAGTTTTGTATTTTTCATCTATAGTTCATCTAACTAATTTTGGACATGTAATAATTTGTTTTTGTTTTTCCTCTCTTCAATTACAGATTGCTACTGAAGATGAGCTACGGAAACTAAGTGAAGATCTTGTAACAAATGATATCAAACATAAGCTTTGGATTGAGCAGCCAGAAAATATTGCCACCTGCATCGCTTTAAAACCATACGAAAAAGATTCTGTTAAAAAAATCACACGAAAATACAAAATGCTCAAATAAGTGTAAATAAAATTGCATCAAGTTAATATAATTAAGTGCTCTCTCATCGAATGTATAAGCAATTTATGAACTAAAAAGAACTTATGTTTGCACCTTGCGAGCGAAAGAGACAAAACAAGACCGTTCTTGAGTTTTTAGTTACTTAATCTATTTTGTTGTTTCACAACAAACTTTTTTTGGCGCACTACATGAAATGTATTTCATCAAAGTAACTTTGAAGTAATATATTTATTTGCAAAATGAATTACAAGATCTTGATTTAATTTCTTTTTTGAAATATACTGCCTTTGGTTTAAATTAAATAAATAATATGAGCATAGAATCTAAAATCACTTTAATTCTTTTCAACACTCAGAAAAATACTATACGAAAAATTAATGTAATTTCACCGTGCAACACATGTTTCTGCACATGAGAAATTCCGATTGCTTGTTTTAGAGGACCAAAAACCAAGCACCTTTGCATCATTAGTTTGTTCGAAACCACGTCTAGATTTTTTTTTATCGACAATATAAGACAAATTTCAGGTCAAAATGAGCAAATCACAAACATAAGCATCGATTTGACAGGTAAAGGCAAATGATTTCTACCTTTTCTGCCTTTGAACAACTAGTATGATCCTTTACAAACATTTTGGGTACTTACATGACCAAATCGAGTGATGTTTTCACATATTTCTGGCCGCATATTTGGTTGGTTCGAATTCAACTCTGAAAGAATCGACTTTTGGCCAAAAATCCTTAAATATAGGCTTTTTAGGGATAGTATCTTAGCGCAAAGTTATTTTTTCTCGAAAATATGGGGAGTCTACCCAGACCAAATCTCTCAAAATTGACTTTTCGAGGTACCTTCTGAACAAAAGTTACGTTTTTAATGCATTTTGCTATGAAAATATCATTTTTTGTTCGGGAGGTACCCCAAAAATCATTTATAAGAGATTCTGTGTGGGAAGATTCCCAATATTTCTCGAAAAAATTAATTTTTTACTAAGAAACTCATCCAAATAGTGTATTTTTGGGGTACCTCCCGAACAAAAAATGTTATTTTCATAGCAAAATGCATGAAAAACGTAACTTTTGTTCGGGAGGTACCTCGAAAAGTCAATTTTGAGAGTTTTTGTCTGGGTAGACTTCCCATATTTTCGAGAAAAAATAACTTTGCGCCAAGAGACCATCCCTGAAAAGCCTATACTTAAGGATTTTTGGCCAAAAGTCGATTCTTTCAGAGTCGAATTCGAACCAACCAAATATGCGGCCAGAAATATGTGAAAACATCACTCGATTTGGTCATGTAAGTATCCAAAATGTTTGTAAAGGATCATACTAGATGTTGAAAGGCAGAAAATTTAGAAATTATTTGCTTTTACCTGTCAAACCGAAGCTCATGTTTGTGATTTGCTCATTTTGGCCTGAAATTTGTCTTATATGTGTCGATAAAAAAAAGTCTAGACGTGGTTTCGAACAAACTAATGATGCAAAAGTGCTTGGTTTTTGGTCCTCTAAAACAAGCAATCGGAATTTCTCATGTGCAGAAGAAAAAGTTGAAATTTGTTACACGGTGTTTTCCAGGGCCAAAGAAAATATTTATTTGAATAAAAAATATTTAAATAAATATTTCGACGTTTTTTGGGAAAAAACTATTTATTCAAATAAAAAATATTCACGTAAATATTTTGGCGTTTTTGCATCTCAAAATCAATATTTTGTACAAATATTTCTGAATCATATTTTCGACATGCAACGAAATCAACACAAATTTCTCTATTCTTCGAAAACATACATTTATACAAAATTTGCAAAGAACATCTAAACTGAGTTTACTGCGAACAACATCTCTTTTACGCTAACAGAAATTCGTCCACGAACGAGTCAGTGTGACGGTTGGTGTGAGCGAGACAGGATTTGACAGCAAACAATTTGTTTGTATCAGTTTAAATGTTCTTTATATTGTTGTCAAAACAAGTTAGTGAAATAAGTGAAATAAATGTCTGTATACAGCAAAATGATTTCTTATTCAAAATATTTATATGAGTGTTTTCGTTTGCTGTTTTAATGTAACTAATCACGAAGGACTGTTTTTGATTGTGTAGGCAGTACGGTTTAGCAGTCCCAATCACATCTTGTGACGTCGAAGTATCTTTTCACATCACAAAGGTGTTTTGAGTGACAACCTACGAGCATTGTTGTTTGAAAACTTGAAAAAAATATGTGGCCAATGCTTGTAATCAGTTGGAATAGTGAAAGACACACTTCAATAAATTCTTAGGAAGATCCAAGTATTGATTTTTCTCTTAAATATTTTATATTTATCGTAAATATTTTGCCATGTTTTTTCGATTTAGCGTACATATTTGGGGCCTTTTTCAAAGATATTTAAATAAATATTTTGGCTGTTGAGCGTAAATATTTTCTTCGGCCCTGGTAATTTCTAAACAACATTTGATGATAAAAATTTGATTGGCGCTTTGAGATATTATGCACTTATTTGTCGTTAGTGCAACTGTTTTAAATTAAATAAAAAATATGAGCATACAATTCAAATTCACCATAGTTTGTTTCATCACTCGAAAAGTATTAAGAAAAAAAAGAAGCAGATTATTAGCTCTACATTTCATGTAGTGCTAAAAAACCATTTAATAATTGTGAATGCATTTTTTGGATAAGTTTTTATTAATAAAATTCCAAATACAAAGAAAAGGGTATGATGAATGATTATTGGGAAAAGACTCTAGTCATAATCCATGAAATGATTGATAATTTTATTAGACTATGCTTACAATTAGGCTGATAGCTATCATAATTTTAAATGCTTCCGTTGACTGATGTATTCGGCAAGGGGCTCGGGTAGAGTTTGTTCTTCTTGGCCTTGTTCATCTTGCAGTTGTTGACGGATGCGGCGAAACGAAGTGATTTGACCGTTTCGATGAAGCAATCTTGGAATGGTGACACATTCACAAACATGAGTGTTTTGGAATTGCCGCCCAAGCTTGGCATCAGTAAATGTGTAAGTTTGGAATTTCGGTAAGGGATATGGTCTTGTTTTTGTAGTAGTGCCATAATTACATTGGTGAGTTCGCTCAGCGATTTATTAATCTTCTTTGTTTCTTCCATTCGTACGCTGGTTTTTGGACTCTCTGAACCGGCCAAATCAATCAAATTGATTGTGCTTATGGTCATTTCATTTTTACCCTTGTGTTCACCAAATAAACGCAACTGGGTCACCGAATGCGAACGCGACGACCGTTCGTTACCAACCGTTGCCGCTGTTGCACGATTTCGTTTAGCAAACTCAATCAGTTGATGCAGCTCTTCTTTATTGCGCACATCGTAATCGGTTAGATTCGATACGAAGATTTCGGTTGGCGTCTTTGCACTAACCATTCGAATATCCAGATCTTTTGCCTCGTTGCTCAACAAATCGAACAGGATTTCGTTGTAAATTTCAAGCGATGATGCACGCAATGTGAATTCCCAACCAAGTCGCTTATTTTGCTGGAAACAATCGAACAATAGGTCAATCGTTCGTGGAATTATACCAGGCATCGAATCAGTACCGTCCATTGTAAACGTTTTTCCACTTCCTGCAGGGAAATAGATGATGGAAATTGATTGCAGTTTTTTAATATTCAAAATTTATTCTTTTCACATTTTTTGCTTCAATTTCGACCCAAGTTTAATTCATTCACATTTGGCAAAATTTCGAAAGAAAATTCCAACTGAAACCAGTTTTAAATTAAGATAAATCAAAATGATTAAAATTAAATGATAAATGATTAAATTTCAATCTTCTATTAGCGATTTGAAAATACAAAAGAAAGAGAAAAATTTGGTATTTTCAACTCACCAGTCTGGCCGTAAGCGAAGATGCATACATTATAACCATCGAGAGCCGATTGAATTAGTGGCGAGACTAACTCGAAAATGTCCTCTTGCATTGAATTCGAACGAAAGACTTGATCAAAGCTGAACTCATGCTTCACAGGCTTCTTGTTTATTTCAACGCTTGCTAAAATTGATAACAAAACAATTGAAAAATTGTATTTAAAACATAAAATTGCAAAGAATAAATGTAATATTGGCACATCGACAGTTTGACTCACTGATTTCCATCGAAGTTTCGTCATTATGTTGCCAAGCACATTGGGTGCGGTTTTCTTCACCATTCAATGGTGGCCGAACACGGCAAAATACTCGAATATTTCCACGCAAATCCATGATAGTATTGTGTAGATCCTTGCGATCGATATTGGCCCGAAACAATTGTTCGCCAGCCTCCTGTAATTCCAATGTCAATTGCTCGATCATGTCTTGTTGTGACTTCAATTTGGTTTCCAATTCGGCGTTGTTGGTTTTCAGCTCAGTGTTTTCCGTATTTACAGTGTTGTATTGTGCGGTAATTGTATCTTTAGCCTCGGTTAAAGCACGGCATTCTTCGATTTTGGCATTTAAATCTTCGTTCAACGTTTTGATTTTCTGTTCATCTTCTGCATTTTGTTGCTCCAGTTTCGCCAATTGCTCTTGCACTGATTTATATTCGGTTTCTAAATTGCTCAATTTAGCACGGCATTCATCATATTGTTCGGGCAGTGATTCGAATTCGCCTAGTTGCTCCTTTAGTCGTTCATGTTTCTCTTTCAGCACTTTGTGTTTTTCGGACAAATCATAGAACCGTGCCTTGAAGTCATAGGCGGGTATCTTTTTACCACCGGTCACCAATTTCGCTTTGGCACCATCACCATTTTCTTTTTTTGCAGTGACAGCGGCCACTGTTTTGTTTAACGCAAGTTTTTTGTGTAATGGTGCTTTTGGTTTGATTGCTGTGGCGCTTGGCTTGGTTTTTGGTGGAGCTAGTGACACTTTGATCGCTTCGATTTTTGATGATGGTGCCAATGGAATTCGAAATGGTCGGGCAGCGCGTTTTTGTGCTTGAGCCATGCTCAATATTGCATCGATGTCACTGACTGAACGGCTGCGACGCAGTTTTTTCGCCGCAATCGACTGCGATTTTGCTGAACGAAATTCAGGCGATGCATGACGTTTTGTCGGACGATTTGCCGCATTTGTTGTACCATTTCTCAAATTGTTCATTACATTCTCAAATGATGTGAGCGCCGGTCGATTGGCTATATTCGATTTTACACCCGGCACCACAGCCGTTTTATTCATGCTTTGCAGCAGAAAAGTGTTTGCTGACGGTGTAACCAATCGATCGGTGGGAACATGAGCACGAATCGCTGGCTTTTTTATCATTGTCGGTAATCTCGATTTATTTTCCATCTCGTTGAATTCAATTGCAAACAATACGTTTATTAAAAACAAAACTTCACACACACAAATTGGTTTGAATAAAAAAAAAAGAGTCTTTATTTAAAAGGTTCAATTGACAAACACACTATAAACGGAACGGGACAAAAAAGTGCGTCTGAAATGTCGTTGATTCGGTATGTGTTTGAAACAACCGTTGACCGACAACTCTGCGTTTTCAATTTGATTTTTCAATTGCGGATTTCGTCGACACTTTGACATATTACGTATTTCGTATACGTACTTTCACTACGCACTTTCACTATTCTGCGTTTGAATTCAAATAAAATAGGAACAAAAAATTTCTTCAACATTTTTTATCACAATATAATTTAATATTCGTTCATTGAAAATTACTCATGTTTCGAATGAAAAAAGGAGGAAATCTTTGTAGCGATTAAACAAAATCAACGATTGCATAAAGGCCGGTTTACATGCATCGAAAATGTGTCGCGTGATTATTGCCTGCTTTCTGTCGACATTGATAAGTCAAAGTTTTTTTTTCGCTTGCGGAAACTCTCCACATACAAACACACAAATGTGAATGGATGTGAGCGAGTGAGGAGAATGAAAGAATGAAAAAAAACACAAGCAGTCATTCGTACTGGCAAAAGAGTGTGTATGATTTATATATTTATGTTTTTGCGTACGTTCATATTGACAGAAGAAAAGAAGTGCGACTAGTTAAAAGCGAAAAGAGTGAAGAAATTAAACGATCAAGTATCGTGAGTGTGTTATAATTAAGCAAATATTGATAAAAAGAACGCAAAACTCGGTTCACCATCAAAAAAGAACACAAACAAATGTTTTTCGCTGGACATTTATTATGTTAAGATCGTAAAAGTGGCTTTTGTAAGCGATAACTTGAGTTTTGAGCGATACTTCCTCCAAAAAATGCAGGTATTGTGTGTGAATCATTTTAAACGAATTCACAAGCGGTTGAGTAAATTATCAATTAGCCACTAATTGTTGTTTCGTTTTCAATTTTTCTCTGTGTTTGTGCAAATTGAAATACAAACGCAATTTTAGCAAGTCGATGATCCTCCCTATCTGACGGTGGGCACGGAGGTAAGCGCCAAATACAAGGGTGCTTTTTGCGAAGCGAAGGTGCGTAAAGTGGTTCGCAATATCAAATGCAAGGTTGCTTATAAACAAGGTCTTGGCTCCGGTACGGTGTCCGATGACCAAATCAAATGTGACCTTTTGCGTGTCGGTGCAACGGTCGAAGTGAAACACCCGGATCGACGAGAGACGGTCGAAGCAACCATAACAAAAATTCAAGATTACTCACAATATACCGTCGTGTTTGACGATGGTGACATTACAACATTACGACGCAGTGCATTGTGTCTGAAGAGCGGACGACATTTTAACGAAAGCGAAACGTTGGATCAGCTACCGTTGACACATCCCGAACATTTTGGGAATCCAGTGATTGGTGGACGCCGCGGCAGAAGGTAAGTTTGTGTAGAATTTCCCCCAAAATAATTCAATTCAACGTTACTCATACGCCTATTTGCATTCTTTCCCACCACTTAACTCAGCTTGGAGTTGTACAAAAAGAGTGTTGCTCGATCACGACAAGGTCAAACACCAGATGAAAGTTCCGAAGAGGACGAAGAGCCAGAAGCAGTGAAGCCACGAATCGTCGAAAAAGAAGAGCACATTGGCAAGATTGTCTGCGTTGAAAGTACAGACACCAAGAAAAAAGGGCCAAAAGAAAACTGGTTCCCAGCTTTGGTTGTAGCACCAACGGCACAAGACACTGTGAGAATTCGTGTGAAAGAGGAATATTTGGTGAGATCATTCAAAGACGGCCGTTATTACACCGTTCCTAAGAAAGAGGCCACTGAGTTCACACGTGAACAAGCAACGAAACAAGATACGGCGGCCGTACAGGCAGCGTTAGAATATTTGCATAGTGATTGTCTGCCTGCGCATTGGGATCGCGAGGTATTGTTTGGCTTGGGCAATTCATCGAGCGATTTTTACAATGAATTCGATTCTGACACGTCGGACGATGAGCCCACTGAAGAGAAAGACCATTTCGTAGCACAACTCTACAAGTACATGGATGATCGCGGAACACCGTTGAACAAAGGTCCAAGTATCATCAATAAGGATGTCGATTTATACCGGCTTTATCGAGCTGTTCAAAAGCTCGGCGGTTACAATCGCGTTACATCGCAAAATCAATGGAAACAAATTGCGATTCGGCTGGGCTTTGTTCCGACAACCACGAGCATTCAGAATCTCGTAAAACAAGCCTACAAAAAATTCCTATTGCCATTCGAAGAGTTCGATCGAAAATTGGGCTGTTCGTTGGTCGCACACCCACGAGCCAATCGCATCAAAGGTCGAAGTTTGTTGCGAGCCAATTCAGTCGCTTCACCGAAACCGGAAAAAGAGGCCAAATCCACCACATCAGCGGCTGAAGAGTCGGAGAATACAAGTGAATCAAGTATTGACACAAAACCAAAAACTAAAACCGGTAAAGTGAAATCATTGGTTGATCGATACGAAGAGAAAGTGGATGAAAGTCGACGCGAATCGAAGGAAAATCCAAAGGAAAAGGAAAAAGAAAAGGAAAAGGACAAAGAAAAGGAGACGAAGAAAGAGAGTGGGAAACGAGATAAGGAGAAGGACAAGGACAAGGAAAAGGAAAAGGAAAAGGAAAAGGAAAAGGAAAAGGACAAGGAGAAGGAGAAGGAGAAGGACAAGGACAAGGATACGGCATCAAGTTCCAAGATTGATGTGCCAGTGACGCCATCAAGTAAAAAAGAGAAATCGAACAAAAAACCAGTCACACCGCAGGTTGATGAAAGGAAAAGCCGAAAGAAGGGCAAAGACGTCGAAAGCAATGAAAAGATTAAAGTCGAAACCGACGAAAAAGACAAGGTCGATCAAAGCAATGTGCAACCAATCAATGTTGGTGATAAATTGCGAGTTTATTATCATGAACAAAAAGTCACGTACGAAGCAAAAGTAATTGAAATTTCCAAACAAAATGACAATTTGTTGTACCTCGTACATTACACCGGGTGGAATACAAGGTATGACGAATGGGTGCCGAAGGAGCGGATTGCCGAAAATTTAACGAACAGTAAAACGAGCAAGCGTGCAAAAGCTGGTGTTAAAAATGAAACTCGTTCAAATAGTTCGACGTCAGAGAAATTGCCAGGTCCATCGCCAGTGATTCGTTCATCGAGTAAACGAAATCGCGTCAGTTCAAGGGGTGATTCACAACCGCCTCGTTCTACAACCCCATCATCGATTGCCTCGAATTCAAGTCGAACAAAATCTCCGGCAACACCAGCTCAACAGCGTCGCACAACTCGTGGTCAACCGGGTAAATTGCGACGAACATCCAACAACACCGACATATCATCGCTGCAAACCGACTCAGACAGTGATTCCGATGAGCCAGTCGTGAAAAAACCAACGCCAAAACGGAAATCAGGCGCGGTTAAAGCGAAAGTCAAACGTGAGGCTGCTATCGAAGCGGTTGAAATAAAAAAAGAAAAAGACTCGAATCCAAGTTCGGAAGAGGAGACATTGGCCAGTGCGGTTGCGAAGAGACGTGGTGAAATCGATTTGAATCAAATGCGTTCCGAACTCAAAGGCTTCAATGACATTGATAAACCATCGACTGATGCCGGCGTTTCAAGTTCAACGACGATGGTTGAAAAGAAATTTGATTACATCCCAAAAGTGGAACCGACCGAAGCGGATATCACAACAACAGCAACAACATCAAGCACGACCGTTAGCACCAGCACTGGTATCACAGCTCGAACGAAAGCATCACCTGTCAATTCATCCGATACGAATGATTCGTCTGGCGACGAAGATTCACAATTCTCCGATAAAACGACTACACTTGAGAATGTGTCAGATAAATTGAATAAATTCATTTTCGATAAAAATGCGTCGGGCAGTAAACATGATATGGTAGCAACATTGAAACAGTCAGGCATCGAGAAAATCATCAAAAGCACACTGGCAGAGAAACCAAAAGCATTGCCCGATAAACCAACGATGAAAACACTCGTCGAACACACACCATTAAAGGAGGTCGACAAAAAGGTCGAAAGTGATGCAACGACCGATAGGGAATCGAAACCATCGGCAGCGTCCGAACAAAAGCACACAACAACACACGATAAAGAAGCGGCCAAAGAGACAAAGACAAAAGGAGCTGTGGTTGAGCCTGGTTCAGAACAAGTGAGTGGTGTGACGGTGAAAATTGAGGCAGATAAATCAATTTTAGCAGAGAAACCGGATCAAGAATCGGATCTTACTAAAACGAAGCTACCTGATGCGGAGAGCAAAACGGATACTCCATCACAAACGCCAACGACATCAACACAATCTTCCACCAGTCAAGAGCAACTGACATTGGACCCGAAACTCAACACCGATGTTACGTTAAAGGTTGAAGCTGGCGAAAAGCCAACGCCGAAACAAATCTTTGCCGAAAAACCTAAATCATTCAACAAGACAATGATACGGCAACCGCTGGCATCTCCTAAAGACGAACCGAAATCGAGTGGTGATTCCGATGCAGTGGCCAGTGGCAGTGCATCAACTTGTGATATTTATGAGTTTAAAGAACCAGAACTGTTCGAATTCGAAACATCAAAGAAACTATCGCCAGAAGTGGACAAAAAGGCAAAGCGAAAAGCACAAATTGATACAGCGAAACCATCCGCATTATCATCATCGTCGTCCTTATCACCAACGTCAACGGCCATGCCAGCAAAACGAACAAAAAAACCGAGTAAAGAGCCGGAAAAACCGACCAAAGAGAGTGACGACCGAAAATCACCAAAATCATTGCTAACCACCGGTTCTGTGTTTTCGGTGCGTGTTGATTCGATATTCGATTCGTTGCGCAAATCACCATGCTATATGCCAGATCAAGTCGATGAAGCCATGATGATGAGTGAGGATTGCCCATCAACATCCGAAGCAATACCAGTACAACAATTGCAATCTGAGATGAAGCCATTGTTTATCAATTCATTTGTCGATGCAACGCCGGCAGATACATCGAAAATATTCGATTTGAAAAGTGGCCCCAGTGATTTTAAAGAGGATCTGGAAAATGATTTGGAATCAGCAAAAAAATTCATTCTGAGCGATGAAGTGTTGAATCAAGAGCCGCCAAAAATTGACAAGCCATCATCAATTGCCGATAAAGTGTTGAAAGCGCTTCATTCAGCACAGCAAATGCCTGGTACATCTGCAGCAGCTGGCTCTGAAACTTCGTCGATCGAAATATCAACAGCAGCAGCAGCAGCAAAAGACACGGAATCAGAGAGCACAAAACCAATTACGGTTGATGTCAAACCAAAGGTGTTATCCTTTGACAAATCGGTTACACCATCCACATCGACATGTGGCGTTAGTGATTCAGCGACGACATCGGCACGAGCTACTTCATCATCTTCATCATCATCATCAGCATCATCAACAACATCATCATCATATCGGGCTGGCATCTCGCCAACCACCGAATCAGCAACCATTAAGCCAGTTCTCAATAAGATTGATATTCTGGAATCAATATCACCGAAAAATAACGATCTCAGTGAAACGATCCAGAAATTGGAATCAGCCATTCAGAAATCGGGTGAGCACACTCACATGTCCGAAGATACATCGGACAGCACGGACTCAGAGCAACGACTTGTTATCGAAGATGAATCTCAAAGTTCGGAAACGCCGAATGAATTCGTTTTGAGCAAGCAGGAAAGTGATCAATCATATGGCGGTAAGCAAATTGGCAAAGAAAAAGAGAAACCATCAACGGTGGCTGCTCCAGTGGTTCTTGATAAGAAACTGCATGATTTCGATGAGAAAGAGAGTGCTGAAAAATCAACGCCAACAATATCAACGGCCACGACAGCACCGGTGTCGAATATCACACCAAGTGTCACAAATACTACCGCAAGTCCAGATTCAAAGGCTCAGGACGAGCCAAGTAGCAGGGATCAAATGGCAACAGCAGTGAAAACCGAAGAATCTGCCGATAAAGTTAAGATTGAGGATGAACTTGCCGCTGAGAATGCTCAAAATGAATCAATATCGTTGTTGTTGTGCGAAGAAACCATTCCGGGTAGCCCAGCACCAGCCTGTCCAAAGGAACAATGCGATTTAATCAAAAAGAATTATGATAGTATATTCACTAGTCCATCGACAGTAGCTGAGGTTGATGCCAAGCCAATTCCCACCGAAACCAGCACCAGTAGCACCACCACCGCTGTCGCTGATGGCAAACACAATAAGAGTAAAAATGCTACGCCTCGCAGTTCTCCCAGAGATTCAATGAGTCAGGAAGATAGTAGCGAAGAGAACAACAAAAAACCAGGTAACATTTTTTAGCAAAAGGATGAAAATTGCTTCATTGACATGATTTGGAACAAAAAAAAAACATTAAAACTATTTGATTTATTTGCTCTAGAACCTGATCGCATTGGATCAGCCAAAAAGCGACGTTGCACTCGTAAGCAATCTGAAGCAGAAGTAGCATCAAAACGACGAAAAACGGCTGCGAGAAGGAACACCCAAACTGGTAATGTTTCAATTCGAATATTTAAATAAAAATTTGTTTTGGAATCTATATTTGATTCAAACATGAATCAAACTAAAATATTAATACCGTTAGATATACTGAATAACCAATGCTTAAATTGATTTCTGTCTTTTGATTTGTTTTAGTTTGCCATATATTCATAACTGGCATTCAACTAATTCATTCATTCATTTTTTTTTCGTAGGCTCCGAAAGTGAAGATAACTCAGATGCAATAACTCCACATAAGCTACAACGACCATCAAAACATTATCAATACAATTTTCTTGTTCAGCTTGGTATGTGCTAATCATATGTTTGTTCAAATGTTTGACTATTCATTTCTATTTGCTTGATTCAATATTGTTTTCACTTCATTATTTGCTAACAATGTCCATTATTCATTCAATTTTCCATTTATTCCAAGATTATTTTGGATTTGATGTGATAATTTGATTGCTTTTAATCAATAATAATTATTGATTTAGACTACGAAATATTAATCAATTTCAATTTACTGTTTACAGATCCGGCTATGAATAGCAGTCAGCGAATCACTTTGCTCAAGAAGAAGATTCAAGATTTGCGCAAAACCTACAACATGATCAAAACTGAGTTGGCAAGCATTGATCGGCGGCGGAAAAAGTTGCGGCGTCGCGAGCGAGAAATGAAGAAAAATGTCCAGAAGCAGTTACAACAGCAGCAACAGCAACAACAGCAGCAGCAACAGCAGCAAAATCAGCCAATACAAGTCGATGAAAATCACCCATCAATAATATAAATGTCGTAACATGATGCAAAAGTACGAGAATGTGTCTTTTCTATTTAACTCTAAGACAAATGCAAGAACATTCTTTCCCCCCCCCCATTTTTTTCGCATAATGGAATAGCAATTATTTTACATATATTTTTTTTGAAAAATTATTTGAGGATTATTTACTCTCTTGCGCCTGTGTAAAAGTATGGAATTCCATTCTATTTTGTAATTGAGAAAAAGAATATCATTTTAAACATTTTTCACTAAAACTTCAAGAAAATGATAGAATGGAGGTTAAAAAAAATGTTGGCCCAGCCAAGTTTCATTCTGTTTTTATATGCACGTATATTTTAATGCGTTCACATCATCAATTTGTTTTTTCATTTTACATCTTATCGATTCTCAATTTTTCAATTTATTAAGCGAAAGAAGAAGAAAGAACACAAAAATTGAAATGATACCAATAATTGAGACATTTGCACGTAGAAAACTACTTTAGAATTAGTTCTGATATTAGACCGTTTTTTCTCGTCAAAAAACACAATTATACAATTTGAAATATTAAACATGTTTGTATATGTGCAAATTAAGTTCGTAAGAATTTTACTAAGCTGAGGAATTGTATTTACTACGTTTTAAATAAAAAAAAAAAGAAATTTAAGGAAAATAACAAGTAATTTAGTTGCATTTTTCCAGAATTTCCAGTCTTTTAGCAAGTTTGAACCACATGTTACCAATTCAAACAATGTAAATGTTGAAATTGCGCAGTAAACTTCGAAATTTTTTTTTTAAACTCGTTCCATTCTAGGGGCAAAGCATAAAATACAAGACTCGCCATTGATTTATGCTCATCCACACAATATTCACTCATAATTGACGGCCTGATAGTGAAATAATAACCTACAAGATGTATTTACAGAAGTATAATAGAAACAAAAAATGCGAATAAGTATATTGTAAATTTTCTGAGCGCAAAAACCAAACCTGCCTATTAGGATCGACCAATATAGTAGGCAGGTTCGGTTTTTCCGCTCAACATTTGTGTGACGAACGACCTTTGTGTGTTTGGTTTTTGCGCTCAGAAAATTTACAATATACTTATTCGCATTTTTTGTTTCTATTATACTTCTGTAAATACTTCTTGTAGGTTATTATTTCACTCTCAGGCCGTCAATTGTATGAAACTGAACATTCAAAAAAATATTTGCGGCATTTGTGGTAAATATTGGGTATTTGCGACGCATTTAAAGATTATTTTTTCTTCAACACTTGTGTCGCCATTATCTGACCATCTAACATTTTCTCACTGAAATAGTCCAGCGAATAATATTGCACTAAGCTACATTGTGGCCAAGCACAGATTGCGATAAGATTTTTGTGCATCCAATAAGTGCCACATATCAAAAGGATTTGTTGATTTTTATTTAAAATACAACACCTCAAACATTGACATCTTGAATATTCCCACAAACATATTTGCAATTAGACAATATATTTGCTAGAAGTGATATGACGAAATATTTCCGTGATTAAAATAAACATATTTGTTTTTTATACTTTGCCCCTAGACTTGGTTTCGATTGGGCTGAAATGTACCATTGCAAGGTAAATCGTCCAAAAAATGTTTGCACTTAATAGGTTAACTAGTTTACTCAACATGACAAATGGTTTTCATATTTCTACTAATTCATTCACAGGTCATTTGTTTTTCAGCAACAACAAAAAAAAAAACATTTAAAAACGATTAAAGCCTAACAACGTCTAGACTGAATTCTTTACAAAAAATTCGAAAATCACTAAATCAAATTGCTTTCAAAAATACTTTCAAATTAAATTGAAAGAAATAATTTGTCCCGAAAAATGACAATTTTTTTTAAATCAAACGATTTCTTCCTCATTAAAAATTAAATAGACAATATATTTGGGAGACGTTTTTATTTATTCATTTTTTACAACGTTCGATGTTATTGTCATTTGGAGTATGGTTTTGCGACATAAATGAGAAAAGCTAATTTGACATCTATCAGACTAGTGTGTTTTTGTTTCTTCGTTTTTTTTTTTAAATCAATTTGTGAGTCAATTTTTTAAATACTAAACAGAAAGACCAATTAAAAAGAGACAACAAAAAATTACATCATCATTTAATACTTGTCCATATAATTTAAATACATTCCAACATGTGAGGCCGACAACAATGCTCATTTATCTATGTGGAATTGGAATATAATATATAAAAAAGGTATTGGTGATTTGTATTTGGTATGTTTCGACCGAGGTATTAAGCGACACCCATTACAATCTCTGAATGGTTTGGTGGTCTTGAAGCTTCTTTAGTTGACTTAAATTGTCCCACCAGTTGGTTAACAGCTTGTTGGTTAATATCAATCGGAACCACGGCGTAAGCGGTGCATTTGAGGTTATTCGTTGAATTTCACTGTGAACGAAAACAAACGTCAATTAATTTTCAATCAACAATTTCTTTATCTCACTAAGATAAATGAATGAAAAAGAAAAAAAGAAACAATCATATCTTCAATGAAAATATCATTAGCGATTCATTCAACATTTCATTTCATTTAAAAATGCCTTTACCTCTCCAAATCGTTCCTCGGAACGTAGAAGACTTCACTGACTTCGTTTGGGTTTGGTATCAAGTCGACATTTTTTTGCAAGAAAAGAATGTAATCGATTTCATGTTCACCCCACGTACCATCACCGCTATCTTCATAGTGGATTCTCGTTAAATAATGGAAGTTCTCCGGTCGCGCCTACACGATAAAAATAATCAAAACCGAAAGTTGAATGAAATATGTTCAGTTGTTAGTTTTTTTTTCCTCAAAAATCGTACCTGGTTCAAAGGAATGCCAAGCTCATAGTTTAAGCGTCGTTGTGCCGCCTTTCGAATTCCCATTGCATTAATTTCATCTCTTTCGCACTCAATATCGTACAGTGGATGACTACAGCATGCATTTGTGTAGCAATCAGGGAAGGTAATCTGAGTACGTGTAACGAAAGTTAAAATGTGTCATCCAATGTTTACATTACACTCAATGGCCATTGAAATAGATAAAAACTAGAGAGAGAAAGAATTGGTGTTACAATTTACCTTGTGTGATGATCGTTTTTGGATCAGCATGTCACCATTTGTATTGAATAAAAAGACGCTGAATGCGCGATGCAATTTAATGTGCCCATTTTCATCAACACGATGGCAATCACGTTTGCTGGACTGTCCAATTGCCCGATCGAATTCATCGACTAGAATACAATTTTCGGCAAGTGCAGTTTCTTGCAGATTTTTCGCTTGTAATTGATTCGCAGCTGCAATTGTTGATGCCCAACGTGGACACGATGACTTGGCCATTAAGTAATGCAGTGAATTTCGAATAAAACTACTCCCCAACATTGTGTGTTGACTACAACCACATAAAATCAAGCGAACAAAAAAAAAATCAGCCTTCGTCGCACAACAATTTGTTGTTTACTAAAATTATCGTCCGATAATTTCGTTGAGCGCAATGCAATGCAGCTTTAAAAAAAAATCACTGTCAACACCACACAAATGATAACAGATCAGAAGAATCCGACCCGTTGTCCACTCTCAGGCGATAAGATTTATAACTTTCAGTTTGTGTACACGTTTATACGTACACGTTTTGTGTGTTCGTTTTCGTTATGATTTTCGTTTTCAATGCCTCACAATCGAAATCAAAACAATATAGCACACACCGATTTCACGAAATTCCAATTCACATATTCATCAGAGTGTGCAACCGTACATGCGTATGTGTATTGGTGCCATTGATATCATCTTCAGTCTTATATTATCTTCTACTGAACGAAACAAATGACTGGAAGATTCGCAAAAACGTCGGTCCCCCCCGAACCGATCTAGCCAACCATTGATAACCATCTGACCGACCGTTTTGTGTTCATGCAAAAAAAATTGCTATGATTTGAATTTGAATGAGTTACCATTTGCACTCACAAAGCATGCTACAAAACAAAACATAAAATCAGTGCGGTATTTGACCGTGAATTGAGTTCTACTTGCAGTCTGAACATAAAAAAATTGAGATTCAAACGTTTTATCGTCAATGAAATGTCATATTTTTCCATTCGCATTGGGCAATACTTGCATTACAACACCACGATTTAACTCGTCGTCGTACACTCCGTTGTAATTGGTATCAAACACTACGCATCCATTGAGTGAACGAACGAGCGAGCAAACGAACGGACGAACAAGTGTGAGTGTGAGTGTGTGTATGCGTATTTCTATTTCTAATTGTAAGTTGGGTGTCAAAAAGTCAAAATTGGTCGATAGTTTGTCGATACGCTAATATATCTTGGTTGGTGCACAAAATTGGAAAAAGCAAAAAAGAAGAATACTCGAAGCAACTCTCTCGTTCAGTTCGAATAAAACAGAATCTCACAGTACATCAAAATGGTAAGTCAAATAAGATCAAGTTTTGTGAATTGGGATTTTTTTTATCAACATCCGTTCGTTTTGCTATCTATTCATGTTTTAGATTCGCTTCATTTTGATACAAAATCGTGCGGGTAAAACTCGATTGGCCAAATGGTACATGAATTTTGACGACGATGAAAAGCAAAAATTGATTGAAGAGGTGCACGCTGTGGTCACTGTTCGCGATGCAAAACACACGAATTTTGTTGAGGTAAGTGGAGAAAAAAAATGTTTTGGTTGATTTTAGTCATTGGTCATAATTCCGAAGAAAATAACAAGCACTACATACACACACACACACATACGTTGACTCAGATGCTTTCTTTATTTTGACAATTCATCAATTTACCTTAATTCAATTGCAATTACATTCAATTCCCTTTTCATTTGCTTTCACACAACAACGTTTTGATTAAATGTCTTATTGTTGTTCTTTTTTCTCCTCTATTTGCAGTTCCGTAACTTCAAAATCGTGTATCGACGTTACGCTGGACTATACTTTTGTATATGTGTCGATGTGAATGACAATAATCTGTGTTATCTAGAAGCGATACACAATTTCGTCGAAGTTCTCAACGAATATTTCCACAATGTTTGCGAATTGGATCTCGTATTCAACTTTTACAAAGTGTACACCGTGGTGGACGAGATGTTTTTAGCCGGTGAAATACGCGAAACATCACAAACAAAAGTATTAAAACAGCTGCTCACGCTCAACTCACTGGAGTAAAAACAAAAACAAAAAAAAAAAGAAAATACATACCAATTCCAGTCTGTTTTTTTTTGTCGTTTCGATAAAGAGAAATATTTACGTAAATCAGCACATATATATAATATTAATTTCAACAGAAGAAAAACCCAATATTGTTCAATATTCGCAAAAAAGTGTAATAACTTCCCCATTATTCAGCGAATGATGAAATGCTCTTTATTTCCTTTGTTTGTTTATTGCTTTAAGCCTGAAAATAATGAAAGTTTAAAAAAAAATGGGAATATGATATGAGATTCGAATTTCATGGATGCAATGCTTTGTTATCAACAATATGCCGCGAAATGTGGGCGGTTCACTGTAATTCGGAACAATGAATTTCGATTAAAATAAATAAAAGAAATCTATGTATAAATAAAATAAACGATTTATTTGTCAAATGGAATATTTAAACACTCTCAAAATCGGAATAGTTACGTTTTTCTTTTTGTTTTTGTTTTGTATAAATTGCTACAATCATTTTGTTTTCCATGATATCGTTAGCAAAAGTAATGCACATCAAAATATTCATAAAAAAAAGGAAAAATGGCTTTGTTTCGATAACAAATCTTCTGTTATTATAGAATACAATATTAAATGAAAAATTAACAAATAAATTGATTTTCCTGATCATAAGCTAGAACAATTATTTTTGTCACACTTCTCTAAGGTATTTACTATCCGATTCAATGTTAGCGTATTCGAGTCTTTTGGTGCATCATTTGTTGTGAGAATCTCTAATGTTTTTTGCCACTGTGTTTCGATCACATTGTGCAAACGCTCGGCTATGTCACTCCTGTGGTGGTCAAAAGCGAATATTTATTAAATTATTTTACCAAGTTTTAAAGAATTCTTGCATTTAAATTCAATTATTTATATCCAATACAAGTGCTGTTTTTTGATCGGGATAAATTTTGCAATTTTGTTTCAAAATTTGCCCGAAATTTATCCTCGGATAAATTTTTCAAAAAGAGAGCCAATTTATTCATGAAATTTGTTGCAAATTTTATCTCGAGCAAAAAACAGCACTTGTATTGGATATATTTGAATTTAAATGCCAAAATCTTGTTCATAATTTTTGAATGATAAAATATTTCTTCTAGTTTTTAATGTGGAAAGAGTGTTTTTGATTTTTATAAGCGATAAAAATAACATTTAAAACTATATTTTGTAACTTTTGCGACATTTTTTTTCGTAGCAAATTCTTACCTTTTCGCTCGATAAACGCTTAGCTCTTGTTCCAACTGTGCAATGATTTTGGTAGCATTACCAAGTCGAATTTTACACAATTCCATCTCTTCGCGGTGCTTCTCCTCCAATAATAAAAACTCCTGCTCGTTCCTATAGTTAAACGGATGAAATGTTAGACATAAATCAGAGAATGGTTTATGGTCAACTTTGGATCATATTTATAAAATAAATGTATTTTTTAAACCACATTGCATTGACCATAGCGAATGTCGTTCGCAACGAGGACGGTGAGTTCGCGGTTTATTTTGTTGTGTATGTTATGTTTCGTTCAAGTGCTAAATGCTGCATATGCATGTATCTTGGCTAGGTGTACGCAAAAGTGGCAATTGAATCCGTTGCATGCAATTGAGACCCTTCATATTGTTGAATTGTGATTTTTTCTAGCCGTGATTACAACAATAACATTTTTCTCTTTTGCTTGCGATGGTTTCAAATGCCTGTTTCTACACACTTCGCTATGGTTTTCTTTTCGTTTCATTCTCATTGGTTCATATATCCATATTGAATATTTTTGTTCTTTAATTAATACTTTTGAGTCAGTAGTTCGATTTGTTTGAGCGCCCTTTCCGCTATGATTCGTTCATTTTGTTTTGTTTCCCGTCGAATTGATCGCTCCATCGAATCGAATTGCTTTTGGTATTCTTCCACTTTTGCTCGTACCAAGTCATCCAATTGTGTTTGGTAAAACACTTTCAAGGCAGCTCGCTGCGACTCCATTTCTTCTAGAAATTTGGCCTATTTGAAAATAATAAGTTTGTAATAAGTCAGATCGGTTTAAAATTTAATTTTTCCACTCTAACGTACTTCTTTGGTTTGAAGATTTGTATTGCTTTCCTTTAGCTCCGTTATTTCTTGTTCCAATCGCTCCAATCTGTAGAAAAATAATAACATTATTCAATTGCAAATTGGACTTATTTTCAATTTGTCCATTAGCGTCTTAAAAATCTGTTCATCGTCTAAAATCGATAATCTTGTTCAGAAAATCAATATTCTCCCATTGAAAAAAGTACCCGTGTGGAAATTTTTTTGACTGACTAGCCGATTAATTTGGGACATTTTGACTGACTAAAAGTGATTGTCTCGAACAAAATAAGCAACTGCAGTTAACTCACACGCATATAATCTTGTATTGAATACATATAAAATACGAAGTGTGAAATTGTAGAGCGCCGTCCATAAATGACGACAAAATTCAGTACTAATTGGTATGATTTGGCAATATTTCACAATATGTCGAAATCACTTACGGCTATTTACAGCTGATTTTGCCGTTATTTATGGATGGCGCTCTACAATTGTTCAAAGTCTGACAATAAGCGGATGAGTTAACTTTAATCACAAATCACTTTTAGTCAAAATGTATCAAATTAGTCGACTGACTGAAAGAATAACTTAACGTGATTTTCTCCATACAAAACGCATGATTTCAATCAACTTAGCCAGTTTTAGTTGTGTATCACTACATACAGCTATATACAACTGAGTGACTGTTAGTCATTTTATTTGCACACGGGTATGGTATTATTTACTTCATGGCTTGGTTGTCAATAAGCTGTTGCGATCGTGATTGTTCTGCTTCATGTTCGGCCGTTTTAGTGATATAATCATTTTTCAGCTTGGATATTTCATCAATGAGGATTGTTTCGCTTTGCTTTGAATTCGATAGTCTAATCTCCATTTCATTCATTTGCTCTCGATGAATATCTCTCACTTCATTTGTTGACCTGGAAAAGAAATTGAATCGTTTAGGAAATGCATTACATAAACGAATCCGAGCTCCATTCATAGAAATTCATTGGACAGTTTCCGAAAATTCGCCTAGATTTTGGCTGAATTCAATTGAGTACTCATTGAGCAAACCATTCAATTAGTTCAATGAATCCAATTTCATTGAATGTATTTTTAAAATGATATTTACTTGAGAATTGAGCTGAGTTTCCGATCAAGTTCGTCATTTTGCTGCTTCAAATAATCGACTTTGGTTTTTAGCTGTCCGTTTTCCGAGATAAATTGATCCTTCTCTCGATGATACCGCAATTCCATCTCGGATATTTGCTTCTCCAGTTCATTTATATTCGCGATCAAACTGTATAACATTCATACAAATGCGATTCATTTCAATTAGTCCACCATATTATTCATATTTACCCAGAAAATAAAAACAGCAAAAGAAATAAAAGAATAAAGTGACACGTTTAAGTTATTCACCTCGAATTTGTATCATGAAGTTTGGCGATTGTATCATTTTTGGCTTGATCAATTTTTATGACGTCGGTGAATTTGTTTTGATATTGATTCAATTGTGATTGCAAACTGGAAATGTTGCGTTCACACTGTCGCCGTCTCAGTCTTTCTTCTTCAAGCTCCGTGGAATGGTTGGTTGTACTTCTAAAGTCAAGATTATTATTCCAAACATTGGTCAAACTGACTAAATCATCATGTTGCCTCGGTTCGTCGATGGTTGTTTTCCAATCCGACATTTTTTTGCTGCTAAAATGTTCGATTCTTTCGAAATCTCTATTTAAACTCGATCTTCGAAGCGGTGAACTGGCTTTCAGATTGGGCCCACTTTTTGTTGGAATGGGATCACATTCAGTCGGCCTAATACAATTTAATCGTTCGCATTCAATCGATCTATTGCAATGTGATAGATTCATCGTAGGACTTGGTTCATTGTATGGTCGATACTTGAGTTGTGGTGGCGTCACAAACAAATCCTTACTGTGCGACAATAGATAATTCGGCGATTGATTCGTTGATTTATCCAAGCGCCTTGGCGACAAGCTTGTTTTAACAGTTGGTTGCTCTAAATTTGATCGAAACATGTCGTAGGTGGGCGATTCATTTGTTTCCGTTAGAAAGAAATTTGGTGGAATAAGCAACAAGATATCTGTATCGTCCGAATCACTCATCACAAATCAAAATTATACTTTAATTTAACATTTTTTTCTTTCAAATAGAAAATTAAAAAAAAGAAATAGAAGAAAAACGCAAAATGCAAACAAACAAACAAAAAAAAATGCGATTGGATACGAAATTTCAAAACAAATACACAAACAAATTGACAAATGAAGCTTTATTTTGGGTGTTCACTGACATCTGCTTAGCAACGCTATCTGAAGTGGAACTGAACGCATTCACATATTCAGCATACATTCAGCGCTCGTTAGTGTTCGCCTCCGTTTTGACAGTTTCAAGCCATTTCCAATGGTTCGTGTGTTGTGCGAGTATAAACACATTATTTATTATCGACCGAACTGAATTCACATTATTTTTTATTAAAATTTCGACAAAAACTCACCGCGATTCATTAATTGCGGTCATAAAATTGAGTTTATTTTATTTGCTTTTATTTGTTTGTTTTTCGTGAATTGAAATTCATATACTTCACCGCCACTGACAATGTCGGCTGATGTTAGAGATATTTTGGAGTTAGAACGACCTGCTACACCAGAATTAACGAAAGAAGCACTATGGAGCAAACAAAAGAGATCGATCAACGAAATGTAAGTTGGGAACATTTTGAAATTGATCCGAAATATGGAAAAAAAATTTGCTAATTTCTATATAAAATTTACAGAACTCGCACCAAATCAGTCAAGCGGCCGGAAGGAATGCATCGCGAAGTGTACGCTTTGCTGTATAATGATAACAAAGATGCACCGCCTCTCATGCAAACCGACACCGGTTTAGGCTATAAGCAGGTCAAAGCAAGATTGGGTATGAAAAATGTTCGGAAATGGGAATGGCAACCGTTTAATAATCCAGCACGCACAGATGGTGCAATATTTCATCATTGGCGCCGCATTGCTGACGATCAAAAAGAATACCCATTCGCTAAGTTCAACAAGAAACTCAACATTGTCTCATACACAAATAACGAGTACAACACACATCTGCGAACCAATCAATCGAAGTGGTCAAAAGCTCAGACCGACCATTTGTTCGATCTGGCACGTCGATTCGATTTGCGGTTCGTTGTGATGGCCGATCGGTGGGATCGGGCCAATTTTGGCACCAAAACCGTTGAAGACCTCAAAGAACGGTACTATGAAGTTATTGGCGTTTTGACTAAGGTAATGTTTGATTTATTGAAGAAATTATGGATATGAATAGATGAATGAAATTATAGAATAGACTATCGTAAAAACAGATTATCCAAAAAAAACGAAGGAACGAATAATTTCAGAATTTATTTCGGTGAAGTGCGGATGATGTTTGACCTAACTGAAAAAAAATTATTTTTTATTTTCCGAAATGTCAGGTTAAAGCAACTGCTGACAAGAAAGCATTCAATTTTGATGCCGAACATGAACGAAAACGTAAAGAGCAGATGAAAAAATTGTTGGATCGAACACAGAAAGATATCGAAGAAGAGCAAATGCTGTTGAACGAATTGAAGAAAATTGAAGCGCGCAAAAAGGAACGCGATCGTAAAACACAAGATTTACAGAAATTGATTTCACAAGCTGATCAGGTTCGGCAGTCTATTATTTCATCCATCAATGTGCATTGGTTTTGATTTTAAATGCAATTTCCTCTCTTTTTCAATACAATTAGCAAGGTGAAGCGCCACAGACGCCAACTAGCTCTCGCAAACAAGACAAAAAAATTAACAAAAAGAAGATGCCTAATCAAGTTCGGCCGTCTCGTGTTGATTTCGTTGTGAATGTAAGTATTTTTGCATTGAAATCGTATTTTTTCTGAATATTGGTTAGAATAATATCTTTCTTCCCCTGCCTCACCACACCAATATTTACCTAACATTCACATTTTTTTCTATTAAAATACCAGGCTGTTGAAAGTGCCGGAATTAAATTCAACGACTTAAGAGGAACTGGCGTATCACCACGTTCGATGAAAATGAAATTACCAGCGAGTGTTGGTCAAAAGAAAGCGAAAGCGTTAGAGCAAACATTGGCCGAGTTCAAAGTGGATCCAGCACCGCCGCCAACTGAAGAAATTTGTGTTGCATTCAATGAGCTGCGATCAGACTTGGTGCTGTTGAGCGAATTGCGTTCAGCTCTAACCACTTGCACATGTGAATTGGAAAGCCTGAAACTTCAATATGAAACAGCTTGTCCGGGTAAAACATTAAACATACCAGCGGTTTTGGCCGTGCCGCCAACTAACGATGACACAACACTGTCAACTGGAATGGATACAAGAAGCTCATCTGGCTTCACTAGAGCGAGTCGCCATTAATAATATTTGGACCGATCCATAAATTTCCATGTATTTTAACTCATTAAGTGTATCAATAAAAGCCATTTCGGCAATGGCAGAGAAAGAAAGGTGCGTTTATATTGGAATTGGTTACATATTTGAGCAATTAGATTGGAAAATTCACTAGAAAGTGATACAGTTTGCGCTGCATCTATATTGCACAGATATATAGCGAGAGCAACAGTAATAATTATTACAAACGACGAGCTCTACTGACAAGACGCGCATTTTGAGTGGTCACATTTTAATTAAAACTGAAAAAAATTCCTCAAAAATAAAATGATTGAAGAAGGTCGTCCGTATGCAAACTGAGGAATGGTACTGCTTCTTCTTCTTAACACATACTGTAAGTCGCCATATTGGAAGAAATAATGACAATACACTATAAATATTCAATATGGCCGCTTCCATTGTTCACGATTGTGTGTAAGATAGTGTGAAAAAGAAGAAGTAGTAGCATGCACAAAAAGTGTATTGGTTTTCATACGGATGGAGAAGGTATGATGGCTTCCTACTGTGGTTGGATAAAAATGTCCAAAAAAATCTAGGGTGTAAAAAATAAAAATGACGCGGTTCAGTTATGAAAAAATTTATTGAATAATAATTAGTTTTAATTGAAACAATTTCTAATTACTCTCTCTATGTCTCTATTTTTTTTATCTTATAAACTGGTTGACTTAAATTCACTGTTCACTGGAAACCAATTCGAACCATTGTCGCATTGCGTCGCTTAATACTAACGGTAATTGTGTTAGGTCTCTTACGATGACATAGTATGGGAATGGAAATGTGTCCAGATATGATTTCATCGTGATTGTCTTACGATCGCCTGAGAACTGTGGCACTCGGATGTCGAGGATTGAATGCTGTAAAAGTAAAGAAACAAATATTATTAATTAAAAATTTCAAAATATGCTGAAGAATTGCTATGCTTTTTCTATAAGTATTCGTGTACAACTTGAGGAAGAAACTACTCTTTTCAAATAACTTTTCCTCTAACTATTACTTTACAGTGCAAACGAGTGATTCCCCCTCGGTACAACTTGAATAAATGACATTGATTCAACATTCTAAATGATGTTTTCCTTATCCACTCACCTTATTATCTGGATTGTCAATGATGATGTAAACGATGAATATTCGGTTTAAACGTGCCAGTTTGATTGCATTCCGTACTTTCTTTTCACCCTCACTAAAAATGTTTCGTCCATCGCTTAAAACCAACAGGAGATTTTCAAAAATGCCATTGTCAGAAGATGAACTCGAGTCTTCGCTGTTGGCCACTCGAATGAATTCCATGAGTTCAGCAATGCGACTTTGATTTTGTGCGAAATTCAGTGAATTCACCAATTGAGGACCATCAAATTGATCAGTATGATTGAGAATGATTTTCGGTGATTCACCGAACGACATAATACTCAGTCGGCCGCTCTCCAGCAGAGTGAGTGCCTGTGATACCAACGAAATTGCCTGTAATGTTAGCTCTTTTGAATTATTGTAATCCATTGATTTTGAGTCATCGATGGCAATTGTGATATGATAATCTCGTTGCGCTGGTTTCGTTCGTCGCAACCAGATTTTATCTTTACGGAATTGCGAAGCAATGTAGGGAATTATCTAATAGAGAAGATAGATATTGTTAGATGCGAACCAGAAAAATCCACAAAAAATTTATCCGCAAATTTGTTAAGCAATGATGAATAATTCTTAGAATACACAAGGTACCTTTTTCATGTTGATACGACGACCCGTTCGATAGTCACCCTTCAATCGTGTACATTTCGTTGGTTCTAAAATCAGACGCAATTGTTCGCACAACTCACGAGCGTTCGGCAACATTTTATTGCTAATCGTTTGCCATTGCTCAAAGTTTTCTCGAACTGGTTTCGACAATTTACTCGATGTTCTCTCCTTTTCGTACATTTTTCTTATATCAAGTAGTTCTGCATTGTCCAGTTCCTGAGCAGAAGTTGAATCACGAATGATTTCGACTCTGCAAAATGTGGAAATATTGAATAAAAATATGAAAAGGATGACAAATTGGGATTAGTTCCAAATTTAATGACTCAACGTACGAGCAATGAGCGGTTGTGTCTCCAGGTCGTGAAACGGTATGTGTTGAAACCACATCACCTTCAACATCACATTCTTCTTTCGTCTCGCATACTTCGTTTTGTCGATCGTTGTTCACCCCTTTCCTGGTATTCTTATTGCTTTCATTGAATTTCTCACTATCCTGTTCTGGCACATTTTCCAATGGTTCATCTTTGGTTTCTTGTTCCATTAGCTCGTCATTAGTCTCCAGATCCGGCGTTGTGGTGTCATCCTTTTCTTTATCATGCTTCACTTTTTTCGACTGTTCTTCGGTAGCATTATCCATAGTGGTTATCGTATTCTCCGTTTCTTTGGCATCTTTAATATGCTGATATTCACTTGTTGGATCATCTAGATCATTTTTCGATGCATCTTCTTCATTTTGAGCGCCTTGATCAACCTCTTGTACTGTCTTCAGTTGCTTTTTTTCACTCGATTTATTTTCACTGATGGTTCGATCATCATCAGTAGCACCTGGTTTTCTCCGATCTTTTTGCTCTTTCTTTTCGGATTTTTCAGTATTTTGAGTGTTCTTATTGTCAGCCAGTCCTTGATGTCCATTTTTTGATTCCTCATTTGCTGCCTGACCAATTCCACTTTGCTCCTCGCCTGAACGTTTTAAATTAACGATTAAAAAAAGAATGCATTGAAATCCAAATTTAGGTTTCAAATTATTTTACTGTATATCTACTTAAATCAAACATACCCGTATCTTGAGCGTCCACGTTATCTTCCTGTACGTTTTTCTCATTAGTTTCGGTTTCCACTTGATCGGTGGTGCCTTGATCTTTGGTGTCTGGCATCGCTTGAACATTGTCTTCTGTTGATGGCATATCGATCGATTCGTGGAAGTTTTCCTTTTTATTCTGTTCGCTGGGCTCTTCACCTTCTTTCTCTGGCTCCTGTTCTTCTTCCATATTTTCGATATCGTTGCCTGGCTCTTGTGTGTCTGGGTTCTTGTTGTCATTTTCCTCATCTCCTTCTTCAGGCACTTCTTCTTGTTGATTTCGTTCTTGATCCTTTTTCAAATCGTCACCATCTTCGATGTCGCTGTTGTCACTCAAATCATCTTGTTGCATGTCCTTTTTGTCGTCTGTCTCACCATCACCTTCTTCTTCGCCATCATCTTCTTCTGGCTGCATGTTGTCTTTCATTGAGTCGATATCGAACGGATTTTCCTCATTTTGCTCGTCATTTTGGTCGTTGTTGTCTTGATTGTCAAGATTAACATCACCCAAATCCATATCTTCTGGCTCGGGTGGCTCCTCTAATTCATTATGGTACGGATTGGCCTGATCTTCACACGTTTCATCTTCGTTCATTTTATCGATTTGATCCTTTTTCTGTTGCTTTTCTTGTTGATTTTCTAAATAGAGATTTAATTTAACTCTCCAGTTCAGAGTAAAATGAATGAAATTCAATAGTTAAAATTAAACTCACCGTTGGTTGCGTCCAATCCATCCTGATCCTCGCCTTCACCCTGGTCATTGTGTTCAGAATCAAGATTGTTATGATTTTCTTTGTCTTCTTTCGATCCTTTAGCGTCTGCCTCTTCATTCATTTCATCGTCTTCTTCTTCCTCGTTTTCATCTTTTTCCTCATCTGAGCCCCAGATTTGATCGTCAAGCCTAAGGGTCAATGCACAAATGTCATGATTATTGAAAAGTTTTCAATTTTCGGATAGAACCAATCTTGAATATACAATGTATATTAACATACTTATCGGCTCCTTGCTCTATGTCTCCCATTTCCTTGTCCAATTCTTCGTTATCAGACTCTTCTTCGTCACTTGAATCATCTCCACGTTTTTCAATATCTTGCAACTTCGAGTCAAAATCTTCGCTCATATCAATGCCATCGGTTTCTTTGCAGTCTTCATCCTCCTTAGTATTATCATCACGGTCGCCTGGTTTCTTTGCCGTATCCAATTGATCTTCGGACTCAATTCTAGTTAAAATAGAGAAGTTTCATTTCGTTAGTAAAAATGAATATGTGGTCAATTCACGAATGAAGAAACTAATTCCATGGAATACTCACTTATCTGAAACGTCCTTTTCTCCAGTTCCATCATCCAATCCAAAGCCTTCGCCTTCTTTGCCATCACCATTTTCACTCTGTTGGCCATCTTCGTCTTGCATCAAATCGGGTGGAATGCAAAATCCTTTGGCCGTCAATTCAATGAACACAATCAACATAACGCTGAGCATTTTTGTGCTGACTCTATGCGCTGCTAATTGTTGAATCAAATAATATTTGCACAATAGTTCAAACTGTTCCAAAATTGGTTGAATCGATACCGATTTCTTGATGCATTCAAGACGACCTGCTTGTTCTTCATTATTTGAGTGATAAATTTCGGTGCAGATTTTAGTCAATTTATTCGACACACTTGCTATAGCCAATGTTTGCCAATCGGCATTGATTTCACCGGTGATTTTTTGTTTCAGGTGATTCTTTTGGATGATTTCTTCTTCTTCGTCGTCGTTGTCGTCACCGTCATCGACCTTATCTTCATCGTTGGCTGGTGTTTCATCACTCGATTTCTGTGGCGTTGAATACTTTTTATAAATATTTTGCATCGACAGCAAAACCAGATGCACAATGTTTTCCAGTTCGGTGATGATATTTTGATGAGAATGATTTTCATCAGAAGCATCAACGATCATATCGTTTGATTCACAGTTAATATTTAGAGATTGCAATAGATCAACGAGAGGTTTGGCAAACACCAAATATTCATTGTTTTGGCCCAGTTTTAATTGTTCACTCATTGATTTCAATGCATCAGTGATTCGATTGAAACTATTCAAAATGGTAATCATTGCATTTGAATTATGGAAATAACCATCTTTGGTTGCTTGAACTGTGGCCAAAAGCTTTTTAGATGACTGCGAAACGGACACTAATGTCGATTTCATATGGCGATATTTTTCTGAAGATTTCGTGAATGCAGCCACATCACTCGAATCGATGGCAGTAAAAAGTTTGTCTTCTTCGTTTGGAACACAGTTCAACAGAATTTCGTACTGTTCGGTAACTTCTGAGATTCGGATCAGCGCCTGTTCAATTAAATCCAATTTCTTTGACATCGTTTCAAAACGGAAGTCGTTCTCATCATTGGACAGTACTACGTGTAATTCATTTATCTTCTTAATATTTTTTTGAAGTTGCTGAAGTTCCGTGGTTGATTTGCACAATGTTTGCCGTTGAAGTTGAACCAAAAGGAACATGTCGGTGGTAAAACCTTTGATACGCTCCATATTCGATCGTCCAAGCTCTTGATTCGGTGACAACAATACCGTTTGCAGTAACTTCAACTTGAAAACACATTTCGAATAGTTCAGATCAATGTTTTTCGTGAGTTGGACAAGACTTTGATTAATTTTCACTTGCTTTGTTGACGCATCGATAACATTTTGTATATTGAATGGAGCCAGTTTTAAGTCGACCAATTCGGTTTGCATTGATAATTCGAGCAAACCGCTTCGGAAACTCAAGCCCAATGTGGCAAGCATTTTGAAGCAATCAGCTACCGCCTTTCGCTTTTGTGTCAAAATATGTTTGGCTTGTGATTTTTGTTTTGGTTTCTCCTGCGACCGATCCACCTCTAGACCACGCAAATAGCTGCACGTTTCAATTTGACTGGCCAATTCCACATCCAAATTGTACAACAAACTGGGGAACTCAGCATGCAAAATGGCATTTTTGACAACATTTCGCGAAACGCCAAACAATTTATCGATTTTTGCCAATAAACTTTCGCTATTCACTGGCACCGAAACGTCCGTAGAGGTTGTTTCACCGGTTGGTATTTGCGACGATACAAAATGCTTAACATCCACTGTATACGAGGTGATATTTGGTTCGTAGGCTGAAGTTGAACCCTTTGCATTTGGTTCATCGTTGAGTGGATAGGTTTCATTTGCTTTCCATACAAAAACTTGAGCAACCTTTTCCATGAGCTCCGTTTCGAATTCGCGTAAGAATTTGTACAGGTGACGATGTACACGTGCCACATTGTTTTTCATGCCGAAGTAAGACAAATCTTTGTTGTACGACTCAATTTTAACGAATTCCTTGAGTTTCTTCTCGATTTGCGTACGCTTTGACTTGACCGTTTCAGTGATTTGATTCGCGAATTGTGAGTAATACGTGTGCAGGTTGTGAATTACCGATGTGATACGTTCACGCTTTTTATTGGAGCCTTTTGTGTTATTTTGTTGCAAGTAAAGCTCGAATGATTTCAAGATTTTCATACGCAATTCAAACTCGCCATAGTTTGATGATTCAATGAATTGTTTTATGACACTGATCACATCAGCTGTTCGTAGTTTTGGTGCTGATTGCTGCGCACTTGCAGCATAAGCATCGATTTCACCTTCACCAAAATACTTTTCCACCGCCTTGAAATCAGTCAAATCACATGAAAATGATGTGATCGAACATTCGAGATATTCGTGCAAGAGATTGTACATGAAGAACCAGTAACGGTATGCTTTGGATCTGACTCTATCGGCTGTAGTGGCGAGACACTCTCTCCAGCATTGCAGTTCTAATTTCATCCATCGCTGTACGTTTTCCGCAATTTCAATTTCCAAATCGCGCAAATGGTTCAATTTATGCGAAACACTATTCCATTCATCGACTTTCTGCCGCAATATTTGGAATCCCGTGTTGAATCTTGCAATTGGCTCGGTAATGTCAAGCGATCGGATGCGGCTAATGATCATTATTATCTATGATGGTTTGAAATAATAAATGTTTATGAGTCAATTTTTTTAAAGCGACAAATACGAAACGAAAAGAAACTTTTTTGACTAAAAATTTACAAAAATTATAACTTGCATAATGCAAAGGTCAACTTACATCATTTAGAACGGCATGGTCTGGCCACTGCTTAAGTTCATTCAATACTCTGGCTTCGATGCGGTCCAGCAGTTCACCGGTGTTATAAACTTCAGGGATGTTTTGATCCTTATAAAAGTTGTACGGTTTAGATGATGTTTGAGTCTGTGTGTGATATCTGTTCTTTGTAGTGTTAATCAGTAGTGCAATGCCACCGTAGGAGGCATCATCAACCGTACTGCTCAGTGAATGCTTATACTTTTGAATTAATTGATAGAACACATTCGATTTAGATTCAAATGCATTCAACAATTCTACTTGATAATAGCCGGAGTTGAATTCGATTGCGGATGGTTTATAGTAGTCACATCTGTTTTAAATCATAAAAAAATATGTTTATAAACGCCAAATTTACAAAAATGTCAACAAAAATAAAAATTTGATTTTAATATGTGTATTTTGGACAAAATCATCGAAGATATATGCAGAGAAAAAACTCACCTCGAATACTTGAACATGATGTCAAGAAAAACATCACCGACAAACTTCAAATCATCATCAGTTAGAAGGTCTTGAACCGGTTTCGGTTTGGCTGGAGCTTTTTTTTTATCAGATTCGAGCGTTGGAATTTGAATAAATTCGCCAAAATCAGCGGTTGCATAATTCGGGAACATCGTTGCAATCTCTTGCTCCGTGATTTCTTCTTCGTCTTCATCGGCACACCGTGTTCTAAAACGAAAAAAATATATGTACATTTTTTCAAAATAATTTATAAATAGATGTTTTGTTTATGGTTTTGACTGTCATTAAATTTAGCATCAATTTATTTAAAAAAATATTTGCATAACTTACTTCTTGACATAAAGACTGTCTTCTTCGATGCTCTTAGCCCTTTTGATTTCCTCTTGTTGTTTCCATATTTGATTGAAGCTGCCAATAGTCAAATCAAATTGTTGGAAAGCGCTGTCACTCATCGATCCAGAAATGGACAGCAAACAAAGGGTTTCTTGCAGTACTGATTTTAAAAGGCTGTAATAAAAAATTGAATTGGTTCTGAGCATTATTTCTCTTAAAATAACAATATTCTTACAGTGAATGTGCAAAGTCTTTATTTTCCAAAGTTTCCAAGATACGAACGGTAGCCGGCATGAGATGTGATCTTCTTTCAACGCTTGGGAACTCAATAAGATTGATTAAAACGCCTGATAATAATTCATTTTCGTTCGAACCAATTAAATTGGCACCTGTTTTCAAGTTGAGGAATTTCAATTCCCTCAAATTGATTAGGCATTGCTTCAGGCATCTGAATGCATTCTTTAGCATAATGACGGATGATTCAAGTGGTGCGGTGAAGTCACGATAATAAGTGCTAAACCGATCAATGGTTGATCGTTCAAAGCTCTCGGCAGTGTTTATGCACCAGTCGATGCGTTTGATAATTTCATCAACATTCTGAAGATCTTGTTGTGTAATGGCATTTCCACTATCCAATCTTTCAAATGCTGCATCAATGTCACTTATCAATTGTAGCTGAGATTTTGGCTTGCATCCGTTTTCCAAGAAAAAATTAATTTGATCAACTAATTCAGCGTAGACACACACTTCCGGCCGAAGTGCACATTTTTCCGAGTACTTCTCGAGTAAGACTTTGAATTCTTTGCTCTTAACGCAGAATGATTCTTTGATAATTTGTTCGCCCAAGTCATCGTACGACATGATAACCTTCATGAAATCATAAGCCGATGTCAATCCTGTCACATGCTGTTGATTTTCTTGTGTATACGTTTTCTTGAGTCGATTTTTCTCCACTGGATCGACCAATGGCGTGAATGTCATCAGATGCAATTCAAGAACAACGGCCAACGATTGAATCACAGCTGATGTGTAGAAATGTTGGAATCGTGCCTGTGATGAATCATCCAGCGCTTGTACACTTTGAATTTTATTCTCAAGCAATTGAACCACTTCCAAAAATTCACTTTCAACTTGGGATTTGTCACCCACGTTGGACTCGGTTAAGACTTGAATGTACTTGATTTCAGCCAAAATTTTACGACCATACCGTTGACTGTACTCGAAATTTGTGTGCTCAAATTGGAAACGATTCTGGAACGTTTCAACATTATTCCACAGCAATTTCGATAGAGATGTTAATGTTGATGACCACACTTCTAGATTACCCAAACCGATTGACTTCGATTTACCAAATTCGTTGAAGAGTGACAAGAATGCAGATATAGTCAATGCACAACTATTTATTGGCATCGTTGGTTGCTGCTTGGGACTCACGTCAGCAGTCAAAAGATATTGATGATTTAATGCCAGCGAACTGTATCCAAAGCCAATGATACGTGAATCGAGCATTTTTACGAATGATGAAATTTTTCGGTAAATTGATTGTGGCATTACTTCGAAAACAGTTTCAACACCTTTGTTGTTTATTTTTTGAAGAATCCAATCCCACATTGTTTCGACCACTCCATATTGTTTTGTGGTCACCGTCCGTACTGAGTTTAACACATCTACATCAAGCGAACGAATACACTTGTAGAAATCCATATTTGGTCGGTGCACTTGGGCATTTCGACGAAGAATGGAATTGAATGCTCGCAATGCAAAATATTCCATTATCGGAAGAGTGGACACAAGTAATTTCAATGGTGCCAAGCTCGTTTGATTTGGAATACCTCCATTTAATTCGAGATATTTTCCAAACTTGTCATTCTGCTCTGTCAAATCTTCGACTGAGATCGATGCGCCTAGTCCCCAGAATTGTGCGGTAGATTTTGAAAGTTGTTCGAGTTTTGTCAGAATTTCGACATCATCCAATGACGTCAACGTTCCATTATTTTCAGCCAGCCATTGCAGCTGTTCAGCATCGGCATTGTCAACTAAATAATGTTTGAAACTCGTACTTTCGTCACTCAAAATAATTCGATACTTATTGATTAACGACTGCAAATATTCGGTTGGTTCGAATGACTGCCATTTTTTCACCGGCAATTGCATTTGTTTTCTGAACTCAGTCTCATATTTGTGTAAAACAATTTGATTTTCCTCGTAGAACGGCATGAATTTGGTGAGTCGTTTCGTAAACCGTTTGCGTAATTCATTGAGTGGATGACGGCGAATGGTGTTGCAATCCAATATCTTTTGGAGTGTTTTGCGGAATTGAGTGAGCTCCTTTGATTGTGCGGTAGATTTCAAATTGTTCAATTGATTGATCAAGTGTTTTACCAGCCAGTTAAAATGTAGTGCTAACTTATCGATCAGCGTTTGATCGACTGTCTTCTGTTTGAAGAGACGATTTCTTGACTCTTCATATAAACGGTTCGCCCATAAATACGCACAAATCAATGCACTATACTCTTGATAGGTCATGGTGTTCGATTTTCGAATAATTTGTATCGTGAATGTTTTGATAGAGTCCAAAAGTGGATATAAATACGTGATCAGATCAATGTTCAGGCCATTTGGAATGGTACCAGAGTTGACTGCCTTTGAATAAGTGATGGCATTGATTTGACTTTGTTTCACTTTGGTTGTATCGCCTTCGATTTTATCGAATAATAAATTCGCCAGTAAAACAGCACTCAATTTCAGTTGATCAGTCTTGGTGAGTAGCAATGGTGATTCGTCGAAGTAATCACGAAGCCGAGGAAAGATGTGTTGATTCCAAGGCACTGAATTCAGTCTTTTTGAATTGGCGTCTTTGTTGAACGAAGTTTCTCGTATCGTCTGTGCCAAAATATGATTTAAATCTATTAAATTCTTCAATTGATCGTGATAACATGCATTAGCTTCTAATAATTTCTGTTGAAGTTTTGAATTCACATAATGTTCTCTTGCTGTTAAATCATCCAATGAGCTCAATTCATGGACCATCTGCAGAAGATATTCGGCCGACTTCCAGTCCAAATCAATTGATAGATTGGAAAACTTTCCCCGAGCTGCGTTAAATACTTTTTGAACTCGTTTCTTTTCGATTTCTGCGGTTAAGCAATGAATTGTGATAATCAAAGGTTCACATTGCAATCGGATAAGTGTCAGGCTGTTGAGATCATTGGCGCTAATAATGACATTGGAAAGTTGTACCAAATTTGAGCATTTATCAGGAACTTTGCTGATTTCATCGCGAATTTCCTCGGTCAATTTTTCGTGATAGTAGCTCAAACCCATTCCAAGTAAATCGATATGTGAGGATCTTACATAGACAACCAAAGCACTGTCAAAGAGTGCTGTTGCTTCATTTAAGCCCAGCCGTAGATTTTCGTTGATTAAAAATGCGAACTTCGTTAAGTGTGACACATTGAATGAGTGAAATTCGCTGACCTTTTGAACACGACGGTGAATATTCAGTGCCCATTCAATAAGATACATCTCATGAATTCCATTCATGTAGATCAATTCCGTTAGATCGTCTCGGGTGTATGTGTCTCCCATTAAACTCAATTCAATACAACGATTTCGCATCGCACGTGAGATTTCTCCATTCCGCGGGTCCAAGGTTAAAAATACACGGAAATCACTGTGCTTACTTACACTTTCGGACTGATTGTTCGATTCAACGCCCTTTTCGGACAGCAACAACTTGCCATCAGTTTCGAATACCGAATTCAAACGATCAAGAATGGCCGATGAACACAAATTCACATGCTCCAAGCAAATGTATTGACCAATTTTCAGGGCACGCACTATTTTGGAGTCAACCCATTCAAAATGACCGCCTGTATTCAAAGTTCCCCTGTTTCGTACGATCGAACCCAAGAAATTCAATTTTATCTGTACGGATTGTAACTCGGTGACGGTTTCTAGATCAACGCTCACATCAAGAAGAGAATGAATCAGTGCTCCCAAATCACCGATGCGCTTGTTGAACAGGATTAATTCTTCAGATATGAATGTATCGGTTTGTTTTTCTAATGGAGGTCGAAAGAAATTTTTTTTTTGTAATAATAGCTAATTTATGACTGTTTTGCTACTATTTTATCGAGAGACGAAAAAAAACTCACCATTTTTATAATTATAGTTTGATCCAACGAATGTCTCCCATTGTCTAAGCAATTTGATGAAATGACTTTGAGCATTCACTTTGTTTTGGTTTAAAAGACAACTTTGTTGGTATCGCACCAAAATCGCTTCAATTTTCAGAGCGATTTCTTCCAAATGTCGATTCAGATCGACTTGTTGAAAACTTCCAGTGACCGAGTCATCGATGGTATCAATGTTACAGTAGTGATTCGAAAGTGTACACAAAATATCCACTAATTTTGTTTTGCCACTGAAAATTAAGCATAAATTCGTATGGTTTTAAGTCAAATTTATAGAATAAATTGAAAAAAAGACGAAAAAAATGGATGTTATTAGAAAAAAAGTATGCCTTACCTATCATTTGGTCCGCACAAAATGACTGGTGTTTCCATTAAGACACTCTCACCAAGAGCTTTGACAAGTTGTCGTTGGCTGTTTAGCATGAGTGGAGCAGTCTTAGCTACCGTAGTAATGCTTGTATCTTGACCTTTTCGGCTGATTCTCACATCATTGAAATGTACAAACTCATCGTTCCAGTAGAAGGAAATGTCACACGACAGCTTCTCAAGAGCTTCAGCATCACAACAAAAAACTTGGCCAAAAACATTCCGAATGTATTGTTTATCAGTATCGGAACGCATGCGATGACAGTAGACCAATTGCATTTTCTCGTATAAAATCAGCATAAAGTTGTTGTATCTTTCTGCAATTGTGCTTTGTTCATTGGTTTCCCTCACGATGAATCCGGATTTGGTGCTGCTTAACAATTCGCACCATCTCAAAATGTCTCTCAAATTAACTTCATATGGGCCGCCTTTGTATCCGAATTCCAAGTTGCTAATGGCTTCTTCGAGCTTCTCCGAAAATGACACCATCCGTTCGCAACAGTCAAAGATCGTTGCACTTTCGGCTGATTCGAAGTAACTTATCGGTGATGATCCCTCGGAATCAGGTAGCAAAAAGTTCTTCAGTTGCTCAAAGTACTTGCTATATTTTGCATAAATAATATGACATAAATCGTTCGAATCAAGTGAGCGAAGGTAGACTTTCGTGAAACGATTGAGGAATGACTGCGGCAAACCTTTTCTTCCGCCACCTTGTCGCAATGGATTTTGTGATGCAAAAATACGCGTTTGTTTATCCAATTTGAAGGTTTTATTCAATTCAGGGACGTAAACTTCACCACGATGATCTAGAATGGCATTCAAACCTTCGAGTACGCTTTGTGGCGCTAAATTCAATTCATCCAACAAAATCCAAGTGTTTGGTGCTTTTAAAGCTGCCAGCAGTGGGCCATCACGCCATATAAATGAGCCTAAGACAGCTGGCTTTTGCTCGTTTTCACCGTTCGTTAGTGCCAAGCTACCCTCATCGGACGGTTGATCTGTTCCAAACAAATCCGTCAAGTCGGTGTGCTCACACAAATTGATTCGCACCATTTGGTATCCAATAGCCGACGAGACATTTTCAATGAGCGATGTTTTTCCGACACCTGGTGGTCCTTCCAGTAGAATTGCTTTGTGCAAACTCATTGCTGACAGTAGTCGGAACAAATTCTTCTGCGTTGTGGGCGCAGTGAACTTAAAATCACGAGGTTTCTGTGTGACTCCGTCTGTGTTTACTTCAATGAAGAATGGATTTATGCCGAATTGGTCTGGCTTTTCCACAACGGTCGTTCCCTTCAATACTGCCAAATTCTCTAAATCAAATGTTTCCTTTAGTCGCGCTTGAATTTCATCGACCAAAAACTCTAAGATCATCTTGCGTTGTGTTTTAATCTCGTTCGTGTCCACATGCGGCAACATTTCCAGCGAGTCCAAGAACATTGTTTCCAAACCGAAAATGATTGCATGACAAATGGGTAAATTGTTCGTATTGATTGTTATGAATTGAACCCATGCCAAAATATCACGCACGGAGTAGTGAAACTTCTCCACATTTTCTTTGATGAATCGAACAGTTTTCACAATTACAACAGCCGCATTCGAAATGATATTTGCATCGATATTTGTATTAAATCCAATTTTCAGCGAATGTTCGGCGATTAAAACTAAATCATGTTCATTGTCAGCCGATCGGCACCAAATCTCGGTGAATCGATTTCGCAACGCCGGCGATAGTTCCTTCTTGCCAAAATCGCCAGAAGGATTCATGGTTGCCAAAAACTGAAAACCATCATTGGCTTTAATCACAAATTCACCGGCTGAATCATTTGGATTGGCTAAATCAAGTAGAAAATTATCATTGCTGCCGCCACCCTTTTCAGCGAGTAAAATCGTTCGTTCTGGTTCTAAAACGCAGTTCAATCGTTCGAGTACTGAGTCTTCGGCGAGGGAAATTTCATCAGCTAAAAAGAATGTACCTTCAGTCATGCATTGAATCAATGGGCCGTCCTTCCATTGGAAGAGTTTTCGTTGTTTACTGTTGTCATCGCTTTCAACTTCCATGTCATTTTCATCGCCGCCTCGGAATGGTCGAAGACCACCCAAGAAATCGGCTCCTTCGGTGTGCATGTGACAATTCAAAATTCGCAGGCTTTTCTGAGCGATGTTCGCGAGAATCTGACAGATGGTCGTTTTACCGCAGCCAGTTTGACCGACCAATAGAACTGGTTCATTGAACTCAATTGATTTGCCAGCCATGATCGCAGTACGAATCATGTTCGATGTCCAGATTACATTCGAAGCAACTTCACATTCGTAATTGGTTATGCTCTCAAGAAGTGGTCGAGTAACTTGTGACGTGTTGTCATGTAATTTGAATAGGTTGTCCACGATGATCTTCTTACGGAAATTGGTGAACAGAGCGCTTTCAATTACATCAATGTCACTTTCGTTACGAACACGTGAGGATAGCACCAAGTAACCTTCGTCGATTAAATGTTGATTCCAATCGTAGCGATTGTCGGTCAGAAGGTCTTTGTTGGCAAACGTGTACCGATTTCCCCATCGGAACAAATCTCTCAAGGTGAACGATGATTTGGCTGAATTTGTACGATATGCCTGCAGTTCAGACATGGTTTTCACCATTTTTTGTGCATAAGACTTGGGGATCAAACATCTTTTCTCCAAAATGATCTCAAGTTCATGTTTTGGGATATCCGAAAAGTGTAACTCAACAAAACGATTTTTGAAGGCTCGCGACAACATCTTTCGACCGCCATACAAACCAGGTGGATTTTGTGTGGCAAACAGCATGAAATTCGGATGGGCTCGGATCAATTCTTGTGTTTCGGGGATGAACAATTCACGATTATCATCCAGTACACGATTTAATGCTTCTAAAATGTCACTGGGCGCCAAATTCAATTCGTCCAAAATAATCCAATAGCCGTTTTTCATGGCTTGAACTAACACTCCTTCTTTGAATACTAGTTTTCCGGTGACATCGGCTGTGTAAGTTCCAATGTACTCTTGCAAATCGGTATGTTCGTGATTGTTGATTCGCAAACAGTAGTTGCCACTTCGTCTGGCCACATAGTCGATCAAACTTGTTTTACCGGCACTCGTTGGTCCTTGTAATAATACCGGCAATTGACCGATTGAAATGATACGAGCCAAATCGCGAAGATTATCTCGTACACTCTCGGTCATGATGTAATGATCGCAGGATTGCACCGTTTTCTGTCCGACTTTGATCCAGTATCCTTCGAAATTCAAGTATTCAATATTATCCTTTGGTTTTGGTAATCCTTGTGACAGCACAGCCTTTTGATTTACTGGCAACAGAGACTTTTGTATCAAGGTCAGAACGACCAAATGTGATGATGGATCCAGTTGGGTGAGGAAACTCAGGCAGAAACTTTCGTACAAATTTCGTTCAATCGAACCGCAAAGATTCTTCGAGCAGATGATCAATGCCCGGCACAATGTTCGCAAGGAGTAAACGGGTCGATTCCCTAAGCCATCATTGAGTTCCAATTGTGCCATTGCACGTAGTTTTCGATACAACTGAACGATAGCCAACACTTTGGCACCTTGAATGCCGGTGTGTCGCAAATAATCACTAACCAAAATGATTAAATCACTTTCCAACGTGAGTTCGTCGACAAAAAATTCCGTGAAACGATTACGAATGCCAATGGAGAGGTCTTTTTTACCAATATCCGTGCTCGGGTTCATACAGGCAAATGTACGAAAATCTGGATGACGTTTTACCGGTACAAAATCACCCTTTTCCAGTAAAACAATCGATCCATTTGGTTCGAGGATTGTCGATAAACATTCTAGAGTCTCTGGCGTTGCCAAATTGATTTCGTCCAACAAAACCCAGTCACCATTTTTGATACAGTTCACCAATGGGCCGGAGATGAATGCAAACGAAATGTTCATCGACTGTTCTAATTGTATGTTTAACTTTGATAATTTTATCTTCAACGCTGTCCATCGGCTGAGATTTTGTGCATTTTTGGTTTTCCGTGTAAAAACCGTGCTCACAATTCGCAGCATCAATTGAATCAACACACTAAAGTTCTCTTGATTGTAGCATACGCTGATGTTATTTAAAAATTTCTCATTTTTACTTGCGTCGAACGTTTCCTTGAATAAAAATTCGAATTCCCCGCGCAGTGGAGCAATCACATATGCCAGATCAACTGGCTTAAAACCACCGATCAAATCACTAACATCTGATTGATTGTTCATGTTGATAACGACCAATTTGTGATTCGTTTGATGGGCAAGGTATTGAACGGAGCTGGTTTTACCAACACCAGTTTCACCGACCAGCAGAACTGGCTCAGTCTCCTGCACTGCCACAGCGATTCGCTCCAACAGGCACGAGGACAACCGAGTGAATGAGAAATTTGGTGTTTTTTGTTTCGACTGACGATTTTGATAAATATTGAAATTTGATTCGGAATCAATGCGTAGCCGTTTTTGTGCATTCGCATCATTGCCGACTTCGTGGTCGTTGCTTGTGTTGGACGTTCGTTTTAGTTGGCCATTTGTGTCGCCGCGACGTGAAAGTGTGATTCGACCGACTCGAAATGAACGCGATCCATCGTCAATCGATACATCTGGCTTGTATTCATTCGATAAATACTCACAGCGCGATGGAATTATGCCCAGTCTTGAGCCGATGTTGACGACTAAATTATTTTTTCCCTCACCCTGTGTGAGATGCGAACAAAATAAGTCGACAGCATTTTGAAAGACAAAATATGCACATTCAGTGCTGGTGATTGAAAAGGTTGGCGACGAGCGGCTGCATAATTTTAATAAATCTCGCGTTGATACCAAACGACCGGAACTTTTTTCTCCCAATCCCATAAATTCTTTGGCTTCCGACGAGGAAATCATCAAAAATACATCAACGATGCGATCGGCTACTGTTGATAATTTTGGATATTTCTCACACACAATTTCGCACAGCTCCGATTGCGACAGTGGCAACATGTTGACTGTGTACAAATACTTTTCCAGGAGTTGAAAGTAGGACGAATTTGAATTTCGACTAGCTTGTGAGCCTTTTTCGTTGCTTCTACAAATGAAAACAGAAGAAAAAGTGAATTTCAACAATTTTTTGGCGGTAGAAATATTGAATTGAAAATAATTTGAAGTTTTTTTTTTCAAATTTCTCATAAAATATCCCACGGCCTAGGGTACAGGATTGATATAAAAGATAGGTTGGATGAGATCTACAACTTTTCCAAAAACACAGATGGTTTATCTCTTATCAGTAATTCTTTATGATTTCGATTTTTCCCAATGAAATAATTTTCTATTTAAATAAAATCCTACACAAAAATGTGTTCCAAAATTAAATTGAATGAAGAGCGAAATTATCAAAAAAAAAAAAAAAAAAAACAAATGACATACCTTTGTGTTACAAACAATTGAAATCCCGACGAAATTTGAATGCAATCACGAAAACCGGGCACGGAGAGGTAATTATTTTCAAAGAAATTCGTAAGCATTACAGATACATCCCTCGAACAATGATCTAAATCTTCCAATAGAAGCCAATAACCGTTCATCACAGCTTGAGTTAAAACGCCCGGTTGCCAAACGAATTCACCGGGCACATCCGTACAATGATACTGTCCTAATAACATTTTGCTATCGGTTTGATCGCCGAGTTGGATTCGCAAAAATCCATTTGGCATCATTTGTTTCGGTCCAACGACTAATTTATTATTTGTTTTGTCCATTTCGGTGGCTTTCCGCTTGTTTGACTTGGTTTTATCCTTAATGGCAATACTGTTGTTTTCTTTCGATTCGCTATCAACATTTTCCAATTGTCTGATTGGAATGCGACCGGTTTTATATGCCAAATATTCGATGAGTGTTGTTTTTCCACTACCGACCGATCCAGATAGGCACACAGCTTTACCAGCTGCCACTCCAATGGCAATGCTTCTCAAATTTTGATGGGCCGAATCAACCATAACAATAGAACTATTATTGCTCGAAGTCAAAGGATTAAAAATCGGTAGTAAAACACCTTCAACGTTGGTGAACAATTCATTTTTCAAATTCCACTTGAAACACTCGGCATCATCAAAATGTTCCTCTTCATCGCCGAGTATCGATGTTTCGCCCATATGCTGTGACGAAAAATTGATTTCAACATCGACTGGAATGTCACCATTCAATAGTGCCAATTGTGCGTGCGTCATGCCGGTGAGCAGTGCTAAAATGCGATTGTAAATGAGTTTATACTCATCACTCTGTTTCGTGACCGTGGCACCGTACTTTTCAATAAACTCCGACCACTTCCATTGGCGCATGAAAAACGTTATATTCAATTTTAAGAATGTGTAACTGCATTTTAGAATATCCAATTTCGTGGGTTCATTATCATTTGTTGAATGATTCGTTTTGGCGACTTTCTTTCTCGAAGCGGCATTTAGGTCGCCGCTGAAAGGTGACGGCATCCTCGCAAAGTATGTAAATGCAAATCGTTGAGCATGTGACGACGAGAGTGATACCAATTTGGCCAGGGCAACACATTTCCGCCGGTGATGAATCAAGAATGAATCCGTGTCTTGCTTCGATTCAAAATTCACATTTTCCATTAAAATTAGCGGTAAAATATCTTCAAATCGTCGGCCAATTTGCTCAGTGTACTTTGGATCGATGATCCGTTTGGCCAACAGGCCCAATATTTTATCCATATCGATGATACCATCGTCAGCGCTCGTCTGTGCAGCAGAAATATTTGCCGAAAATTAACCATTTCACATTTAATTCAACAAAAAACTATTATTGGAATGTACTTACCCATGAGTGCGATGATGATGCGCTATCATCCCTAAATGTTAAATTCAAATTGTGTATAAATTTCGTTTTATTTATGTCCATAATTTCAGTTGCGCGCGAGTCTAAACTATATTTTCAAAACACATGTCAAACTCAACACGTGCATTTAAAACGACGTTCGCGTTGAAATCAAAACATACATTCGTTGACAAACGCACGTTGTTCTGTCAGAGCGAAAGCAATGTGAGACACAGAAGCGACGAAATGAATATTCGGTGGAGACGCCGAAATTGGACGCACTCATTCTCATTCAGCACAAACTATATAAACATTTGTCAAAATATGCGGCAAAATGTTTTCTTTTATGAGTTTTCTTTCTTTCATTTGTTTCAATTATTTTTATTGTTTTGTGATTTAGATACAATTTGCCCGACAATTTGTTTCATGTGGTGGTGGTGGTTTCGTCTAAATCAGCCTGATCATTGAGAAATTTTTCCACGATTTTCCTTACGTATTTAAGTTGTCGCGAATCTGGACTGCCATTCACATCTTCTAGCTTGTACGGTGGCTTTATTGTGACATCGTTGAATACAACTATGTTCGGACCTCGCCATGCTACCTACGGTAATAGTATGGGAAACATTTCAGTGATTAATTGCTCGTCAACTATGACTTTTCCGGTGACGATGGTCGGTTTTCGTAACTGTTCCACAGCATTGTAGTCTACTAATTATGCACAAGATGATTCTGGTTGTTGACTTGCCTGTTTTATGGTTTTTGAAATCGCCATATAAAGCTTTTGACCATCCGGGCCAACACCGGCCGACATCGCCGAAATCCATCGCTCTTTCTGCTCGCATGCATTTCGTACTCGTGTGCTCAACTATATAAAATGATCGCCATCACCATCACCATCATTTCGAAAATGAAAAAAAAAATTGAAAATCATTAGCTAAACACGAAACGGTAAACTTTCAACATTTCACTTACTCGTTGTAGATTCAATGATTGTGGTACATCAGGTACTTTTTCCACTTCTTTCTTCACTTGAACATCACTGCACAGAGCCAAATTAACTACGAAAATATCGTTCAGCTTTGACGAATTACTGCTTGTACATTCTGTTTTCGGATTTTATCAAGTAATTAAGGAAAACATTTATGTTCATTTGATTGATGTCAAAAACAACAGCAACAACAACAATCGAGACGCTATGTGGAATGTTTGAATAGAAAAAAAACTATTGCATGTTTGGTATTTGGTTTCATTGAAAAAGGATACTCAAAATGAGCATTTTGCTCATTTGATCGAATGCCAAGACTTCACCCTCGACGCTCTGCTTAAAACAAGTGGTACATGATACCATACTACCAATGGAAAAACAATCGCTAACAGCAGCCATTCTATTCGATTGCACGACAATCGGTCATCAGAGGAAAGGAAATTTGTTGAAGTGCCTTCGGTTCACAACAACAACAACAGTAACAAATAAACAGAAAACTTGTACGTTGGTTAAGATGATGAATTGATTATTGTTTGTTGATTTAATGGATGTGATTTAAAAATTAAGCTACTAAATTATTGATGAAATTTTGATGTAAAATATCTGACTTGATACAAATCAAAACACATAAATGATAAAAAAAAAATGGTGATTGTGTTGTGTGGTGGCAAGTTCACATTTGACAGTTTGCTGAATGTGGCGAATTAGACGATGTCACATTTATGCGGCGTACGTTTGTCTGTCTGTCTGTCTCTTTTTATCTCAAGAAAAGAAGAATTAAAGCATTACATTGCGCTGAATTTGTGTTGTTAGCAACCATGCACACATACACAAACACACAGAGAAAGAAACAGAAGAGAGACAGAGACACACACAGAAAGAGAAAGAGAGTTAAACGCGATTGCTTCGGGGATGATAATTTTGTTTTTATGCATATCAGATTTCATTCCATGGGATGCAACATAAGAAACAACAATTAAGCGCAGTTTTATACTAACCATTTGACATTTTTTCCATGAAGGTTTTCATTCATAATGACTGTTTTGTATTTTAAAACGATATTACTATTTTAAATTACAAGTCCCAATTGAATCGTTGTGAATGAAAACACTCTGTGGGAATTGAAAATATAAAAACGAAACTTAAAATAATGCTTTGATAATGAAGAAAAAGTTTCAGTTAAAATTGACCTTAAAATTTAATTCAAGATGAATTGGAAACTATTTTATGGCTCATTTTCATTTTTTTTTTCGATTAAATGCAAATTGAAATGAATTTTTTGGTTCATTTTTAATTAAAATTTCCTTCGACTTACGGAGAAGCTTGGGGTTTATTTTCAGTCGAAACTTGTTCTTCGAATCGTTTCTATCTAAGTTTCGTTTCTCATACTGTGTTTTCATTTAACTGCTTTGACTTCTGAATAATTTTTCCAACGTTTTACCAAATTGAACATTTCAAATGACTGAACTGTGTATCTTTCTAGGGGTTAGACACCAATTTCTAGCATAGCTAGTTTGTTCAAATCGGTTCAAATATGCGTTTAGTTTCTTCTAGTTTTTCTAGTATACAAGCAGAATTTTAAATATTCTGCTAGTATTTCTAGTATCTACCATTGATTCTTCCATAAGTATAGTATTGCCAATGCATTTCTTATGGAAGGATTAACGATACTTTTTGTAAACAAAACATTTGAACTCCATAACTCCATTGGCAGTATATTTTAAATGGAAGAATTTGTTCATATAAAAATCACTGCCAATGCTATTTTTATGGAAGAGAGATCACTCAATTTTTTTTCACAAATATTCTTCTAACTTCTAGTATGCTCAATTTTTGCTTGTTTTCTTCTAGTGTTATTTCGTGTCTACCCCCTAGGTATCTTTTTCTATTCGTTTGTTTCTTCCTCTTTTCAAATTTTGCTCTCTCTTGAATTAAAGAAACAGAGTTTCATTTATCTCAAATAAAAATTGCTTCAAATTCAAAGAATACATCATTTTCTCTATATCTGTCACGTATGCAATGTATCAATTTAAATTTTATTCAAATTTTTATTGTCTTTGAGTAATTGTTATATACATTGCTTGGAACATTAAACGCTATTTACAATTTACCTAATGCCAACGTATCAATGAGGATTTAAAATTACAAAAAAGGAAACCAAAAACTGTTTGAACTGGATTGAACGATAAACGGACTAGCTCATAATAATAAAAACTGACGTCAACGATCTTATCAAATAATTCATTTCATCTGTGTTTTTATCCTTTTATCTCTGATTCAAGCCGAAACTCAAAATGTTAGTTAATTTTTTTTATTATTCTAGTTTTTTTTTGTTCTAAATTCACTTAATCTAAATAGAGAGCTAAGCCTGAGCTGAAGAAAAAAGAATTGTGAAAAATGGGCTGATGAATTTTATTTTAAGAAAAAAAAAAAAACAATTTTAGCCAATACTGGTTCAGTCATTTTGATGTAAATTATCTTGATAGTCATCATACTCCTCTTCGCCACCTTGTTCGTCTTCATGCTCGTAATCACTCTCCGGTTCCGGTCCCGTTATGTCTGGTAAATAGTCTTTATGTGGTATCGATGGTACTGTATGCTCCTGAAATGCCAAATGAATTCGATTAGAGTCAACATGTTCCACGCGCGCTAATCCCAACATTACGAAAATATGAATGAATAAGTCCATTTAAAGTTACCTTTGGCGGTCGATATCCGCATCCATCCAATGGCAAACCATCACTTCCGAGCGGGCAAGGTGCGTCTAACCCAGGTACTCCTTGCTCTCCTTTGTCTCCGCGATCGCCTTTTCGGCCGCGTTTGCCTGCGTTCATTGAATAGCCACAGATTTTTCAAGTGTTTTTATTTTCTGAATTTATTTTTGATTGAATCCTTACCTATCGGGCCCAAGTCACCTTTGTCGGAAAATGAAATGAAATGATCATTCATTTTTGTATTAAAAATGCTGTCAACAGTTGATTCAAACGTTTTGTCTCACCTTTTTGTCCTTTTTCGCCGGCCGGTCCAACTGAACCTGGTATTCCGTCTGTCCCTGGCAATCCTGGATCTCCTCTTTCACCTGCGAAAGAAAGCAAACAATTGAATCGCAATGAAACAAGTGCTATGCTGAGAATGAAAACGAGAATACCTAACACACTAACTTACATTCTTATCTTGAATTACAAATCAGAACATATGTATTTATAAAATATAACCATATTGGCTCGTTTTGTTGCATTTTTTGGTACTTGTTTTATTGTTATTTTTCTTATTTGTTTCATATATTCTTGAACCCTATCCCTATTTGTTGTTTTGAACATTCATTTAGATTATTCTTGAATTTGGTCCAATCATAGAAAATGAATGGACTGGTCATATACAATTGTATCTCATTAGATAAGATCTTATTCTGATGCCAAGTAAAAGTTGTTCATTGACGCTTCAAAAAGATGTGAGGATTAATGGTGAAACAAAATTAAAAACTCATACCTTCTCCTTGCCAAATACTTATGTATTGTGATTAATTAAATAAATAAAAAAAAAAACAAAAAAATACAGAGGTATTTGTACTAAAGATGTAAACGAATTTTCGTGAAAACCCATTTTCGCGAATTCGTTCGTTCGTTAAAAAAATTAACGAAAACGAACGAAAACGGAAATTGAATTTTTTTGCGAACGAAAACGAACGAAATTATTTTTTATTTATCGGACGCGAACGAACATGAAAATTGAATTTTTTTAGCGAACGAAAACGAATTCGTTGGTCATTCGTTTACAAATTCGCCAAAAAAACGAACGATTTGTTTTTGAAAAAGGGAATTTTTTTTTCGTTCATCTTCGTTCATTTATGTTTGTTTTCGATCGTTTGTTTACTAGCGAACGAAAACGAACGAAAATTGGATATCGTTTGTCGAAAGCGAACGAAAACGAGAAAATTTAAATTCTTAGAGAACGAAAACGAACGAATTTTCGTATATGGGTGGCGAACGCGAACGAAAACGAAAGTTGAATTTTTTTAGCGAACGAAAACGAAAGCCGAATCGGCCATTCGTTTACACCTTTAATTTGTACTGAAGCGCAACAGGAAATGTTTTTTTTTGAATTTGCATCATACGCGATTATTTAGATTTGTGGTTATTAGCTATTTCACATTAATGAATATCAATAAATCGGAATGGAATCTTTACACATTTTATCCGATTTATCATTCCTATCGGATTCTGAGCATACATTTTATAAACATTTTACATTAGGAGTTTTGGAATTAAACATTTTTTAATAAATAATGCGCGTGTATTTGCACGTTTTTTATTTCCAATGTTGTCGATGTTATTAAATATTGCCGCTCGTTCCATGGATTAATTTAAAAATAATTAAAAGCATTCCATTGAAAAAACAAGGCTTCGCTCCGCTCTGCGTTCTTGAGTTTTTAGTTACTTAATCTATTTTGTTGTTTCACAACAAACTATTTTTTGGCGCACCACATGAAATGTATTTCATCAAAGTAACTTTGAAGTATTATTTGCAAAATGAATACAAGATCTTGATTTTATTTCTTCTTTGAAATATACTGCCTTTGGTTTAAATTAAATAAATAATATGAGCATAGAATCTAAAATCACTTTAATTCTGTTCAAGACACAGAAAATATTATACGAAAAATTAATGTAATTTTTAAACAACATTTGATAATAAAAATTTGATTGGCGCTTTGAGATATTATGCACTTATTTGTCGTTACTGCCACTGTTTTAAATTAAATAAAAAATATGAGCATAAAGTTCAAATTCATTATAATTCGTTTCATCATTCGGAAAAAAAATAAGCAGATTAGTCTCTACATTTCATGTAGTGCTAAAAACTTGAAATTTACGGGAGACTTCGGGCCATTTACTGCACAATTTGCAGTACAGACAAAACGCCGTGAACCATCAGTTTGCTGAACACTTAAAGAATGGAAAGTATCTTGCGCAGCGGGCGGATCTACATCCATTTCACTATCACCTATGTTTTTATTTCTATTAATTAAATTATAAATCGAATAAACCGAACAACACTGACATAAATATTAATTTTAGCTATCTTCAACTAACGGCTTTCATTAGAAACACCAATTTGACTTGGACAGAAAGAGTGTAATGTTTCGAGTTTTTTCGGCGGAATCCCACTTTGATTTGATTTTTCCATTGTGTATTACTATTTGTCGCTTCGAATCCGAGTTGCGAAATGATCGATAGAGACAGTAAGTTTTGCAATTGCACATGACCGAGTATGCCATATTTGCTACGATTGCACATTTGAATCAAATTTAAGTCGTGTTTGTTCTTGATTTTGTTTTTTTTTTGCGGTGTCATCAATAATGACTAACAGTTGTGTATACAATTGTTTTATCAATGGTTGGGATCAAAAACCAAAACAAAAGCCATACGAAAAGTTCGACAATATGTATTGTTTTTCAACTCAGACTTACAATTTAATCTTTCTAATATAAACAAATTTATCATTCGTGGTTTTTTGTGAAGAAATAACACAGAAATATTGATTTTTTTTTCAACAACCCGATTTGGTTTTCCGAGCAATCCCATTCGGGATTTAGAGTAGCCCGAAACGGCAAGATCAGCCCATTAAATTAATCCATGGCTCGTTCACACATTCGATGAACTTGGATCTTGGTGAACTATACAATGTATGTCAATAAGTTTTATTTGTAACGTATTCAATCCACCACATTTATTTAAATGTGTTATATATACTGTGCATTAGTAAGCAGTTGAATCGTACTTTGTGTCCAAACCACATTCAAAATACCCATTTTTCAATTCACTTGTCGGTTCTTAAGCGACGAGGTTCATGTTACGTTTTTGAAGAATAAATTTCATGTTGCGCTCCAGTACAAACAATTCTCTAATCTCATTTTTATTATACGCAACACAAGTATTGAAACGTATATGAATCCTCACAAAATAAGTATATACAAATATTTGAAATAAAAATCACGTCGTTCTCAGAATAGTCATGGAAAAAAATCATGGCATGCTAAAAAGAAAGTGAAAAAGTGACATACCTTTGACTCCAGCTTCTCCTTGTGCGCCCTAAAGGAAATTAATTTAATTTTATTCCATTGACAAACGATACTACACGCTCCCTACATTATGCTTATCCCATGTCTTTTTTCTCTCTCAAAACCCTCTATTTCGGATATGTTTTTCTCGCACAATTTCAGGAAGGAAAAAAAATATCAAGGTAAATACGGTTTAAGTCGTATAAGCGACCCGTTTTTTTTTCTTTCGAAATTGAACCGGATAATAACTTTGATATTATTTTCCATTCCATTAGCTCAAAAGAGTGGCGGAAAGAAACCAAAATTTGCGGAAACGTGTTTAACATTGACCGAATTTATCAATCAGTATGTTAAAGGCAAATAGTCACACACACACACACACGCACATTTATGTAATCTACATCGAAACATACATACCTTCATGCCATCTAAACCGGGCGGTCCCTAGAAGAGAAATAATTGAGTAGTAGTAGTGTTAAAAATAAAAAAAAAGAAACGTAGAAAAGTGGCAAAAGCATAATAAGTCTCGGTAGTTGGGAGAAGCGAGAGAGTGAGTAGAGAGAAATCCTATCAAATAAGCATTATTCGAGAAGCAATGCATTCGAGCTATATTCAAACGGTGCATGCAAAGAATATCCAGTTAGAGAGCGAACGAGTGAGCAAGCTGATGACGATGCCGGCTAAAGCCATTCGATTAATGTCAGTCGAGTATCCAAAAGAGTTATATGCAGATAGATAGATAGAGGGTAGACGCATCATCAATCGTTTTGTGTGGTCAATGTGATTGCGAAGAGAAAGAGATATACGAACGAGGGGTATGGGGGATGCCAGCTTCCTTATACCAATAGTCAATAAAGAGTCTATACACAAATCTACATTGGATGTAAACAAGAGCAATCGAAGCATGAAGAAGCGATGAAAGCATTTCAAGGTAATAGACAGCCAAAGAGTATTGCTACAAGTTAGCCGAAGAGAAAAAAACCAATACAATCATGATGTTGATGATGGGGAGAATGAGCAGGAGGAGGAGGAAGAAGAACGGAGACATGGTTGTTTGAATTAGAAAATTCCAATTTCTTTTATTGTAAGAAACTCAACATTCGTTTTTCGTTATTTTTTTTTTTTTTTAGTTTTTGTTTTATTTTGTTTGTTTGTTTGGCAGGAGAATAGTGAAAGAATTCCATTTTCAATATACATACATATAAAAATATTTTACGGAAATACACTTAAAAGTAAGAGAATCAAAAACTTTAGTTTGTTTATTTATGGTTAAATTTTTGTTGTTGTTTTAATCATTATTAATATTATTATATCCACTCAATAATAAAATTTAACTGTCAAATACTCTACTAACTTGTTCGTTATAACTAACGGCCATGCATAAAATTGATGATGATGATGATAATGATAAACTTTCAGATCGATTCTTGATGTTTTTTTTTTAAATATATCGTTTTCTGTTGTTGTTTTTTCTTTGTTTCATTTATGTTTATATTCCATTCAAATTCATCAGGCGTCTTCAAATATTATTATGCGTTAATATTCTTTTACTTTCTTTTTCTTTCACTATTTTTCTTGTTGTTTGCACATTCATTCAGCAGACTGGTATTTACATAATTTCGGGAATATCAATATAAAGAGAATGCATTTTGTCTGTGGCATGTACAAAACGAACATAAACCCCAATTGTATTGCGGTTGAGCTTTCTGAACAATGATATCTTACAACTTTATCCAATATTTTTAATTAGCTTAGTCCTGACTCTCACGATCAAAAATGCAATGAAATTATAGCGTTCGAGAGACAAGATACTGAGGGAGAGGGGGGAGAGGCGAAAGAAAAAGAGAGTGGAGGAAAAAGTATTTGCTGTAATTGTCTCTGATAACATTAATTGCAATATCGTTCAACTGTGCAATCCATTTAGACTTCAACTGAACTTCGCTTTTTTACATCTGCTCTGCAATAAAGCTAAATAAAAGTGATGGAGAGACTTCGGTTTGCGGCTTTGGAGCATTTGCAACCGAGACAACCGGGGCTACCCCAGAGTAACAGAGATATGTTGCTCTCATTTTTGTGCCCTCTATTGTGGCAAGTGGATGATCTCCGAAATTGCTATTAAAATATCAATAAGTCTTGCAGTTACACCATCTGCAAATGAAATGATGGCCTGAGAAGAAAAACCTTTCCTACAAAACCTGTGCGCAGAACACAAACACAGAAATTTTTTAGTCAAAAGGCGAACAGCAAATTTGCGAGCGCAAAAACCTAATATATTTACAGCGAGCGCAAAAGCATAACAGGCCTACTTATACGGAGTTTGCAGGCTTGTTATACTTTTGCGCTCGCTGTAAATATATTAGGTTTTTGCGCTCGCAAATTTGCTGTTCGCCTTTTGAGTAAAAAATTTCTGAGTTTGTGTTCTGCGCACAGGTTTTGTAGGAAAGGTTCTTCTTTTCAGGCCGTCAAATTAGACAGAGTGGGGAAAAAATGCATGAGGTCAAAGTAGTGATGAAGTACCCGAGTCGAAATTTTATGTTCATTTGGCGCTATTCATGCGCCTTAGTTCAAATTGAATAATTTTCAACTTCAAGCAATTAAGATGGCGCTGGCAGTCAAAATACTTTGAATACTTCAAGTTAAATTGAAGCCGATTCTAAGCTATCAAATCTAATGTAATTTTAACTTAAAGGGCTCACAAGTCGCGCCGAACGAATATTAAATTTCTACTTGAGTAATCCATTTCCAAGATGTAGACGAAAAACCAAATTCTTTAACTCTGTCAATTTCAATTCGCAAACGGTACAACATTCAAATCAAATTAACAATGAGTATAAAATACAAGAAATTTCTTCAGATTCATGCAAGAAAAAAATGTGTTGAAATTTGATTTGCTTTTCGAATTATGGTAGAATTGCAATTCATCACAAATGAAACCGAGAAAATACTTCAAAATGTGTGTCTGGCAATAAGGCAGTATTCGAAAATCAAAATGTAATTGTGATGCAAATTGTATTATTTTGCATTCGAGAATCGATATTTTTCTCGTATTTGTTTTTTGCCTTGATAGCTTTTCTCCGAAGAAAAAAAACCAAATCTGCAGAGATGATGATCTCGGCTTTGGTTTCATTCTGAACGGATGATTTGTTTTTGTTTTTTCGTTTCAGGCACATAACAATACCGCATGGAAAATATTGCCTTGAGGTTGTCATTTCAGGACTCAAATCGAATTGCAAGTTGATGATGATGATGATTAAGAGAAATATATGCAAGAAAATGAGGAAAGTATACGATTATTAAATAGGTTTGCATTACAAGTTCTGTCTATGCAATGGGTTTTTCTTTTTCATTTTCATAAAAATGCAATTTAATATATGATTCGATTTGTTGGCATTTGTCTTTAGAAAAAAAACAACATGTAGCTACTTCATTTTGGATGGCAAAAAATTTCTCTAAACTTATATACTTACTATATTATTGTTATTTATACGAACATACATTCAAAACGTATGCGCCGAAATTTTTGTAATTTTATTCTTTTTCTTTTTTTTTGAAAATTGTAAATAGAAATACATATCTACGTGTGGACACCAGCTATGTAAGTCGGTCTGTGTTCATTTTCATTTGTGTCATATAAATTAATCAACTTTAACTTATTTTCTCTTTTTCATTTCCTTTTACTTGTGTTTCTCTTATTTGCTATTTGTTTTACGTTTTTTGGATGGAAAATGTCACATTACCACGTCTTAAAATTAAGTTTATTTGAATTTAAACCCTCCGGAGAAAACTTGTACATCGAGTCTATGAATTTTCCGCACTGTATATATGTGTATGTGAGTGAGTGTGTTGTGTCTATAATTGGACGACTTTATGGAATTGTTACGATATTGTTCTCATTCTCATTTCATTTCCCTTGTCGTTTTTCTTCTTCATCTATTTTGTAGGGCGAATGTACATTGTACACTTCAATATACACACATTTTCATTGTTCATAATCATCACCTTTTATTCCTCTTTCATCTTTTAAACTTTCAGTTTGTTTCTTCTTCTATTCCGTTTTTTTGTTGTTGCAAGTTTTCTTTTCATGGAAGTAAAGTATGAATGAAATTTGCCGTAGCATAGTGAGAGTGAGTGCGGCAGCCGCTTAAGTAATTTGTACTGAGTTTCACTTAGCATTTCCTTTTTCTCTTCATATTTTCACGTGAATTCAAGAGCTATTCGCTTCTCCTATCGTCCCATGCTGACAAATTAACATTCGGACAGACAGAAGCTCTGAAGCTCGTAATTGTGGTAAAGATGATGTGCATATCACTTACAATACAAAAAGCTACATGTAGCATTTCCACTTCAATCGCCAATATGCGCGAAAAATACGCAATACATATTATATATGACTTCAACGAATTTAGTAGTATTTTTGGAGAGTATGGACGAAGCGTGGAAAATAAATTGTTGAAATCGTATCATTTACGTTTAATATTCTTATCTATCAAATGTGCAACGGTCGTCATGAAATTATTGTTCATTATCTTCTATGAATTCTTCTTACAATTAGTAAAAACTAAATTAAACGAAACCATTTCTAGATAGCGTTCCAAAAATGGTGTCAAATATGCAAATACACACACACACGTTCATACTGAAGAGTGTGGAGATCCGCCACAGTGTTTTACGTTTAAAACCGTGTGGATAAAGTCTATGACCGTTGCGTTATCATGATGAATTTTGGAACCATTTTTGGTGTCAACGCTTGATACCCGTACAAACCTACACTGCATCTGCACGGTTATTTGAAATTAAAAATGATATCAAACGACTTCACACTCTACTATACTATAGCCACACGGTTCTACGTTCAAAACCGTGTGAGAACAGTGTCAGATATGCGTTAACGAAACGTGGATTCAGTGTGGATTTTTGATTGGAATGTGTATCGCGTCGAACAACAGAAAAAAACGTCTTTCATTTCATTTTGAGTGATCGTTCACACGCATGGAGGAAAAAATCATTCTCTCAAATTCTTGGATTGATTGAACAGAGAAAAAAAATAACGAGCAATTTCATTCGTCAAACGGAGGGCTGGTTGTCCCATTAATGCAAGTGCACTTTTTCAATTGGAACACGCAGTTTTTGCCTCTTTCGCCTGCATAAACAATAATTGATTTCTGTAATCACTACGTTAAAATCATTTCGATTTATGACACCCAGATATGTTCACTGTACCCTTCCGTGTGATAGTGGTGTGTATGTGTATGTGAGTGATGTGGTGTGTTGTGTTTTGCCAACCGTGTGCTGAATGATGTTGCTTCTTGTCGCTATGTGACCGATGATTCTGAATGAATTGGTAATCGGATGAATATGTGCTGACAATCAGTGACCGCTCTTTTTCTGGGCCACACAACCAGAACCAGAAGCCGCTCTTGATTCAGTGGTCGTCAAATCGAAAATCACATGGGGAATTTCGAATAATGCGGAAAACAACGAGTATTTTCTTCACTGTACTACTGTGCACTATACTGCGGTGTGATTGTTAATCCGCAATTTATATCAGTTGTGATTTTGTATGTGTTGTATGTATAAATGTACCCATATGGATATATACGTTATGTCTTTCTGTTCCGAAAATGTCGGGCAATGTGAAATGATATGCATACATGACAATGCGTCATATAATCTCGGTGCATTTTATCGGCAAATGTCAGACAGAACGACAGAGACACAGATAGAGCTTTCCAATATGATAAGAACGCCAAATATTCTCTCCATTGATTTGAAATTGGCACGTGCCTTGACACGTGTGTTCGATTGCTTCTTCCGATACATAAAGATCATATACATATAACAGACAACGGTGATGAAATCCGGAAAACACAATTGGGTATTACACCACAGTTAGTGATACACTTCACTGTGTCTCATACACTACACCACATCGAAAAGGGGTTCACCACACAACAAACCTCAAACATTTTCGAAATGTTACGTAGCCAACCGTTGTTGTCGTCGTTGTATCTTTGCTACACGCTTACCGCTCTATTCAGCATCATCATCCCGATTTGTATTCATGTTCCTTTTTTCTCTCTGTGTCGCAAGAGAAGTGTCTGCACGTCAAATCAGGGTAAATCAGATAAGGAAAAAATTCGTTATTTGAATAATAATAATTCGCTTTGATTTTAAAAGCGGCGACAGGCATTGGAAAATGCGGCGGAATCAAGGATAATTCAATACATTCGCCAACTTTTGCATACACTTTCGTAATTGTCGGTTTTTGTTTGTCATCGCCATTCTCTTTGGGTTCTGTTGCTGTTGCTGCTACCACCACTGTCACCGCTATGATGTTTTTGCATTGTATAACAGTGTTTTCTATTTTGATTAAATTTGGCATTCATTTACTTGATCCGGGTTGAGATCGCCCGAAACTCCCTTTCTATCTACCCTTTCTCTCCTTCCATTGCCAATTCCCGTGCAAATGGATAATAGAAAAAAGCAAATTTTTTGGCTCAATAATTCTATTTGTAATTGGCGACAGTACGTTGTGAAAACGACTTTTTCTAGGCGAACAGTACACATACGGTTTTTCTCCGAAAAGTTTGTACGTTTTACTTAACACCGTCGTCATCAGTGCCGTCACCGCCGTTACTGCCGCCGACGCTGCCATACACACATATTTTTGTTGAATTGTTGAATGATATATTTATCAAAATGCATGTGCAAACTTTGTGCAAAACATGGTTAAACTTTGCCTACGTTTTCGCAGAAAGAGAATATGGTCCCCTTGTAGAATGGTGCCATTTGTTTGTGCTATCACAATGTTGGAATCTGCTATCATTTTTAATGCGATGCAATTGCTGCATTGAACCATGATTCGAACATACATAAATATACACAGGGTGGTTCATAGTTGTATGCTAATAGCTATACCACAGATTTGTTGACTCATAAAGATTGAAAAAAATTATGGGCACTTTTTCCACAGGGGTTGTTTGGTTTAGACCGCAGCATTCGGTAAAGTTTAAGTCAAATCACCCTCTTTCCATAACAATAACCATTGTGGGCACCCAAACATCCAAATTGGCCACTCGCAATACAGATGTCTGTTAGAATGTCCGATAATTCTTACTGAGTTGGCCATTGGTTACTTTCAATGCCCGTAATAACTTTCTTAAAGAAACCGAACCGGTATCTCTAATAGTTTCTGAATTAATCAGCAAAACACCCCCTGAGGAAAAAGTGCTTAGAAACTTTTTTACTCCTCATGAGCCCAGGAATCGGTGGTAAAGGAATTAGCATACAATTATGGGACGCCCTGTATATATGTATACATTTCCAATGATGAGCTCCAAAATGACTGTGTCACTGGCCACCGACTGTTGGACAAAAACTATGGAGGATATGTTTTGAATTTTGAACGGGGGGAAATAATTCTCTTTCCTTCATAGAACATTTGTTCACATACACACGACCAATTGGATTTTCCATATGCGATGCATTATAGATGATGTTCGGAAGAGAGAATAGAAAAAAAAAGAAATTGGATTTTCCTCTTGTGTTGTTGCTATGAAAATATTCATAGCGGTCGATGTTCGTATAAATGGCTGTTATAACGAATACGAAGTTTCATTGGAGTTCGTTCTTTTTTCGGTTGTTCGGATGGTCGAGAGGATGGGGTGAACATGAACACTGTTTAATTCGATTGAACATGTGAGTTTGTCAAAGTTTTCCATTCGACCAAAAGCAACACGCCCATCACATAATTTACCGCATTCAAGATCGGCCAGCTGGCCGTATGCATATGCAACAAATTAGCTGCATCCATTTTCTGCTTTACGCAATGCACATATTTGAAAATTACAGTCACAATCTGTTTGCCAATTCATGCGCCAAAGTGAAGATGCACAAACGGAGTGAGAGATGAAGTGTTTATGTGTGTGTGTGAATTTAACTGACTGTTGCTTTAACAGTGAACACAATCCCACACAATTTGGCCTGGTCATAATCACGTATGAAAACAAAAACGTGGTGATAAGTGAATTATTTGCAAAAAAGATACAAATAGTGCCGAACACAGAGGCCACATGAAAAGATAGCAAACGTAGTCGGGCTTATAAACTGTACAACGCAATATGAGGCGAAAAGTTTTTCCTATTGAAGCAGAAAACATGTACAAGTTTTATTTGTGTATGCATGTGTATGTGTAAGTCGGTGGAAAACTTCCACCGAAGTGCAAAACATTTGAAAAGGGTTCGTCTTTTGAAAATCGGTTTGAAAAATGACCATTCAAAGTGATCAATTTGCAACGGAACAAGGAAATGAATGAAAATCTTGTTATCGTCTTTCGATGGAAAAATTTATTGCCAAATGATGATGATGATGGCAGTCATGGTCAAAATGGTAGTCAACGCTATGAACTAGATCGAATAGAAAAAAAATCAAGAACTTTTTGGAGTTGATTCTTTTAAAAAGACATGCCGTACCGTGTGTCTTTCTCGACAATTCGAAACGAACGACTGCCATTTCGAATGTATCTCAAAAGTTTATTTTCTTCCGTCTTTCAATTCTTTTTATTATTCCTCTTCCTTTTTTTGGGCACCAAGTCATATTTCAAGCTATGTGTATGGCACTGTATAAAACTATTTTCGTCTTGCACTTTTACGATTCACACCTGTTTCTCGATAATATACCCGAACGGTTTTTGAGTAAACAGTAGGAATTTCGACAAATCGAAAATTCCAATTTCAATATATTGATTCAACACATTGGCCTGGGAGTGTCGAGTGTGTGTGTATATATGTGTACATTTATGAACTGTATTCATTGATGCCAGTTAATGTGCAAAATGCCACGACGGCAAATGGTTTTGAAACAGTCGTCAAAATTGCACTTGTTTGCTTGCATTATTAAACGATAGCGGCTCCATATAGATGGGGATATTACATGGCACGTCGCTTGGTGATGTTTGTGTTTGAATTTTTCACTTGAACAGCGTCACAAATTGAAAGAGCTAACGTCTGAACGAGCGAGCGAGCCAACACAACGGAGTGAAAGAGAAAAAAAATGAAAAGAAAACACACAAAATAATAATAATAATAACAGCAAAAACAACAGCGCATTTTATACAACATACAAACGGATGAAACCCTTCAAAATGAAATCGTATATTTTTTAATGTGTGTGTTCGTGTCTCTTTTTCTCTAAGCAAAGTTTCTGTAGTATACTTTGTGAAATGATAATGAAACCGTTCATATTTTATTTACGTTGAATGGATGAAAAATAATGTGAATATGGTGAGGAACATGTTCCCGACCATTCATATTGTTTCAACGCGATGTATACATATTTTAAAAAACTTTGCAAAGTTTTTGCTAGATTTGGCACATTTTCTTCGTTTCTTCTCTTTCACGCGCTCGTTCACTCGATAAAAATAACAATTGTACAGAGTGAAAGAGAGGGAGACAGCGGGTTAGGATGGAGGTGAGCAACGCGGGAGAGATGAATTAAAATTCTGTAGTCGTTACACATATGTGAGTGCATTTTTCTCCCGGTCGAGAATTGCAAATACCTCGAGACAACTCTGTACTGTACTGCAGTGGGAATGATGCTATAATATCAAAGCCTGGTATTTACTGTGCGATCAAAACATCCGCATGAATATTTTCACCCGATATTTTTATGCGATAATTTTTCGGTTCACCAAATACTTTGTACGAGAGAAAAAGAGAGGACGATTGTCTTGAGTTTGGCTAATCAGTCTTTACTGCTCTCTTTCATGCGGATTTTTCAACCGCACAGTAAAGCCTGGTACTTGCTGCTTCCATGTGGCATGGAATAATTGTTTTGGCTAAATACAACGAGAGCCATTTATTTAGGAGGAAAATCAAAGCAAAACAGACAGAGAGATACACATATTAAGATTTATAGTCAGTTTTTCTTTATGTCTCTTAAAAATCTGGCGTGTATTTGCATCGAATTCGATGCATATTTGTACGTGTATGTTGATATCAACCACAATGTGCATTGCTGTGTTATGTTCAACATATAACCCAAATGAAATTATCGTTATAAGAAGAAAAAGAAATCTCTTCCGAAAGCTGTTTGCTCAATTCGCTGCGTGTCATTTATCTTTGAGCCTCAAAATTTGAGGTAAATAGCATTTTATACGCAGTTTTATGCACTGTGTGCTCTCATCACATAAACGAATGCATTACACAATGGGAAAGCTTAATGCATCTTAATTATTAGTCTAAGTTCTTTTAATTAAGCGAAAAACTCTCTCGGATAGTTTTAATTCATTACAACATTTCTATATGCGACAAGTAAGCTAGTAGCTGTGTGATGTATTTCAAAATGGCAAATTCACATTTCCACACGATTTCTGTACGCTCCCGCAGAAAATAGTGAATCTTGACGTGTATGAAGTTGATGCACAGCGATCTAATTGATACCGATTTTTCTTTTCTGACTAATTTCTTTTTATAATAACATCGTGGTAAGTAATTGAATTTTTCTGAAAGTATTTTTTTTTTTCATTTGTTTTTAATTTCATCAACACAAATAGAGTTCTCGATGAATGATTTGTTTATTTCGTTGAAATTTTTAAATATTTGTGCCTTTTTTTGATATCTTTCGGTTTATTAATTTCATTTCATTTTTAAAATGTGAGAATTCAACAATTAGTATATATAGTGGTTTGTTTCATTCTTAAATTGAAATGATAATGTTGTTTCTTTTAATCTTCACTAAAAACGAATCTATCTTTTTTTCACTTTTTCAAAATACATACGTATCAGTTTATGTTCCGATAGAATACAAATTTGAAAAAAAAAAGACTGAAGGAACGAAGGAATAGCGAATCATGTCAGCAGAATTATTTTTAAATTTTAAATAAACGTATAACGATGATGTCGGGTAGAATGTTTGTTTGTTTGTCATACAAAAAAAAGCTGAAATTATTTTGTCCCTTGTGTGTATATGTGTTGCTGTAAAACTCGGTTGAATGTAAAATACATTTTCCAAAAAAATGCATGCTTTGTTGACGCTGCTTGCCTGGTTGGTTAATCTTAATTCATCTTGTATGCCTAATTTATTTATATACGTATCGAGAGAGATTGTGTGTGTGTATCTGTGAATTTTGTTTTGTTTTTTTTTTTTTAGCTTAATACGACCAAACCTGTTAGAAAATAGCCAGCATGGAATTTACAAAAATTCATTATCGTTAGTATGGTACAAAAAAAGAAAATATGTATGGGTTTTTGAGCAACAACAAATTAACTAAACAGCCGCACAATAATAGAATCATTTAAAAATGGACCACGGGGAAAACACATTAATCCAATTGTTTTCTTTTTTTTCTATTTTCTACACTGACTTGCAATTATTTTTCTCCATCATAGCATACGCTTGCACAGACGGCCATATTTTCCGTATGTGTTTCATTTCAAATAATTCTACTAATGCTTCTGGAGCGCGCGCATCATTATATATCTCCAAATCTACAAACCATGGGGAAAAAAATTAAAACGAACGAAAATAAATACTGAAACCATTCCATCTTGCATTATCTATTTATATGTGTGTGCAAGTGTGTTTACACATGTGGACAACCAATTAATTCTATGGAAAAATTGCACTTAACTTGCTGATGCTAGGGCGTGTGTATATAAAGACTGGATGTATTCAAAAAGTGCAACAAAACCGAACGCGCAGAGAGCGAGTGATAGAAAAAATAAACAAACGTTGAACGAATGTTTGACACATTTGTTCATATTTAATGAGTTCTCGAAATTGGTCGAATATTGAATCGGTCCATCTTTTGGACCGTTTTTTCACCCATACACACATTGGTGTGGAAAATTTCCCCCTCAGAAAATTGCTTTGTTTTTGTCACATAGAGAAAGAGAGAGATGAACAGATACACAATTGGCCAATTCTAACGCCGTTAGACTAACGGTCTTGACGCTGCTTATTTCAGACTGGACTGTGTTTGTGTGTGCTTTTTCTCTTGAAGCTGGTATTTTCAATGAGGGACATTGTTGAATTTTAATAATAAATTTCGTGTTCCGGATAAAATCGTAGTGAAAAGTGCAGTCTCAGTCAACATTACGAGAGAAAATTATTCCAATTCTGTTTGCATTTCTTTTTCTCGGCTTTGTTTGATTCCGCATAATTTACATACACAAAAAACCGTTTCATAATCCCGTACTTGAAAATGTTTACACGTTTAACTTGAAATCTTTCCATAAAAAACACTCAACTACTCTCAATTTAAAGGCAAGCTCTAACATTGTTTCCATCATCATCAAAAATATACAGCTAGAATCAGCAACGGCAAAATGCGATGGAACGGTGGTCGTCGATGTCGAGGTGCAATTATTCAATTGTCTAATAGAGTGAATTGAATTCTTAAAATCATATTGGACCACAACCAGGTCGTGGGCCAAAAGTGGCCTGTTTTGGGTTCCTCTTTTGACAAACACATGTTCCGGTTGTGGTCATTATCTTTATTCATTTATTTTATAAGTCGATCCACCCTAGTGTCGACATATTATCGATATAATGATATTGGTTGCATGGCAAGACATTTTATTTAAACGTTGTTTTCCTTTTTTTCTCTATTGTGATCAACAGTGGAATGCTTCGTATACTGATACATGTATTTGGTTGGAGCCGATGGCGAGTTCGTGATGCCTGTATGTTATACTTCAGTATGACGTTTGACAGAACGGAGAGTTTACTTGATTGTATTGTCATTAGCCTTAGATTATCTAGGTGGTGTTTGCGCTCAATATCAGTTGTCAAATTCAAAGTGAATAGGAGAGTTGATTGTGATTCATTTTATTAATTTGATTAAAATAATATCAACTGCCCCAGAGCGGTGGAAATAAAAATATGAAAATAATAGCCATTTTCTGTTAATGCTTTAAAAAAAAGTTATTGCTCAATATTATGTTGCGCTTTCAGAACATCAATAATTGGTAGCTAGATCATACGTACCGGCATTCCTGGTTTACCATTTGGGCCCGCGGGCCCACCTTCACCTCTGTAACCAACAGGTCCCTGTAAAGGATAAAAAAACACCAAATGTTTTGCGTTAACAAACACCCACAATCATAATTCATTCATCGGTAAATCAGAATTGAATTTTTTGCACTGCGTAAAAAAAACTTGTTACACCACACACACAATTAACTAAGCCATAAGTTTTGAAACCGCATCCCGCCTTAACCGGTGTAAACAAATGAAACTTTTCTTACCGGTAAGCCCATTGAGCCAGTGTCTCCTTTGTCTCCTTTAGTACCCTATGAAAGAAATTAACAGATCAACATAAACGTTTTCTATATGATTTGATTTGGATTGAGACTTTTCTGGCAAATCCACGCTTTTAAACGTATCACCAATTTATTTTCATTTTTAAGCTCATTAATAAATTGTCATGATAAAATTTGAGCACAAACTTTTTGTCAAAATTCCGCTATTGTGGAACTGTACTTACTCGGTCTCCTTTACGACCTTCTGGTCCTGGCGGACCAATTGCTCCCGGATGGCCTGGCGGTCCTGTGAAATTGTGCCAGTTTATGTTAAGCAATGCAATGTAATGCAAACTTTGTAAAATTGTACACATAAAGGAAAACTTTGAACGTACCTGGTGGCCCAATTAGCTGCAACATCAAACAGTGAGAGAGAGAGAGAGAGAGAAATCGTTAAACGTAGAAGAAACGTAAAGTTTTACACTATATTTCGAATGTGAACAACATGCGAAATGAAAACGCTAAACCAGAAAACTTACATATTCTATGTGTGAGCTGTGAGAACTAGGATTTGTGTGTGGTGCATCGGCCATTCCTTCCTCTTGCCGTCTGCGCATCTTTCGATACTTCTGACAGAAATCATTGGAGTGAAAAGTCAACGTGAATTACTGCTCAAAAGATTGGTCCATACGGATGGTATATTTTACTTACGGAATCTCCGCGATCACCTTTCTCTCCCTTGGCGCCCGGATAACCGGGGGGACCTGCAGAAAACGAAATATATCAGTCAAATTGCAATATAAAAATTTTATACTTGAATTTTGCGTTCAGACCGAAACATTCACACATTACAGTGAAGATGAAGAAATACACGTTGATTGTATTTAAATCAAATAACTTCTGTCGACATAAAATGTTCCTTGATTAAACGTCTTAAATGTTCAAATGATAAGAAAACCAGAACTTTCCAAAATGAGAAACGAACGCAAAAACGAATTAAAAATAGTGTTTCAAATAAAGGCCGTTCAACTAGAGTGAAATCCATTCATCGTTTACGTTTATATCAAACAGTCGATGTTTTTGTTTGAAACTATCGCTAACCTGGTAAACCGGGTGGTCCCATTAATCCTGGTGGTCCAATATCACCTCTATCGCCCTTATCTCCCTGTGGGCCCTGACAATTTCAATTCAAAAGTAGTATTTGCATTAGTTGCCATTCAATATTAGCTTGTTTATTTCATAAATTTGTAGTGTAAATCATTCCATTTCACGCATTTTCGGGTACTCACCTGATATCCGGGCAATCCAGGAGGACCTGTAGGAAGAATTTAAGAAAATTTAGATATGAGGTATAAACTAAAGTCCCATAAAATTCATTGTTCAAATAGCCCATTCATTTTTAGATGCATTCAAATGGTTTATTGAACTTATGCTATTGATGAATTTTCGTATTGGTTTTTAGTCGAGCTTTTCATTGCCACGATATCACTCTGCATAAACGTCGAAAAGTTTTATAATATTTAAACCATTCGAAGCAGGTGTAAAAAGCAGCAGTGGTTTGACGAGGAAATTTGATTATTCTTCAAATGCGAAAAAAAACCACTTTTCGCACTATAAAAACCAAATACCGAAAATGCGTCAATTAAATGTAGCGTGAATGGTAGATAAAATACAACCATGTTTTATACCTTCAATTCCGGGCTCGCCAGGCAGTCCACTGAAGTATACGTGAAACGGAGAGAGAGAGAGGGGAAAAAAGCGGAAAATCGTTATTACCATTAAAAATCCTTACTACTATCATTAAAATGGTATTAAATGGATGCGGTGTAATGTGCTATAGGAATGTGACTTTTTTTTTGGGTGTAAGAGACAGTAAATATTGGTTGATCGTTGGTTGGTTGGCAGGTAGAAATTGATGAAATCTAACAAAAGGTTTCAGGGGGATGTTAACGGTATCGAAAGTTTATTGTTGTAAAATGTCACACTTCAACAACAACAATAACAACAAAAGAAGAAAGAATTGAATGATGAAGATTCAATAAGAAAAATCAATAATACTCACTCCAAACCTCGAGGCCCAAGCGATCCGGGTTCACCCGGACTGCCTTTTTCTCCTTTTACACCGTCTTTACCATCTTTGCCTATATACATTTAAAAAGGGGGGCATCCATTAGTATAGTATACATATATAAAAAGTTAGGAGAAAGAAAAAAGTATTCGCTTCAATACCATGCATATCATTTTGATTTCATAACAACTCCGTCAAAAGTTCTTTAAAACAACAAGTGTACTTAATAATTAAAACACAGTACCATTTGTAATTTTAATTACTTTATAAGTTTTTTTTGCATGTTCGAAATGAATCAGTAAGAATAAAGTTGACCCACGAACAAGTGCCCTTGCACACACAAAGGACATAACCTAAAATTTATTCGAAATGGTGATAAACTATACATTTAATGATGCTGACATCTACTTTTGTGATAAACTTTATCTCATTTGTATTTATCAACTCCATTAAATGATATTTAAATGTATAGTTTAATCATCATTTCGAATAAGTTTTAGGTTATGTTTTTTTGTGTGTGTGTGTGTACATAATATAAAACCGTAATATAAAATTGGTTTAAATTAATCGAGAAATGTAGAATGCATTTACAATGAAAATGCAATATGCGCAAAGTGAAAATAAAAGAGAGACATATCTATGTGCATGGTTCATTTTTGTTTGGAATTTTTATTCTGTTCTTGTTTCTATATTATTTTTGTACTCAGCATGCAACAACATGAATCGTAAATGGAAGATATTCAGCAAATGATGCTCTAGCGGCATCTATACGGTAGAGTTTGGACATTTGATTAAATGATTTCGTCACAAGGTTTACCCAAATATTGGAAATGGCATTTCAAACGTCATTCATGATTCATGTTAGTGAACTTCCGATAGGGACAAACAGAACTCTAAAAGGTTTTGGATCTGTTGAATATAATAACATTGTGCTTCACAGCGTTGTCAGCATGTTTCATCTTTATTTCAACAATTGTTCTCCAATGATAACAGACTGATAGCTACGGTTTTATATTATACGAAGTTCGTGGGTTAACTTTATTTCCACCGATTCAAATCAAAATGATATGTTGTTTTACATGGTATAAAAAAAAATATATGAATGATAAAGAGGGAGACAAAATTTGTGCACACTTGCCATCTATTCCCGGTGGTCCTGGTGGCCCTCTAATGACTGTGACATCATCGTCGTATTCGTTTTCCTTACCTTGGCCAAACAACTTTTATTGTTTTTGTTTGTTTATTTTTTTTTTCGTGATGAAAACAACAAAATGTTTATTGAGAATAGTCATTGAAACTTTTGGTTGGATTTTTTTTTCATTTGAATTTTGGTTTGTATTTTATTTGCCCGTTGAGATGTGATTTGGTGTACATAGAAGAACCGTTAGCCACTTTGCGTTAGCGGTGCTTGGTGTAAACACTGGTGCAATTTTTTTTTGTATATCGTCTGACAACAATGATAAACTCAGGCTATCTAATTGCACAGCAAATTGTTTCTCTACATCGCTCGATAGGGAAATGACTTGCACGTAAATTAAATACACACTCCGAAATACAATGAAATTGATACGAGTTAAGTCAGGAGCACGGTTTTTCTCCACGAACGTGTATTCGCTTTTTTTCACAGAGAAACAAAAGCCTTTGAAGTGTGTGAAGTGAACCGCGTGTTGGAAAAGCAAACTCGTTTTTTTACCTGTTTTTGCTTTTTTTAATGCTCAAGTGCCTTCGCGAAATGGCAAAACTAATTTTTGATGTGTTGTGTGAGTGTGTGTGTGTGTGTGTGTGTGTGTTTGTTTGTTTGTGAAAGGAAGGAAGGCGAACACAATGTTTGCTGTTTGTTAATTTTTCGCCTCCTCCCCATTAGGTCCTGCATGTGAGCAATTAAACTGAACGACAGCAGTACGTGCGGCAATTTATTTGAAATCTTAGCATACACCGTGTGTGTGTGTGTGTATGTTTGCATCGACGTAATGATAAAACCAAACATAGTCTTAATATGATGTTGGTGTAATGAGATAAAACTGGGTTAAATCCCGGCTTTACTTAATATCGGCAACGCTACCATTCTGTAAATCAGCCACCATCATCCTGGCTGGAGAAACTAATATGTAAACGCATTTATGGTTATATATATATATATACAAAAAATTATGGGGTTGTCATTTTCTTGTATATCTTGACCAAGAGAGAGAGAGAGAGAGAGAGAGAGAGAGAGAGAGAGAGAGAGAGTGTGTGTGTGTTTTGATAAAAATATGATAAACTCATTTACAAAAAGTTCATTCAATACATCTATATACATTTTAAAATGAGTGTTGATATTTTGACACCCCATAATCAGAGTAATACGGTTCACGGCATACACTGTACAACAATCAATGGTTTGCGCGCTCGCACATCAAATCATCGTTGTATCGCCCTATTAGCATTTGATTTTCATTTTCGAAATTATAAATCATAAATTAAATGCATGGATTTAATTTGAATACGTTGTAGTTGTATAATCGAAGACATGCATACGCTCCGTTTCTTGGCATTCGAAACAAAGTATGACAGAGATTCAGATGAAGGTAGGTAAATAAAGAGATATTCATATTATTTACATGAAGAAACCTAGGTGCTAAATGTATGCATTAATGTCACCTTTCAAACACTACTGGATTGTATGCATTTTCATATCTCATAACACTATTCATATAATAAAACACACCGAGAATATGTTGTGGAATACTCGCGCGCACAACACTAACAAAACAAAGTAAAGCATGATTCTACGATGAATTCGTTTAACGATGAAAATTCTGTGGTTTTGGTGACATTAAACGCACTCACCACATTTGGTTACATTTGTTTTGGTATGTTTCGTTTGCTCCAGTGTGTGACGCTAGTGTACAGTTGCCACACGTTCAATGCGCAAATAACGGTAGGTCATGTGGATTCCACTTGGTTTGCTTGTTTATGGTAAGGTATATTCAGAGCATGAAATTTATCGGGTTGAAAGTCGACGTACATCGACCGACACACTTACGACGTTCATCAACAAGCAACAGAAGAGTTTCAAGAGTGAATTGCGTCTTGCGTATCGTTTCATGCGAAATACATGAAAAGGGATTGTTTTCGAAACACTTTGTACAGAAGATAAGTATGCGAGAGAACATTATTGAAGTCAATCAGATGCTGAGAGCATGGCAGCGGAAGGAGCAACAGTAGAATTAAGGAGAGGAGGAAGATGATGAAAACAGTTCAGAGAGTGTGAGAGAAAATTGACAGGAAAAAGAAGAAGGATTCTCGGAAAATTTTCTGTACATAAAGTCACGATGTTCGGTGGTTCGGTTTTTGGTTTGGTTCGATTCATGCGAACATCAAAAGTAAATGTATTCAAAAGGAAAAATTACTGTGTAACACACAGTTTATTCCTCGTATCATATCATACTTACTCGTTTGCCCCTCTTTCCTCGTGGCCCCTTTTCACCTATGCAGCCGCAATAAAGCAAAAAAAAAAAACAAGAAGATGAATCAAAATATTTAATTTAATAAAAAGACGATTAGAACTTTTTAATTTATTCGTGATGAAATAAATGGAGCCGAAAATAATTATCTACAGCTCATATATTTTCTTTCACCAAGCCATTTTTAATGAAGTAAATCGGTAAATATACTACAGTAATTAAAATGTGTTGGCAAATGTTTACCTTGTGGCCCCGGTGGTCCTTCGGGCCCAATTTCACCTCGTTCTCCCTTCGGTCCTGGACGAAATGAATAGAAAGAAAAAACAACGAAAATAGGATTTGAGCTTTTTACCACGATAATCTTGACTTATATAAAGCATGAGACGAAAATCATTTGAAAAACGAATTTCGCACGAATTTTTTTTTTATTGACAATGACAACATCAATAAACAAAATTCAATGCATGTTTGATGCTCGGTCATGTGAAAGTCGTGCGATTGACATGAATAGTCTCTCAATTTTGATGTGATTCTTTTTGTAGTTTTTTTTCTTCTTCTCGAAAATATGCTAAAGGAGTCGGTAGCACACATATACCAATCAATACTCACTTATGTGTCGACATCGAATGCGTGTGATTTTCGTTTTGTCATTGACAAATTGTCAATAAATTTAATCTTTGAGTGATTGAAAGCGCTTGAAATTGCTATGGTTGTTTGAGTGGTTTTTCGATTGTGTTTGTCAAATGCTATTTGGTTACCATAAATATTTACGTATCTGTATCACATACCTGCTGGACCTGGATTTCCCGGTGGACCAGGTGGTCCTTCAATGATTCCAGTCGGTAAATCACCTTTGAATGTCGTTGTTAGACCTCTATCACCTTTGTCACCCCGTTCTCCCTACGCATCGTATGGAAATGGTTTTCGATGTCGGTGGTGGTGTTGGCGTTAGCAAAAGAGAACAAATAAAATACATTCAACCAGTTTATTTTGGTGAATCATACATTCGTACGATGGAATTGCGTTCTAATTCTCTCGCTCGCTCAATTTCAATTGGGGTGCGACTGTTTTGGGTTCGCTATGAAAACAGCGTCCTCTTAAATGTTTTTCTGCATATGTACAGTTATAGGAAGTCGGCATTGCATAAGAATAAATGCCTCATCCATGCTAAAACAATGTATATGAATCTTTGGGAATAATGTTGAAGAAATGACTTCTATTTTAACAATTTTGGAAAAAATAATACATTTAAATATTTCACTACTGAACACATGTAAGACTCTTACAGTAAGAGGGCGCATTTGTAGCTCGAATGTGGCGTATTTCATACAAAATGAGAAAAAAAAAACAGTCGCGCTACGTTCTTGATGTTGAGCCCACGGCATTTAATTAAAATGTCAACATTTGAGATTAGATGCAAATGGAAAAAATGTTTCCTTTCATACAGTTGTACTGTGTTATATTTGTTAGCGTTAACTCTTTTAGTTACATTCATACATTGAACTTTTCTATTATGGTTTAATTTTGCATTTTATTTGAAATGAGTTTAGCGACGGTTTTGTCGTCGTATATTGATTGGGAGCTCATTATGCATTTCAACTCCATAGTACAATGCATTGTCAAATGCACTAGAATTTTCCATTGGATTGAATGTTTAGGAAATTAAGTTACAAACAGGGCTTAAGAATCGCACAGAGTTAACCCTGTGAGTAGCGCAATGCATCACAATATCTTGTGCGCTACACGCACACGAACGGACGACGAACAGTTCACAGATTCTCAAATACAAATGAGTTTACCACTGTCCGTTCAATGTGGAGAGCAAAGCAGAGGAGAAGTAAGTGCGCGGTGTGCGCACACAACTCAGTTGTTATGCGAAGACCATCGCACACGAGCGCTGTGGCTCTCACTGAAATGAGTTTTACTGTGAACTGAATGCGATTCTTAAGCCCTGGTTACAAATGTTCACGAGAACCATCAAAATCACTTTACATACCTTCGGTCCAGCCGGTCCTGGTGGGCCTTCTGGTCCAACGGCTCCCTGATCTCCTTTCTCCCCTATCTCGCCTCTCTCGCCACGTTCGCCTGGACCTCCTAATTGAAAGAAACGAGCGACAATTATTAGAATCTAGTTTAATGCATTGAATTTCGTCGAAGTGAATAATGCAAATGATACGATGCTCTTCTTTGAAAACCAAAATCCTGCTGTCATATCAAGTGAAATATTCTAATTAGACTTAAGTGTCATGAAGCGAACGAAAATGGGAAAATCAAACTCACCTGGTCGTCCGTCATGACCGGGAATCCCCGCAACACCTTTTTGTACACAATGAAGCGATAACGAACGTAAGGAATATTAGAAAATCTTTTGTTATCAATCTAGTATGATGATGATTATTTCATCGATATCAAGTGATTTTCCATTGAATGTTAACAACTAAAATTAACTCACCAATTGGTCCTGGTGGGCCTGGAGGACCACGCTCGCCTGGCTCACCCTGGCATTTCAAAAACAATTGAAAAATTTCCATATCATTATTTGTTGATTGAATTCGATGTGCAGAGAGAAAAACGTGTTTGAGCACACAACGCCCAAGGGTCAGAAGGTATGGATGAGAAACGTTAATAGTTTCCAAATAAAAATTATTGTACTCCCTTTTTTACGGTTGATTATATTTAAAATGATAATGATTTGAGAGTTTGTTAAATAACTTAAAGCCATTTATAGTGCTCACTCTCTCGCTCGGCATCATTTTAGCGTGCAGGGAGAATCGTCGTATTATTGTCGGCATTTGTGTGCATCAAACACATTATTTTCTCCGTTTGATTGAATTGAGTTGAATTTTGAGTGGTTGTATATGTATGGAGTTCAAATTAAGTAACAAATTTACGGATTCGTTACGCTGTGAACTTTAAACGCTTGTCAGCGATTTCCGACACCACACAACTCAAATGTCCATTCATTCCAAACGGGCTCTAGTTTTTATTCTATTAAAAATATTACAATAAATTAAACTAAACACACTACCAAATCATTCCAACTGTAAGATGAATCGTTATCGTATTTAAAAAAAATCAAATCTAACAATGCCTATTAGTGGTTATACAATTTGTGGTTAGACATGATCAACAATTTAAATAATATGTGTATGTGTGTGATTAAAAGTGATTGAATAAAGCAATTTAAATGATCCATCACAGTTATCGAAACATTTTCGGGTAAAGAATTTCATTGTAAAAAGAGAAAAAAAATACACATGCACAAAATGATGTTAAATATATGAGCCGTTGCGACAAAAAAATTCCCTCAGATTTTTTGAGAATTGAATCGAAGCATGGCATTTGTCTACGAACAAAGAGCAACAACGCAAGTTTTTGAACCATAGCAAATGCACGTAAGTGTGAGCGAGAAAACACGAGTTTTCGGCGTCCGAAGGAATAGGAACTTCGGCGCTGGTTTAATGATGGCTCAATGGGAAGCCATCAATTTGTATGCGTAAGGGTTTGGAAGCGATGGACACATTATTTTTGCCGAATTCCGATCGGAAATCCGAGTTTTGGACATGTGTAAATTCTTCCAAATAAACCAATGCAATTACACCAGCGCTCCGAGGTTTTCATACAAACTGCCCATGTAAACGGTCACAATACCAGGGGGATTACAGATTGACAGTTGAGCTACATGATATATACTGAATGAATAGTTCTGTAGCTTGCCGTATATGATATTGTAGGGCAAACTGCGGCGCTAGTGTGCTTGTGTTTCAATCTACAAACCCCCTGCGCAATACAGCCGAAAATCCAAAAAAAAAAAATTTAATAAATAATCCATAATGGTGACGAAATATTGTGAAATATTGCGAAATCATATGACAAACAACAAAACATGTAAAATATGTGCGGATTTAATTTAAATTGTATTTTATTTTATTTCAAATTTATTTTTTTTATTTTTTTATTATTTTTTTCACTGTTTCGACATCAAAACAAGAATGAATATGACGGAGTGAATTTGAGCGCGAACAAATTTGAAATTTTTTCTTTCGCATTCTGCCGTTCTCCAGTAGTGGCGCTCTACTATTTCACACTCCATGTTTTAAATAGAAAAATTGACAGAATATTGCCGGGTGTTCATTTGTGTGAGTGCGATTGTGTAAACGACAATGTTCGTGTCCAATATGTGTACGATGACAGCTTCGAGCATTCCACGCGTAGAGGCGTCTTACGTCAAATCTTTCCCATGTATTTTTATACGAAGAAAGCGACCTTGGTCACTGAATGTCCCAAATTAATCGACTGAGTTAGTCAGTCAAAAATTTTCCACACAGGGTCGCTTTCATTCGAAAACTTGCGTCGTTGCTCTTTGTTCGTAGACAAATGCCATGCTTCGATTCAATTCTCGAATATTCTGGAGGATTTTTTTTTTGTCGCAACGGTTCATATACATATACAATTATATAGAGTAATAGTTGTGTTGAAAGAGAGGCTGACCAGTTCGACTGTTATCGACGTTTTCAACTGATAAAAATCAACCAAAATTCCAACGTGCATTTTCATTAGTGTTTTTATTATTATTGCCCCTTAAAACTGAATTTCTTGATGAAGCAAGAAATGAACAAAGTTAGACTGAAAGCGAACAACCAATCACATTCCGATTGACCATCAACAAACCAAGTGCTTGTGATATATTTCTTTTGAAAACTATCAAATAATATTATTGAACTAATTAATAAGATGGAGAGATAGAGAGAGAGAGAGAGAGAGAGAGAGAGAGAGAGAGAGAGGGAAAAGGAAGAGAGTGATTTCATCTTGATAAAAGCCATTCAAACGAAATACGCTTTGTATTGCTGATGGCCATTGAAGCATTTATTGGCGCTAACTTTGACTATAAATTCTCTCTACTTCTTCTCTCTTCATTCTTCTTTTTCTCTCGCTCTCTCTCTCTCTCTCTATCTCCCTCTTTCGGGAAGTTTGTTCGCGTCCATCGAAATTTGTATACATTACGCGCGCGAGACAATTCATATTCATCGTGATGCTTTGATTGCCATGCAAAGTGAAGAAAGGAAAAATACCAACAAGAGACACGTGACATAAGAAAGTGAACAGACGGATACGTGGGTAGAACCACACACAAAGAGAAAGAGAAAAAGAAAATGGTGTTTTAATTTTTTTATAGTCTTGGCACCTAGCGCCAGATCCTTACATACTCACAAATTAGGTTGTTTTCATGTCAACGATGTCGTGAAATCCGTCGGAGTTTCATTTTTTTCTCTTTTTTTCTTTATTTTTTTTTGGGGGGGAATAGGACTAAAAAAAGTTGGTTTTATTTTTCAAAAGAAGAATCTGGCATACACAGAGAGAAATCCAACATGGTTTCACCAATACAAAAACATAATTTTGGCATTTTACAATAGTATTTGTGAAAATCGCAACAAACGTTTGGCTGTCAATATAGTACGAATTTGAGTGCGTTCTATACAAATAATTTTTCTCTGTGTATATTTGATGTTTTGGCATCATAATCGCAAGCTTGCAGATAAATTTTTTTAACTGAAATGGGGGGACGTTGGTAAAGAAAGCTGCATTTGACACTTGAATCGATGGCAGGAAAGAGGGATAGAAGCACGCAAACAAACAGACAGACAGAGACAAAATGTAGTGTTATTCGAGAAGTTGTTGTTAATATCTGTAGTGCATTGCGTTTGGCACCGTAAGGTGCCATGTGAAGCATCTGTTCTATGCTGTGATCAGCTGCTTCAGAAAATGAAAATAATGTTTGAAAAGTTTATGCATCTACTAGAGTATGTATGAACACAGTGATCTGGCGAACTAAATTTTCAAACCCGAGAGAGCACAGACACTTTTTGCTCTATGAATTTCTCGCATTTTGACACTCACTCTTAAAATTTAGGTAGGAGGTGGAGTTTAGGATTGCGATCAAATAATATCAAATATTGTACACTCGACGATGACGACAACAGCCCGTAACGTCCATCACACTTACTCGGAACCGCACACTGCATCGCATCATTGTAATACATACTACTAATCGAGAACGATCGAGCGTGAAATGTGTTGTGTGAAGGTATTCGGTATGTTTGTCAACCGTTTGTCGTCGTTGTCGTCGTCTTAGTTGGGTCATAAAAGCATAGCTAGCACCAAATCTATATCTACGGCGGTCATTGGTGTCATATTTCGAAGAGCAATGAACACACAAAAGACCGACACCACATTACAAATCTAACATACAGCAATTTAGCTTTTTAGACTATTTTATTCGTACATCTCTCGCTTTTTAAAAATAGAAAACAATTCGACATAATTGAATTAATGATTCAATTTGAATGCATACTTCCTCTCTCGAAAAAACTCACTCCAAATATATACACTCATTCATTCATTCAGTTGTCGTTTTGCGAACGAAACCGATTTTAACATCGCACGCACACGCACATGCAAACAAAGGCAACAGCGTGTGTTGATAGAACGCGAATTTTAGAAATGTCATTTGAGTCTTAATGCGACAACAAGCAGCGGCTATTCAAATATATACACAATGTTATCACATCGTTCATCTAGCCAGCCAGCCAGCCAACCAACCGATATCTTAATCCAGAACATATTTCGACAAACAATTGTTTGAGACAAAGAAAATGAAATACAAACAGAGAGTGCGAGAGAGATAGAGAGACATTATTGTTAATGACGAAAGGGGATAGTTAATGAGTAATCTAGTACATATGCAATAAATAGATGGGAGGCAGCAGACTGGATTGTGAAATTGGACGAATTGGTTTTGAAAGCGTTGTGGATGTTTCATTGCAACTATTTATAATGGGATGAGAGCAGAGAGAGAAAGAGAGAGAAATTGATTGAAAAGGCACTAGAAATGTAGGGAATGCTTTTGCATATCGTACACAATGCTATCAGATTGTAATTGTCTCTTTTGTGTGTTTCTGCTATATATATATGTATATTTAGGCGTGAACAACATTCTGAGTTGAGCTTTAAATACTTACACGTAGCTGTATAATTGTTGCAGCTGAAATGTTATGTCCAGCACCTTGTAAATCCTTCAATTTTAACACGAAACACCAGCAAAATATTAGTGATGGGTTTTTTGTTGTTGTTGTTGTTGTTGTTGGTAATTTTACAAATGAACTGTTGCGACAAACAAATTCCCTCAGAATATTTTAGTTTCAAAGTGCAACATGAAATTTTTTTTATATAGTTTACAACAACAACTCCATATGAAAAAAAACTTTATGTTGCACTTTAAAATTAAAATATTCTGAGGGAATTTTTTTGTCGCAATGGTTCAAATGTACAACAGGAAAAAAATGTCAAGTGAGAGAAAGAGAGAGAAAAAAGTCTATTGATTTATTGTCGAAGCGTTGCCACATACGGTATTGGTGGCTATTTGAAATTTTATGTCGAATTCGTCGCCGTAAAAATGATTCAATCCACACACACACCCTTACAGTGTTTTGCAGCACAT